TCTCCCACGGTTATCGGTCTCTTCTGATTTCTATGCTTTTGAAGCAATATATTGGCCATCTCACGAACTGCGGAGTTTCTTAGAGGTGCGCCGCGGGCGTCAAGCGAGAGAATCTACTTCTTAAGTATTTCTTCCTCTCTCGCAGTAAGTTTATGAGAATTAGGGCGAGTTTCTTGACGAAATGAACGGCCATTTGCACGGTGTTGAAGAGTTGAGCGAGGAACATCAAAAACGTCAGCAGCTTTACGAATTGAGGCAACTTGACCGGTCTTTATAGCTTCAAGGGCAAGGCAGATTCGGCTCTCTTGGTACAATAAGTCTTTTGATGATTTCGGCATTTTTGGTGGTGTAATTGACCGCTGAATTACTTCAGTTCTTGGAGGTGGGAGGATTCAGGGGGTGGTGGCTCGCTCGCTTGCGTGGCTCGCTCGGTTGACGATTACGTTAGGATCTCGGTTCGGCCCGCCAATCAAGTCCGCGCCCAGATCATCAGTTGATCGCGATCTACCTGGAAGCGGTGGTTTTTTTTTACTTCCACTTGTACGTCTATCAAAGCATAGAAGAGGTTTCTACCAACCCGTTAGTTTACTGCATGCATGCACGTGAGTGATTGACCCTGTATTGAATATATTGAAGTGTAGGCGTGTCTAGGTAAACTCAATTGGCGGCCGCGACAGTGCCACCCGACGAAGGAGAGAAGCCCTAACCGGCAGTTCTACCGAACACCAAATCTCGAATCATACAACACACAAGATACACTTGAGGCTTGCCATTTACTACTTAGCCTGTCCAAGTGAACTTCCGACCAAGACAGCAACAAATTAATAAGGACTCACCAAATGCTATTGGAGAGTGCCCACAAATACACTGAGCTCTACAATTGTACGAGCAACCCTCGATACGATCTGATTGTTTGCTGACTTGAAAAGGCTCCGACATGCTCTATATGAAATGAAGACTTATTGTGCTAAGCACATACGACCACAGGGTGTGGAAAATAGGGCTTCCCGTCCGCTCAGCCGTACTCAAGCCACACGCCGGGAGGTTAGTAGTTGGGTGGGTGACCACCAGCGAATCCCTTCTGTTGTATGTTTTTGTCTTTTGTAGTTAGCCCAGAAGTGATTGAAGAAGCTATTGGCAGGATTTGAATCCTCTCAACGTCCTGACATTCCTCTCAGTCGAGGGGTGAGGCAAAATGATAATTTACTTTTTGTTGGTGGGAAAGAGCTCTAGACACGGCATATGTAGGCTATATATTTAATATTCTTATAGGCTGAGGACATAGTTATAACTATATCATATCACAACAATATGCTCTATGGTGCTGTACTACTACAGATTTATATGTTCTACCAGAAAACAAGGCCTTATTATCAATTTGATTATGAAGTTAACAACATAACCACGTTCATGTACTCGAATCCTATTTGCGACGGCATTTGTACCCACCATGTAGTGACTGCCACGATATAGGTGTTTGGACGTAATAGGCAGAGCGTAGATAACGGGCGATTGGGAGGATGCTATGGTAGGAATTATATGCACTGGCCCGAATGAACCACAGGTATTTAATGAAGCTAGGTGTTACTGGAGCTAAGTGGAACTGAGCGGAACCGTTGCTTTAACGAGCCGAAATCTTTCGAATAATGGAACCCATTCACAATGAGTAGTTCCTGCTAAAAAAAAAGAGGATAGGTAACATAGTCAGAAATAGAATCAAATTATACATTATCTTCGCTATAATATCAAGCACACTGCGGTAACCCGTTTCCGCTTCCGAATTAATCAGCAATATCTCCGATCAGAAGAGGGTCCTTCGTGGGCGGGCCGGGACACAGCAATCGACCAACTGCCGGCGAATGGTCCGAGTACCGTACCGCTCACTCGTCCTGCAGCTGGAGGATGTCCAAAGTCTTCTCCCATAACTTCTTCTGCCCCTCCACATCAAAGGCCCAGGACGCATACCCGGGGCCCCACCTCCCGCTAGCCGGGTCGTGCTCATCCGTCACCACCTGGCAATTATCCAGATACAGCCCGCCCTGGCCCTCCAGCTCCGCCGCCACAGCTGCCACAACGGTTGTGGCGGCGCCCTGGGCGGGACTCTTGAAGTGGAGCATGAACTCGCGATCCGCAGTCCACTCCGCAACCTGGTCCTCCGACATGTGGCGCGCCAGGTCGGTCTGGATGCCGCCGGGGTGCAGACTGAGAGCATGGAGGCCCCGGCCCCCGTACCGCCGCTCGATCTCATTAGCCATCCACACCACAGCGGTCTTGCTCTGCCCGTACGCCTTCCAGGGCTCGTACTCCCCGCCCTCCAAGTTCAGATTATCGAGGTGGACGTTGCTGAACCGATGGCCCACGGACGAGACCATGACGACGCGCGAGTGGAACGCCGGCGTCGACGACGCCAGCAGCAGCGGCTTCAGCAGCTGGAACAGCAGGAAGTGGGCCACGTAGTTGCTGCCGAATTGCACCTCGAGGCCGTCGGCCGTCCGGCCCTCGGGGCACGCCATCACGCCCGCGTTCGCGATCAGGATGTGCAGGGCGGTGGTGCGGGATTGAAGATCTGCCGCGCAGGCGCGCACGGAGTCGAGCGAGTTGAGGTCCAGGTGTAGGAGATGCACCCGGGGGCTGGCGGCGAGGTCGCCCAGGTTCTTTTTTGCTTTCGCGGTGTCGCGCACCGTCAGGTAGAGGGTCGCGCCGGTCGTGTGCAGGGCGCGCGCGGTCTCGACGCCGATCCCCGAGGAGCAGCCCGTGATCAGGATGGCTTTGCCCGTGAGCTTGTCGCGGAGGTGTTGGTCGTCGATGATGGTCTGCGCCGTGGGGCGGGCGTCGCCCGGGCCGTTGGGAGATTCGTGGGCAGCGGCGTATTTGGAGGTCATGGTTCCGGTGGTAGATTGGTTGTTGGAAGGTCGATGTCTTTTGATGAGGATGTATAGGATGGTGAATATGAGAAAGACGTACTTCAAAAACCTCAAGCCAGGATACTGTGTTCGATTTTATACCGTGCTTGGGCAGACCCAACGGTATGGCTGACCACCCGGGATTTAGAGTTCTGGTTGATGACACCTCTATTCCCGCTTAACTCCACAGTGTACAGTGCCCAACCATAGAACACACAGTGTGCGAACCACTAGACCACATAACCCCGGGTGACATTCCAAAGTCCAGCCTTCCCCCCAGAGCCGTATTTAGTTGCGGGGTGACCTGGAACGAACAGGTGCAATCGCTGGCTGACGACACTAATCTACAGTAGTACTTCCGCTTTATCTCCAGAGCCGGGCCTATATCCGCCGATCGCCCATCAACCGATTACTGCTTTTTCAAGCACCGGCTACTCTTCGTAGTCCCTGAAGTGACTGTACTGATTCAGATGTCCGTTGACTCTGGAGTTGATCAGCTATACAAATACAAACTACCGGTGGAGATGTGGGTTGGTTCACAATCTCGTCAATGCTCTCGGACGATGACGCGCACGGGACCATCGGGTCATCAAGGTGCCAGTGAGTGCTATCGCGGGGAATCCCACAGGCGGTGAGCCGAAAGACTAATCAGGAGCCACGGACTCTCGTGTCAGCCGGCGGCGGGGTTCTCAAAGCGCAGCGCCGCGGGCACGGAAGTTTAACTCCGCCTCCGGAGCGTTATTTCCGGCTCTTTGCTGAGAGAGAAGACAAGAGAGAACGCGATTACTCAAGTTCTCGGCACAGACTTATCTATCTAATTCAAACCTATGACTTACCGTGGGATATATGAAGCTCTGCTTGAATGGTATTTTCTGATTTGGGTGAAAAGACATCTATCATTATCAGTATTCCGAATCCTTGACGAGACGAATCCGTGTTTAGTGGCGGCAGGTAATTTGATTCTTGATCGGGAACAAGAGAGTACAAATCTGGGCCAAACCTATCAACAACCTGCACTCATTAGATTGCTCTGATTGACATGTTGCAGTCGGGAGCACAGTCTAGAATATACGCCACATCCACTGCCCAAACACATCACAATGGGTTTGACGGAATGATGAGGATATATAATATATAGTATACCCGTCAGACAGAACACCGAATTGTCCGGGATAATCCTGAAAATTGCCAACAAAAAGAAAAAAGCCGAGAAAGAAAGAAATCCTATATGAAAGCCCGTAAATCATCCTCCATCGACCACCACCCGACCTCACCGATGGTTCCTAATCATTAAGACCCTGACGAAGCACTTAAGCGTTGACCTTGGACGCCAAGAAGTTCGCCGCATCCCCGGCATCCAGCCCGTAGGTCAGATGCGCGGCCGTCACAATCAGCGTCGCGTCGCAGACCAGATCGCCCACCGCGCAGTACACCTTGACATCGTCCTTGGGGTAGTTGGGGATCTGGCCGTGGTCCTGGACGTTGCGGGTGAACCCGAACAGCACCACACCCTTGATCTGGTCGCGCACGGAGGAGCTGACCGCCTGCACCGCGTTGTCGATGACGGCGCTTCCTTGACTGTTTGACCCGGGATATTAGCCATGTCGGACTAGGTTGGCAGGAGAGTGCGTGTCTTGATCATAAGATAGCCAAGAAAAGGGGAAATGCATACCTGTATCCACCAGCCACGATCTTCGTGTTCGGACACTTGGAAGCCGCCTGCTCGAAGATGCTCTTGGCAGCGGAGATGGCCCCCGGATCGGTGTTCTGCGGCAGGGCATTCTGCATCAGTCCGGCAGTGTAGAGGCCGCCAACACCCTGGCAGGCAACCTTGTCGGCGCCAAGCTTGGACTTCAGGGCGGTGCAGAGGGGAGGTCCGATGACGGAACCCTGTTTCGGGGGTCAGTACCGTGCGAGAGCAGAAGCATAATCTGAGATGACACAGGGGCGGTAGAAGAGGAACGACTTACCATGTTGCCCAACTCGGTGGATCCTCGAGCAAAGACCAAGGTGACGTCCTTGCAGGAGCCGGACGTGAGATCATTCGAGTCCATGAACTGACGGGTTTGGAGTTGGCCGGCCTCCGGGGCAGGGGCGGGGACGGGGCTTGCTACGGCCAGCGTAGCAAGGGCACCAACGAGGAAACCAATGCGGCAGGGTCCGGACCCTGATCGAGACTCGAAGCGGGTTAGGTTACCGATGGATGTGGAGAAATTGGCGCTTCATCGAAGGGGAATGGAACTGAAAGAACCTAAATTGAGTTTGAGGCGGAGATCAACGTTCGAGCCCTGAACCATGAAACGGTAGGGTCCAACAAACTCCGGAGTTCAGCCGAGACGAAAAACAACCGGCCGCTGGAAACCTCAAAAACGAGACCCTTTGCTTCCCGCATGAACTTCAATCTTCTGACACAAACGCGACCGGGGTTTTAGTGCTTAGATTAGCAAAGACCTGCAAGATTTGACATAACAGCATCACTTATACACGGCAAGTAGTGCATGAATCTCATCATTGACTGGGGACGTGCATGGTATGGTAGTCAAGTCTTGTCCATCTGGGTCGGGATAATCAGCGGTTCACCGGTTGAACAATCTAAGAACAACACATCCATGGCACGGTGCCATGGAATATTGTGGTGACACCTGCCCCTATTGCACCCACGTGCTAGAGGCAAGTACCGCGGACGCTCCCGAGGACCGAAAAAAGTGCGTGACTATCCATGATGTGTCGATCCTGAGGGCGCTGCTTAGTGATTATGCCACAAATAAGCGACTTGTACTCTGTGGCTCAGGTACAGTACTGATCTTAAAAGAATGGCCCATCCCAATCTGAACACCACGAAGCTAAAAGAGTGCTCGAAGGCAGAGAAGCCATCAACTAGGTATGAGGGCCCTTGCTGGGGTATAGTTTTGAGTTATGATGCCATCAAAGCTGATTTGCTGGTCCAAGAATTATACAACGGAGTGGATAAAAAGGGAGGCTACTTGGAGCACTTAGCTGCCTGAGTGTGCTTATATAAAGAGTTGTCAAGTAACTACAGGACGTTGTACATACTCTGCGAGCCCGACCGTCCACTCTGCCAAGCCTGCCTGACTTAAACCGGTCCTCGAACCATGAAGGAAGGTTGCCTTGTGAAACAGAAAGATTGGAAAGCATCAATTACTACCAGCAGGCTGCTGGTAGGTATAAGTACTGTCACCACCGCTACACCCGCCCACATGCTGCTACCATTCTACTATCGTCTAACCTCTTTCACACCTACGACTTTTTTGCAGTCTGTTCCTCGGCCAGCTCGCCTTCCCTAGCCTTGCTCAGTGTTCCTTCTCTTTCTCTTCCCTTTCTTTTCAGCTTATAGGTACGCTTGGGCCCCTAAAGCACCCCGTCCACATCCCAACTACCGAACAACCATGCAACACGAGCAGCCGGTACAGAACACCAGTTTCGACAGCCGGGAGAGATTGAGATCAGTCTCGCCATCCTTGCCAAGAATAACACGCTTGCCAAGAAACCCTCACCCGATGTTTTGGCACCATCGAGGACATCCATTACCGTGGTGATAACAGCACTCTGCCCTGCAGCCAGGCCTCACCTGACGTTCTGTCGAATCTGAGGTCCAAGGCTTATGACCACTACCGTTGCCATGCATGGCCAAGCGTCTGACACCGGAATCTTGTAGCCACTCCTTGATTTCCATCAGTGACTTTATGATCTACATCCCATTCTGGGTAGAAATACGAATACGTCTTCCGTGCCGCCGTACGACCTTATGCAGGGTCCCGCCCGCCTACTCCGCTACCGGTGTCGTCGGAACTTCATGGATGGAAAAAGTCGCGTGGTTGCGGGAGACTTCGGGATGCCGATGACCTTGACAATGCACGACCAGGTTGCACTCAGAGATGCCCAAGGCATACTCCATGCTGGGCATTGCGGCCGCCGTAAAATCCGGCCGTGTTGATGAAAAGGTACACTTGTGTTCCTCTTGATGAGCCTTGCAACTGGAGAGGTGCAGATTTTGGTGCTATGTGGCAGAACTCACGACAAGCCGTTTCTCGCCGACTGGAGACAGCTCGCTTTCACTGACGCGGGTTCTGCGGATTGAGGCAGGGAATGTCTCTGCGGTGACGGGCTCCCATAGCTGCTGGTTTCTGTGGGGATTCTGGACTGGGGCTCCATCGCGTCATAGTGGTAATGGGTGGGTGAGCCAACCTTTGCTGTGGAAATGCAAGGAAGTTTCTTGCCTTGCATGAGTGCAATTATGGAGAGCGAAATTGTTGGGGAATCAAGGCCATACTTGTACGAGTGGGAAGAACCTCGTGGAGAATCGTCAGCAACCAAGTGCCGGTGGGGAAAAAGTTACTCTTCGTCGTCTCCGAGCTCTCGCTGAGGAGCTAATGGGGTAATTGCAACCGCTGGCTGGGGGTTAGAACGACCTGTTACGGGGGACTACCCCACACCCAGCCGAAAGAGTCGGGGAAAAATGGGTAGAACCGGTAGAGACGGCAGAAATGGCAAGGCAGACGAGGGAAGTTTGCGGAGGTGCGGAGACTGGGCTGGAGCCGAAACCCCCCTCCGTCGGTCGGCTCGGCTACGGCTTCGCTCAATCCGGCAAGGCGGTGGATACCCCAGGCTCACAGGCCCTATACAACTGGCAATAACATCGTCATTCCGACTCATCGCCGTCTGTCCTGCTCAACTGCCAAGAACTAGTTCTCTGTCGTCCCCGCAACTCCCATATAAACCGGCTTGGCTCCCACCTTCTCACTGGGACTTTTGATTGCTGTTTCTTCTCAAAAGTCACATCTCTCGAATACGTTGCAATCATGAGACGACTCTCTCTGCTGCTGCTTGGTTGTCTCAATGCCCTTGTGGCCGACGCCACTACGGCTGTTAACCGCTCCTCGCTTCTGACCTATGCGTCCAAGCCCCGCGTCTTCGTTCTCTCGGACATCTCCAATGAGCCCGATGACACAGAATCCTTTGTGCGATTCCTACTCTACAGCAATGAGTTCCAGATCGAAGGCATGACGGCCGTCACTTCCACCTGGCTGAAAGACAGTGTGTATCCCGAGCAGATCTCGGCAGTGGTCGACGCATACGCCGAGGTGGTGGACAACCTGAACCAGCACACTTCACCGTCCTCCCCATATCCGTCAGCCGAGTACCTCCACAGTGTTGTCAAGTCCGGCCCAGCTGTAAGCATTCCATCCGTCGTTACACGAACCCCCACTAATCAAATCTAGGTTTACGGAATGCAAGGCGTTGGTCCCGGCCAGAACCTCAGTTCCGGCGCAGAGCTGCTGCTGAACCGACTCCGCCAACCGGTCGACGAACCCCTCTGGGTCCTCGGGTGGGGCGGTGTGAACGTGCTTGCCGAGACCCTGTACTACGTCCAGCACAACTTCAACGCGACCGAGGCGGCCCGTCTCCGCGGCCAGCTGCGCGTCTACACCATCTCCGACCAGGACGACAGCGGTCTGTGGATCCGCGAGCAGTTCCCCGACATCTTCTACATCGCCTCCATGCATGGCTGGAACCAGTACGGCCTGGCCGCCTGGGCCGCCATCTCCGGCGAGGAATACTACAACTTCGACGTCGGTGGCCCGGACTTCACCAAGGTGTCCGCCGCCTGGCTGAAGAAGAACATCCAGATCGGCACCTACGGCAAGGAGTACTCGGACTACAAGTACATCATGGAGGGGGACACCCCGACGTTCTTGTATCTCATCCAGAACGGTCTGGGCGTGCGCGAGCAGCCCGACTACGGATCCTGGGGCGGCCGCTACGCCCTGGTGGATCTCTCGCAGCAGGTGAAGTACCGGCAGTACAGCGACGCCGCCGACCGGGTCATCGGCCAGAACAACCGGACCTACACTTCCAACCACGCGGCCATCTGGCGGTGGAGAGACGCGTATCAGAATGACTTCGCCGCCCGCATGCAGTGGGCCCTCCCCGCCAACGAGAGCAAGGCCAACCACCACCCCGTGGTCGTGGTCAACGAGCATGCCGACCTCACCCCGCTGGTCATCGCCTCGACGCCCAATGCGACCGTGACGCTGGATGCGTCCGGGACGTATGACCCCGACCGCGACAGCCTCTCGTTCCGGTGGTTCCAGTACAAGGAGCCGGGCTCGACGGATTGGAACGTGGACAACCAGATCCCCACGCTGAACTTCACGGTTTCTGGAGACGGGAAGCGCACGCAGGTCACGCTCCCCGGCGCGGATGTGGTTTGCGACGGCAAGAGCTCCAACACCTCCGGCTGCTGGACCCTCCACCTCGTCCTGGAGGTCACCGACCACGCCGCGATCCCGCTGACCACCTACAAGCGCGTGCTGTTCGAGACGACGAACACCACTCGGTCGGAGTGACTAGTGCAGGACACGACGGTGTGGAATGAATGGGAGGACCAGGATTGGGTGGAGTATGGCATCGATTTTGAGGACTATTGGGTTGGTGAGGACTGGGAGGCACCGATTTTAGGCCGCAATTGCCCTTGTGGAAGGGGACATGGCGATATTGACGAGCATGACGAGTAGATAGTTTGCCTGTATCATTAAATGACTGTATATGTATAAATAAGGATTGATGTATATGTTTTAATTAAGCGTGGATTGCATCACATATTAGGGTAAACATAGTAATCCCCATACACACACACCCCTCAAACCAACCACAGGCACCTGCAGTAATCCCCTTCCCAAATTTCAACATCCATCACTGCCGACCCTCTGCCCCCCTCCCGAATGCCATCAACTCTCAAACCCCCCTCGGTAAAGACCGCACAACCTCAAACCCCCGGAGATAATTCTCCGCCTGCCTCCCCACAAACTCCATCCCCACCCGCTCCCCACGCAACCAAACCACCCCCGCCCGCACCTCCTCCTCCGTCGCCCACACAAACGCATCATGCTCCGCGGGCTCGAGCCTGATCCCGCCCAGTCCGCCCCCACCACCATCACCCTCCACCCCCCCATCAAGCTCCCCCCTCTGCACCCGATCGCCCCCCAATCGCTCTGTGGGCGGAGTGTCGTCAACATCCACCAGGAACGTAAATTTGACCACCTTCCTGACCCCATCCGCCCGCACAACCTCCCACGCATCCACCCCGACCAGCGCCCGGAACCGTGAAACCCGCAGCCCGGTCTCCTCGTACACCTCGCGGGCCGCGCCGGCGAGGATGGAGGCGTCGGTGGCGTCGCAGGAGCCGCCGGGGGCTTCCCACCGGCCCGGGTAGGAGTCGGTCGGGGCGCGGCGGAGGAGGAGAATGCGTTGTTCTTCTGGGGGCTGGTTGGGGGTGGTTGTTATTGTTGTTGTTGTTGTTGGTGGGGGTGAAGGATTGGCGGCGAAGAGTAAGGCGCCGGTCACGATGTGAGTGGTGGGGGTGAGGGTGAGAGGGTGTGTGTGCGTGTGTGTGTAGTGCGGGGTGGTGAGGAAGGTTGGGAGGGGGAGGGTGTACAGTTCTAGGGTCGGGGAGTGGGTGAAGGTGTTTGTGGAGGGTGGTGGTGGTGGTGGGAGTGGGGGTGATGACATTTTGAGGTTGTGGCTGTGGTGTTTTTGTGTTGTATACCTAGTAGATGGAGGTCTAGTAGCAGGTTGGGGAGAAGAGTTCCTGGATGAATGGATCCCGGATGTGATCTGGTACTGCAGTGGAGATTTTCGCAAGTTTGGGTGGTGGGGTTGTGGGCCGTGATTGATGGGGTTTGGTTGGTTGGTGGGCTGGGTACCTGGATCTTCAAGTTACTCAGTAGTTCGCTGGCTAGCGGAGGGGTTTTTGGAGGGCGGCGGCAGTAGGACTGAAAGTCCCCCAGCTGCAGAATTCAGATCGCAAGGAATCGATACATACTAGGTAGACATTTGCCTAGGAGTAGGTAATGCTCATGAAGATACTCAAAGGAGAACTAAGCAAAGGTGCTTGAAAGATGCAAGTACACGCCCTGCTGAGCCCTTTGACTGGCGATATGTTCTACAGATTAATTACCAATCACCGGCTCATCGATCTAATTCTAACTAACTACTGGGTCGATGCGGTTCTAATGTGCAGGAGACTCTCCAGCACATTGATTGCCAAGAGCCCCTGTGGCTCCTGTGGCTAGTGCATTGGTGGAAAAGCGGTTCCGCCTCCACAGCCAGAGGCTAGGTCTTGGCAGCCCGCGCAGGAATCACAGGTACGCTTGCTGCCAGGCGGGGCGGCTGCTGAAATAGCTTACGAATTCTCAATCCTATGTTCAATTGACATTGGGGCCATACAGGAGCTGGAGTAGCAAGCTAATTCCGACGTGGTGGAGAGTGCTTTCTGCTCTCAATACGGTACTAGATGATAGTGACATTGAACTTTGCAGAGGCAATGGTAAAGGGACACTATGTAGGCGGAACGGGCTTACATGCACTATGACCATGGCCCCCGGCCGCTTTGTTCAGGTCTTCTGTCAATTGGGTTGTTTTCTTATCCGTTCAAAACCGAAAGAACAAAGGATAGCAAAGAAGAGGAGGTGCGTGGAGGGAGGGGGCGGGTGGGGCGAGAAACAACAGCAGATCAGAACACCCGGCTGAACAGGAAAGCAGATAGGCGAATGCAGAAGAGAGCGCACAGTAGCGTGGGCAAGTTAGCGAACAGGCGGCTAGAGAGGCCAGTCCAAAGGCCGAGGCAGTGACCGAGCAGAAGAGCGACCAGGAGGCTGAAAGGAACCAAGAAATGCTGGCGGAAGAAAGGACAGGACAGACGCCTGCGCAAGCGACCAAACCAAATCCTGAATCGGCGGCCAGGGCGTACTGCCTCGCGTGCTTTTCGGCCATGCATCTCCAGATACGCCGTCATGTAGGCCAAGTCGCGCAGGTCTGCAGTTTCGGGGTCATCAGCTGGAAATTGCTCGGGCCTTTCCCCCCGGATACCTTCAAAATCGATCAGCCAAGCATCGCGTTTACCGTCGATCACCACATTGCCCGGCTGGAGGTCTCCCAAATAACACCCATTCTGGTGCAGGGCTTGAACAGCGTTCGAGATCTGACCCATCCACTTCTGGCACTCGGCTGGGTCTTCCACTCGCCCCGACTCGACCAGATCCCACAACGGGGTCCCCGGATGGATATAGGTCATGATGATCCCCGCGTACGGCGTACCCGCCCCCAGGATCCCTTCGAGCTTGGGCACGCGCAGGACTCCTCCGCTCGGCAACGCGGCCACTTTCCTCAGCATTTCGGCCTCGTCAACCAGACAGGCGTTGTCCCGGGCCGGTTTGTAGATCAAGGTGATCCCATTGATCGTGACTGCAAACACACGGTGATGGTGTAGGCCGCGAAAGTCCTCGACATCCGAGAACGCAAAGAGAGGAACCTCCGCCATGACCTGCTGCGCACGGCTCGTTGCCATCATTTCATTCCAGTCGACCGATTCCCTGTGGTCCGGACATGGGCACGGACAGGGCTCGACCCTCGCGGCGTTCTCGTTCTTCGGGTCGGGCAGCATCCGGAAGGCAAGGTGGGTACGAGCAAGATATGCGTCCAGAGTCTGGGGACGGGGGCGGCGCAACTCGGCTGTGAAAATGACTTCGAGGTATGGATACACCAGCCTAACGAGGTCGTGGAAGGACCTGGCGATGTACAAATCGGTGCATTGGTGGAGAAAGGTGCGGATCGGTGACCCTTCTTTGCCTGCCCCCTTCGTCTTCTCACCATCGGACGTCGTCAGGCGCTCAGGGACATCCCAGACGAGGAAGAATTCACTGTCAATGCCGGATGATGGGTTCAAACTCTTGTTACACGCAAATGTGACACCGATGTAGGTAGTCCGAAGAGTCCCTTGGTCTGCAATGTGGCCGTTAGAGCTGTATCTGGCTTCGTACGCAACCTTTCGAGTGGAAGCCTTGTAACCCTCGAGATAGGTCACTTGGTCGTGGGTCGTTCCTATTGCAGATTGATGCATAATCAGCCTGGAATGTCCACCATCATTCAGCTCGCTAAATGATGAGATGACAAAATCACCTACTCCAAATTTGCTGGTCGAATTGGCGGTCGGGATCTGAGCACCACAATTCCATCCTCGTGGGATCAGGCTTGCCAGTTCTGGATGTCGCTTGGGCTGTAGGTTCGGAAAGAGAGGGGCTTGGGCAGTTGAAGTGGGTGAGGTCGATCGCTGGGTAGACGAGGTGGAGAAGTGAAGACGTTTGGGGTGCTCGGTGCACATATCTTATACCTGGGTGGGATGAAAGATTCTAATTTTACCAGACCGTAAAAAGAAATTGATGATATCTTTGACATATGTAGGTGACAAAGGTACGGTCCAGTTGCTTGCGCAGGACGGAGAGTGGATGATTGGGTGGACCAAATTTTGTTGGTGTTCAATGTGGTGGCATCGCTCACTGCTTTGAGCGGACATACATGAGTCCTTTGTCTGAGGATCCGGGAGGCTGAATGCACCCGCCCCCCACACTTAATCAGGTCAAAAAAATCTCTCTCCAGCTGCGAGCAGTCTACCAAGCGAATAAGCTAAGGTTATTGCGCTTGGTTCATCTACTCACTCCGTGTTAGGTTTCAGCTTTAGCAATTCTTTCTTGGGATTCGAAAGGCTGGATGCCCCAAGTTAATCCGGTCGATCACCCTCCTCTGACATTCCATCAAGTGCCTACAAGTCTTCATCACCCAAGGAGCTGCTAGCTATCACGGTTAATGTACCTATTCATTCAATTTCATTCTCAATTCTAGGAATCGTATTTCTGAGTTCAAGACACAGCCAGTGTGGAGGATTTATTGATTGCCTTCCCTTCTCATTCCCACATAGGTCGATTGCAACGGCCAGCTCAGAAAGCATAACTTGACTCCCGATATGAGTCTCGTCAGTCTCCTCCATCACGGTGGTGGCTGTGTGAAGTGTCTTTGACTGTACTGTTGATGCGTAGAAATGGCTAGTAGCCAGATTAACTGTTACGGGGCGATACTACCGGACGGAGTCGTCAAAAACATCGATCAACTAAACCATACTTAAAGTGTGACAAGTTCCCTTCCCTGATCGCTGCCCTACAAGAAAAGTCCATCTACAAGTTCCAAATCACTTCTTTTTCTGTCTAATCAGTTGCTGGCGTCACGCTGCAAACCAAAAACACAATGAATCCTCTTGAGTTCGTTCTTGGGATCGTACTCTCAATCCTGGGATGGTTCCTTTTGATATACATCTCTAACCTGATATCCGAGAATTTCGACCGCGAGAGAGATGTGATCACAAACATCCAGTTTCAGGGCAATCCGCCAGCCATCAACATGCAGCGACGTGCGGCTTACCCTGCCAAAACGGAAAGATGAACACCAGTAAGTATGCTCTTACTGAAAGAAGAACAGAAACAATATACTGACCGATGAAGAGTACCACCAGTCAAGACGGAAGCGGGGAGGGTATTCTGTGGGCTTCCCTGATCTTTTCTTTTTTTTGTACCCCCTCTCTGTGTGAGAGGGAGGTTTCTTTTTGGAAGGGTCAGGGAGTTCAGGGGGTTCCGATGGATCGATTTGTCATCTAGAGCATTTCTCAGGTTATGGCATTGATATCTTGCAGAGGGGTGGTGCATGTAGGCAATTGTTTGAAAGGCAGAGTAGTGGTAGAGATAGTTATCCTTTCAGAGGTTATAGAACAAACAAGCTCGGTCGGTCCTCTTGGCCCTGGCTCCGCTGCTGTGAATAGCATCTGAAGCGTTTGCCCTGGGCAAGTAAATCCCTTGAAGCATTTTCTAGCTAATAGAGAGCCTCCTCTACGAACTCAAAGGTATAGAGGGGGATAATGCTTCCAGTCAATGTGGAGAATTGCACGGATTATACCCCAGCATAACACTCAGCACTCAGACCATATCGCGGGACAGCAAAAGTCTTCCAGCCCGTGCAAAGACCCTCCTACCCCTCAGGAGACAGTTCCCTAGCGGTCACCAATCCTACCGTCATAGACGCCTACAGAAATAAAATACAGTCGCCTCTCTTTACCGTTCCTCGTACGGCTCAGTATTCCGCCTCCCCTGAAAGTGGTTTCCCGAAACCCGACGGGAAGGGAACGACGAATGAGTTGATGGCGAACGCCTACGCAGGGCCGGACGGTCGTCCGGTACGGCGAGCACGAGAGGTGACATGTCCACGGCGACCAATCCCGTGGTCGGTCTCGTTTCCCAGCGCAGCGCTGGTCGCCTCTTGACGGGGAGAGATCGATATTTCCCCGGTAGTGTGGTTTGGTTGCGTCTATCCGAGTTTGGAAGATGCGCAGCACGAGCAATGAGACATGCTTATGCGCGCGAGGTGAGCGGTCGGTGTTGTGAGACATTGGGTCGCAAACCTGACAGGGAAATGGGGTCACGGAGAAAGGGCTATGCCGGGTTCTGTAGGAGGATTTCGGATGGTATTAGCGGTAGAAGGAGATGGGTCTATCTTTGAAGATGGGAGTCCGTCTATCTATTCTCCGTTGCTGGAAAGAGTCAGTACTGGACGGCGATGGAAGAAGGAGGCCTGGGGATAGCTCGAAAATCGTTGATGATGGCAGTGCAAGTGTTCCGGCTCAGGAGAGTACTTGCCTTTCCGCCGTGCGTGTATGACGAGCTTGGTCTCTAAGTTTCACTCCAGCGGCGAGGCTGGACAGAGGTTCACTCCTCGTCTCACTGCGACTATCCGACACTAGCTAAACCAACCAACACGACTCAACCCGAGTTCCCTCCTTACCGTTTTCCTGCTCGCAAGCCACACTCGATCTAGACCAAAAGGATATTTTACAGCGTACTGGATGAAGTAGAAGGTGGGCTTAGGGTGGCAGGGAGGCGTCACCTACGGAAGATACACGCCGCTGCGGAAAATGAGTCCGCTGCTCGTCAAACGCAATCCTACGATCTACGGGCCTACGGGTCTTAGACTCTCCGAGAATCGCCTAAGCCTCTCGAGAAGATTGCTGTCCTAGGAATGGATGACATCAGAGGCTCTATTTCTCCGAGACCGCAGGTTGATGGACTAAATAGACTGTGTCAACCGGACGGAGCAGAGGTATTTGGAGGAATGTTGCATGGGCCACAGAATTTGAGTCTGGACTGGTGGGGAATACGGGGTCAGATCATGTTACGGATAGTAGAGCATAATGGGCCTGCTGACATGTCATGCACAAGTTCATGTGATCATTGGGACTGGGTTGTCTCAGCCCTCGTCGACGATGGCCTCGTCGCTTTCCAAGTGATCAGCCATACTTCCTGCTTGCTACGGGTTATGGGAGCCGCTTCCCGACCCCAACAGCCACCCCAAAACTCTCTCTCTCATCAGACAAAAGAGCCGATTGCTTGTGTTCTGGTAGGATCTTCCTGTTCTTTTTCCTGAGATCTTCACGTCGGCTACCTGAATTCCTCCTTCTCCAGGTAAAGATACCAATCTTTCTTGCGAGCCCAGTTCCAAGTTCACCAATCTCGAAGAACCCACCATCATCCTCGACCTACCCACACCTAAATCGCAATGACTACCCACGGAGAAGCTTTTTGACATGACCGAAACGTGCGGAAGACCTCCCACCCGATCCATGAACGCGCTGAACGCGATTCCGGCCTCTACTCCTCTGGGCTGGCGACTCGCACTCTTCCACCGACATTCTTCCGGTGACTGGAGCTTACAGTAATTTTTCTTTGAAGCTGAGTATCAAACACATACGACCACAGGGTGTGGAAAATAGGGCTTCCCGTCCGCTCAGCCGTACTCAAGCCACACGCCGGGAGGTTAGTAGTTGGGTGGGTGACCACCAGCGAATCCCTTCTGTTGTATGTTTTTGCATACTCCCCTTTCATCTATTGTCCTCACACCGTTGTTTCTTGAGAAACACATCGAAAGTTTCTCCTCTGTGCTGTTCATTCACTTTAGTCGGCCGCCTTCGACCAGTTCCGCCGGTGACCGGTCACAATTGAGGGGTGTTGTTGTTTCCTTGGCTTTCACTTGATTTGGAAGACAGCAAGATGTACATGCCGTAGTGAACGGTGGTTTTAGCCTGATTGCAAGACACAAAAAGAGAAGCCAGATTACAGTCACGATTTGTTGAAACTTTCTATCTCAGTCGGATACCTGGTCCCAGTGCTGTACTCGGTCCGCGGGCTGGGGTTGCGGCGAAACCCTCTGTGGCAGTGAATTTGTCTTTTCTCTTTGCCATCTCGAAGACTACGAATCCGGGATCGGACTAGATCCCACATTAACATACTTTTCGCGGAAATAGACACAGATTTCTCTTTTGTGGTAAAAGTAGATGTTATCTAGTACACATACGACTACTACTGAGCTACAGGACCAATGTATAGATTTCTACTTAGGCCATGATAATACCTAACCTTAGTTCCTCAGTCCTCAACATAAAGACCGTGAGAAAATCAGCTACCATGGTATCAAGGGCGCAATATATTGATTCCATTCTCCAAGGACAATTTGAGATGATCATGACAATTTGATGGGATAATTCAATCTCGAGCCTTGATGCCAACAGTAGCTTGTCTTCAGAAGAGGAGACGTACTGTTCTCATCAATGCACAATCAATACTAAACTAGAGAAACAGCTGGTCCAAGTAAGTATCCTGCAGTCGGTGGGTTGAAAAACATGTAACAATCCGATCTGGAGTACTCTCCAGTTGGCTTGTGGTCGACTTTGGCAAATAATGGAATATATATATCTTATTTATAGTGTTGTAATGCATATGAGCGAGATTAACCGCCATAGCAATTAGATATGATTTAGTAGAGGCATATTCAAAAACATCTTAACCAGCATAAACATCCAGCAGAGGCCATACTACAAAAAAGGATTTATATACAATACAGTTACAGTTTAGGTAACCAGTAATTGACATCGTCGACACCTGCCATCTCAAGCCACTAAGACATTAAGGCAGTGATCTTATCAGCCCTCAGCCATCAGCCCGATAAGCACAATTAATATTGTTCTCAACTACTGTTTATTATACCTCAATATACACCCTCTACTTTACTTCCACTTCCGCTCGACCACCATCTATACAGCTCTTCTCCTCTTACATCTAATCTAATCCCTAATTTCCCTGGCATGAAGAGTAACAACCTCTAAAGGGAAATATATAGCGTACACCCTTCTCCTCCACGCCCACTTCCTGAACATCACAACTATTATCTCTACCGAGCGCATCAAACAGAAACTCCTCTACGTGCGAGCGATCTTCCCGACCCAGGAAGACAATCGCCACCGCCACCGCTGCAAGGACTACTTCCCCCGCCACCAGAAACCCCGGCCCCTTTCAGCGCGGGAGCGGCGCGCCCACATCGAGGTCTTTGGGGTGCCGACCTCGCAGGAGAATGCCAGAAACAAGTTCAAGGTCCAGAACAAGAATTAGATTCAGAACCAGCCTTAGGGTGAGGGCGATGGTGGGGCTGGGGAATACAAGTACGTTATTTTCAAGCGCCTGAGCGCGCTGTGAGTGAAGTATATGCTTTCTGTGCTTGATCTTGAAGACCCCCGGAGTAAAGCAGGGTGTGTAATGACGCCGAGTTCGAATGGAAATAAGCTGCTCAGCTGCGCCTATTATAGGATGCAGGTAAAGATCGTCCGGAGTTGGTGTGCCTTGAGAATCTTGGGTGAGAAGAATTGTGGTTAGGAATGGAATGTTTACGGTGGTGGGGGAGGGGGATAAAGTTACGCGTGAGTCTTCGGTGCTCTTTTTTCTCTTGAAGGGGTGGGGGGTGGCCTGGGCTAGGCTGGGCTGGGAGGTATTGGTTGTGCTAACTTTGGTGGTTGGGATTGGGTAGTGATTTTGAAGGAGCATACGGTATTTCGCTTTAGGTTGCCTTTACCCTTTTCTTCTTCTGAAGGGGGGAAAGATGCAGCTGCAGCTGGGGATAGTGAGGGGCAATATCAAGCGCAGTAGCAGCAGAAGAAGCTTGTTCTTGAGTTGTATAGCAGCCAGTTTCAGAATCGGTCGGTGGATCGCGCGAATAAGAAGTTTAAGTGGAGGAATGTGACTATGTTTGAGCGGCTGCCTGGACCGTCCCTTGTTTCTGTTTCCGGGAGGTTGAATTACGGGGGCAGTTGTATGGTATAAGGACTGTTGCCCATGCTGGAGCACTGGGTGTCCTGAGTGGGCTTGTTGCTGGCTTACTGCTGAGGTTCTTGGCCATGAAGGAAGCATGGCTACTGAGCTTGAGAATCATGTCTAAAAGCTCGCCTTCGACGCCTTCGTTCCCGGGGTGAACTCGGAAGAGGGTTTCGATCCACTGCAGTCACACCCCCGATCCGGCTGCAAGCACTGAATAAAAAGAAGAAGCTGGAGGACTATTTCTTCTGTGTATATAAAAATGTTTTATATGTATTAAGCTGGTGCTAGTTTTAGTATATAGCATACAAGGCCTCAGGCGCCAACTGGTGGATGAAGCCGAGCTCTGTACAAGGGCCTAAGTCCCATAATAACGTTGTTCTTAAGATATTCAATTCATCAATTCTTATTAGTAAAATCAGTTCAGTTAGGTTATAAGTTTATGATAATAATAGCAGCTCGATATTTTAATAATCGATTTCAAGACTTAGATAGTGACTATAACTCAAATAAGCTGTCTTCTTCTTTATTCCTCGTAGCATGAATTTCCGCTGTCATTTTTTTATTTAATAGTTCATATAGGCTTATTTTAATACTAATATAATACTAAATATAAACTTTGCTGCATGTAAAAATAAAATTCTTAAGTATGAGAAAATAACTTAGAGAGGGAGTATGGCCTACCCGGGGCCCGGTCCTGCCGTTGTTTACCGCCTCGTCAGGTTCTGCTGTCTTACCCCGCCTGCGGCGGCATCTTTTGCCTCAAGCCTTCTGGTCATTGATCCTTCGATATTGACAAGGATCAATGAAGCACCATTGAATAATCGAAAATCGCCTCCTGAGAGACTTCCTACACCCATGACAGAGAGAGACTATATAGACTAGCGAAGAATATATATAAAGTCATATTAAATGCCTATTTCAATGATAGCAATCATGAATAATGATTACTTATATGAGTTCTATGTATAATTGTAAATAAGAAGCGTTGATAGGTTCTATCAAGCAGCTTTGGTAATAGTTAACTCTACTAATATCATTCAATTTTCTGCAGCCGATTAATTCTATGTAAACCCTTATATTTTCAATACATCCATGACTGCAAACTAAGGAGCCGCTAACAAGCTCATTGTTAAGGTGAGTATATAGTGTAAGTTCTAGAGTTCATTATATAAGTATCTGGGTGGCGAATAGTACTGCTGATAATGTTACTGGATATGACGTAACTTCCAGCGCCCTGCAGCTGCTACACTCACGCCCACACCTGGCTCTGCATACCCAATCTTCTTAATGCTCGAAGGGAAATAACCCTTCCGTAGGGTCGCCTAATTTCTGCACATGACTCGTTATGTCCGTGCTTCGAACGCCATACCTGGAAAAGGCAAACCAATTGGTAGTTGTGTTGGGACTGGTGTTGAGCACAAGCTGTCTGGTGATGCGGATTTACACAAAGACTGCTGTAATGAAGAGATTTTGGTGGGATGACGGTACGAATTCTAGGACCCCCCTTTTGGCTTGTGCTGCATCTGCGTTCCTCGAATACACAACATGACGCTTATGAATGTAGTTTTCATCATTGTGGCCTGGGTAGAACCCCTCAATCTCACGCTTGGGTCCGAATTCTCACGGCTTACCTATATCGTCCAAAAAAGACCTTTGCTGCTGCCATCCAAGCGACCCTACTTTGTACGAGTGGCACCGCTCATCAAACAGGTTTGAGCTAATTGGGACTGCTGTAGATGGATTCAGCCACGCTGGGGTCGGCATCCACATGACAGAGTTGTCACCCTCGACCCTGGTAGCTCTACAAAAGGTATAGCTCCCATGCGTGTGCAACTGCTGCTCACCGTTCACTTCTATGAAGGCGCACAGCTTACGCTAAGGCATTAATTCCGCCCCTATCCAACATTGAGACCGTGATAACCGCCTCAATTGTTTACCTCCCTTGTCTCGCATTCGCAAAGCTCGCCTTGCTTATGCTGTACTATAGACTCCTGTACACAGTCAAAGCGTGGGTATACACACTCTATCTCGTGGGATTTGTGGTTGTTGGATACACGATAGCACTAACTGTGGTGCTCATCTTTCCCTGTGACCCCATCGAGAAAAACTGGAATCCGTTGATTCTCGAAGGGTCTTGCATTGATCGGAACGGCGCATACCTCGCGACCGCCGCCACGAATACTGTCAGCGATATCATATTGCTACTGATTCCCGTTCGAGTGATCTCGAAGCTCCAGATGCCGCTGATGGAGAAGTTGGGTGCCTTTCTCATGTTTGGCATTGGTTCTCTGTGAGCAAAGCCCGGCTTGTTCCCTTCTTACCACGTTCGGACTGCAACGGCGGCACGAATATCTCGGAGCCCTTAGGGTTTGCCTGTTAAAGTCTTTTTGTCTTTGGATGACTGAAACGTAGTGCAGGACGATTATCATGAGTATCGTGCGGCTGGCGACCTTATGGCCACTGATCAATTCTCAAGATTTTTCGTATCACCTCGCCCTCGTCTGTACATTCGTGTGAGTAGAGTCTTTGCCCTCTCATCCATTTTTTCTGTGATGAATGAGAAACCGAGAAACCGCAATTAACGGTAATGGACCAAATCGTCCACACCAAGTGGATAGCAACATTGAAGCGAATCTCATCATATTATGTGCCTGCCTACCCTTTTTGCGCCAGCTCATTCGCCATTTTGCACCCCAATGGACACCGTGGGGGGGGCACTCCCGGAATACTCGAAGCTCGTCGTCCACTTCAACTCCAGGCAGAATCTTGCGGGGTGGACCTCGAGCTGATGCCGTTGCGGTGGATCTTGAGATCTCGAGTATAAGTCAGGAAACGGTGCAGGACGGCTTTTGGCACACAGAAGGTTCTTGATGTTGACCCCGCCTTCGGAGGCTTCCTGAAGTGCCTGGTCCTGGACCATAATAGAAAACAGGCTAAGGGATTGCCGTATACCTGATCAATCTGATATGGGCCCAAAGCTTACAAATAGTGTTCCTGATATAGTTAGTCACAGTCACATGGTATCCGGGGATCATGCGTACACCTGGAACTCCGGGTTACGGACCAGCACCTAGGGCTTGGTCAGGAATGAACAACTCGGAAGTCCGTGCCCAATGCGCAGTCTCGCTAGGGTTCTGCAATAGGGAGACATTTAACTTCGGATGTTGTTGAAGGGTTAAGATGCTCTATCCTAGTAGCATTATATGCGTAGCAAAGAACGACAAGATCTAAGACTTGACATTAGAATAGCCAGGGATGGTATAATACGGGGACACACTGTGATTTCTATAGCATGTCCTTGGAAATTGGTAATGCTCCACCTTGCGCCACCTATCGAGTTGAACGGCACGCCTGGGCCGTCAGATACTCTTTGAAGGAGCGTGCTGATGTCTTCCAAGTACCAGACGGACATCGGCAAAAGAAGTTCCCTAGAGCCTTCCTATACTGCGGGCATGTGGAAGTCATTATGAGCAGGCCCGGGTTGCGAAGGGTCCTGCGTAGCCTGCCAGGCTGTTCCTTAGCTTGTGGATCCGAGTGAGTGTTGCTGGAGGATTCATCGCAGAAACCTTGGGTTTGGGCGTCCGTATAGACGGACGGTAGTCTGCAAACAATACCTAGTTATTTTTCCGACGACGGAAAGCCGTTGTGTGAACGACTGGGTAGAAAATAAGCTGAGCACTGGTATAATGCATCAGTGGCCCGCAAACGTGGGCAATGGACAATCCGTCGCATTTACTATATCACAGTCGTCAGCGGTGGTCCTATCCACACTCCACCAGAAGGGTAACTCACCGATCGACATCATAATCATCCCAAACTCATCCGCCTCCTCAAGCCACTTCTCCGCCCTCTCCTCCATCTTAATCCCCGGTCGAATCTGATCAAATTCACCCTGGATATATCCATGCCCATCCCATCTGGCAAGCCACCGGATATACAGAGAATTCCACTCCTGCTCCGACTTTGCCTGCCAAAGTATCTTCGCCGCAGGCGCAGGCATGAACCCTACCTGGCGGCAATCTAACGGCGGAGCGTTGTGAAAGACGGATAGTGCCCAGTGGAGGAGGTAGAGCGATAGGACTGCGCGTCGCTTGGAGGTGACGTGGACCCAGGCGGTCCAGGTGGGACGCATAGCTTCTCTTTCCTCCTGGAGGAAAAGGCCCATGTTGGCGGCGTGGTTGGCCAGTTCTTGGATCTTGTGGAGGAGCGTTGGTGGGGGCAGCGTTGGGCGGGAGCTCTCGCCGGGGAAGCGGAGGATGATCAGGTAGATTACTATTGCTTGGAGTATTGCGAGGAGGGCGGTTTCGTCGAGGTCATCGAGCTTCAGTCATCAGCCGACGTCGGTTTCAGAGCTGGATGTGCGTACGCACCTTGTTCAAGAGGCTGTTTGCTTCGTTCAGGATCAGGCGGTAGACTAAGTCCTCGGCTCCACGGCATTGCCCGTGCCACATTTTTACTAGAGTGAAGCAGTTGGCGAGGGATTGTGGTAGAGTCATACCATCGGCAATATAACTGTGGTGAATGAATGGAGGCGTTTGGAAATCTCCTGCAAGCATTTTAGGCCAGGATCGAAGAACACGGAAGATGAACTCCATGCTGTGGTTCGTCAACGCCGCTGCGGGGGATTGTGCAATTGGATCTGGTGAGAGCAGCGAGCTTGGAATCTCACTGATCAAACCAGTAGGGTATAATTGGGCATTGTCATTACGAACCAGGGCTGCGGGGTCGCGACACGGGGACAGGGAAGAATTTACGTCAAGGGGAAAAGACAGGTCCCAAGGCGCAGGGTCGGCAAGCAGGGCCTCGAACAGGCTTGACGAATCAGCAGCCGGTGGCTCCGGTGGAGTTGATATGTTCACTTGCGGCGCCGAAGTCGTCTGCTCCCTCTCTGGTGATGGAGAGCCAGATGAGTCCAGGAAGGAATTTGAGTACTGGCAGGATATCTGTCGCATGGAGCACCGCGAGCAGCTAGGGCGCTTGAGATTACACCGCGTCTTGTCCGCGACACACTGGCTACATGCCTTGCGCCGTACCGTCTACGGCTAGGGTTGGTTGCACTTCTTCCGGAGGTGACGGATAAGCGAGGAGCCTGTTGATACTGCATAAGAGAGGGCACCGGAGATAGAGCTCAGAGGGCCTCACGATGGGTGAATGTGGTGGCACAAAAGGGGCACTCAGCTCTCTTCTCCATCGCTGCAGGTTCCATGTTTGTGATTGTGAAGATCTATTTTGAGATGGGAGAAGGGTATCTGGACCAGACCACGATACAAAACTTACGTCGTAGGGAGGGGAGGTTCGAGGTGCAGCAGTGGTGGATCCCGAACCCGGAACTCCGGGCTGAGCTCGGCTACTATGCCTTTCTGGGAATAGCTTTAGCAGCCCTGCATTTGATGGACGATTCCAGTCAACAACCATTTGGCACAACAGTATTAAAGCTCTCCATCTGCCCTATTGGCGCTTCCATGGTACCTAATGTGGGCTCCTGACGACCTGAACCTTGAACGATATGGCCTAATCCGGAACTCCGAGCTCCACTCAGGGCTACTAGGTAGGTATACGCGCCTGCCTACCGTACTTTGAGGGCAATCCGCAGCCAGTTAAAACCCCGGTTCCATCTCCAAGCCCCCACGAATATGACTCTTGACTGGGATTCCTGGCGGAAGAATGGGTATCTTCATATCCCCGAATACCTCAATTATCTTGAAGGCTGTGGCATCGGGGAGCGGGTGCAGAATGCATTGACCCGGTATGCATACGACAGCAATGGACCGGAGCTAGGGCAAAAGTGCTATGACCTTCTCCGCGAGATGATTCAACAAGACCCACTTTACTACGCCCTCATCGTTGAATGTCGCCCAGATAAGGAATCCAATCTCGTTCATCGTTCCACTATGACGCCCTCCAATCATCATCACCAGTGGACGCCTCCGAACATGTTAGGGCACCAACACGATAACGATATTCAAAGCAGTATCTTACTGCCCACCCTCGCTGTCAACCACCTGGTCAACCTGGTACCCGGATCACATACAGAAGCACAATCCCCCTTGGCACTCCACCCGTCCAACGTAACACTCAACCCCGGGGATCTGATCATCATGATGCCAACCCTTCGACGAGCGGAGTCCACATTTTCGGCCAGTGCGTTGTTGAATCTATCGCAGGCTGTGGTAGGCGGAAGTGAGCTTGCTTCCATGTCTACCGCCGATGCTCTCCTACTAGACAGAGTCCCCGGAACGGAGGCCCTTCCTCCCCAAACCCGTGACGAGCAGAACCACCAGCAGCATCAGCAGCAGCCTTGCGAGGGTGGCTTGGACTGTGCCTCCGCGCTGGGCGAGGCCTTGACTGGCCATCGGGACTGGAACGACCCGAAGGTCACTTACCAGTGCAATATCGTTCTGGGCACTGATCATGGAGCCGCCATGGCCTTCGTGACGCGCATCCGCGAGCGCCTTGCCCTAGACTTCCACGAAACACTGGATATGTTCGAGAACTCTCGCTCGGACGGCGGCAGCGGCGGCGGGGGCGGCGGCAGTGCAGCCGCTTTGTGGAGTGCAACGACAGTTAACGTCAACACTGAAGGCACCTGGCCGGAATTCAGTCCTGGGGAGCTGGACCTGACGGAATTATTTGGCGTCGATTCCACGGGGAATCAAGTCCTTCCTAGCACCACTGATCTTACGTCAGTATCGTCGCTGGTTGGTTATGGATATGGTTTGTGACGGCGGCTCTGGGCCTTGGTGCCTGAGGTTGCTCGCTCACCGCCCATCTCGGTGGCCTTAGCTAGTTCTCCCAGATAGCCTCATGTAAGAGAATCCATCCATCTTCCACCTCTCTCGGAGGCGCCATCAGTTTGTGATGCGGCACATCGTTCTTTGGGGGGCGGGGGTGTTCTGGTTGGCGTGGAGCTTTTGCCTGCCGCAAAGTCGGGGTTTGTTTTCTTGCACTCGTAAAACACTTTTGCGTATCTGGTTGTTGATTCCAATGTTTGCGCTGGGAGAACATGCGATGTGAGTCTAAAGTATCAACATTACATGATAGAATGGCCTAGTTGTCTACAATGATCATGAGTGAAGTTAGGGAGGGTTAGGGCTCAGTAGATAACTAGTGGTTGAGGGGCGTGGACAGTGGCTGCCTGAGTACCAAGGCCGTCGGACGGCTGCCTTCTTATTCTCCCACAATCCACAATTCACACCTCTGAAGTTCTTCTTCATCTCATCACCATCCCTTCAGAAATCCACTAGGGATTACTCGAACTCATCCTTGAACATGACTTTTCTTCGTCTCTATGAATGATCTATCTTCAAAACCAACCCAGCAAAGAAAAGAAAATAGCATTCCATAATGCAGACCACCCACGCAGTCATAGCAGAATACCACTCACTCTCGTTACCCCTGCCACTCATGTCGCTCAAATCTCACGCTACGAATTATCCCCATGCATTATGGGGGGATGCAAACAACGAATATCCTTAATCACGTGCGTGTCATTCAAAATAAAGATAGGCTTCACATCCCGCAATCGCTCGTTGAAACCTAGAGCTCTACCTCTGCCTAGCGATTCCGACCGTGGAGATCTGACAGCACAGCTTCGAAAATCCCCTTTACAAGACCCTCACTCTCATCCACGTTGGCAATCTTCGCCGAAAGCGCCTTGTGAGCCTCTTCCGCATATTCCAAGTACCGGGCTCGCAGCCCGAGAGTCTCGAAAATCCCCTTCACTCGGTCGACATCGCCACCGGCATAGGCGACCTCCAACTGCTGCCTCTGCTCCGTGGTAGCCTTCGCCAGCGCCTCAACGAGCAGCCAGGTACACTTGCGCTCGACGATGTCCGTGCCCACTTTGCCCGTGGTCTTGGGGTCTCCAAACACGTCCAGGTAGTCGTCCTGGACCTGGAAATACGCGCCCAGCTGCAGTCCGAGATTTTGCACGGTCGAGAGGTTCTGCGGGGTCGCGAGGTCCAGGTAATGCACGACGAGCGCCAGCGGCAGGTATACCGTACAGTAGGCGGTCTTCTGCACGGCCAGGAACGCGTACGCCTCGGCGGTATGGTGCTGGAAGCCCTGGAAGCACGACTTGCTGATGTGGCTGTCCGTCACCCCGCCTAAATCCATATGGAGGATCGTCTCGTCCAGGGTATCGAGGAGTTGTGGGTAGCGCGGATGCGGGGCAAGGTGTTTCCGGAGCAGGTAGCGGCCGCAGGAGCGCATCAGGAGCGCATCGCCGATGGCATCCAGGCCAATGTTGGCGTGCAGGTAGCGGCAGAGCTTATTGCGGCGGAAGACGGATCTGTCCATCATGTCGTCGTCAATCAGGTAGGCCGCGTGCAGGATCTCAAGATACCAGCCGATGAGCGAGAGATCACGAGCCTGCTGCTCCGTGAGCCCGTGGGCAAGAAGTCGCTGGCCGGCTTGCAGAGGCATACGGCCTCGCCACCGCTTGCCCCTTTCGGTCGAATCGCGGAGGCACTGTAGTTCGATCAGGCTCTTGCTTCTGCACAATGGGCCAAGGGGGCGGAGCAACATACCTTGTCAAGTCTCTCGATCACACTGCTGGGTGTTTTCAAGGAGGCGAGATGTTCCCGTATCTCATGCAGCAATCCTTCCAGGAACGCATCGAATTGAGCCATGGCCGAGTCAAAGGCTGAAGAGTCCTTCAACATCGGAGGAGACTGTGGGACCTGGCAGTGGTTTACTAGCACCTCCACTGGATGATAGCTAGGTATCGGGTCCCGCGATGCTGCGTAGAGATGAAACTCCTCGTCTTCACGGGTGGGATCGGGCAACAGCGAGGGCAGAGCGTCCAGCAAATCTGATTCACTGGACAGCAGCTGCAAAGTCTCACAGATTTTGCGGGAAGAGTCCTCGTCTGGACGCCGACAGGTCCCCGTGAGCTCGTGCGTGATGATGGGTTTACCCGGTACCTTCGCGTGGAGATACATTGCAATCGCGGCCACCAGACAGGCGTTCGGTGTGCTCTCCGCAGAAACAGCGGCTTCAGTCACCCAGAGGATGCCTTTTGTTCTGTTCAGGAGCAGTGCTAACCGTTCCACAAACATCTTGTCCGGCGAACCTTCCTCCTCGACACCGCTGAATATGATACACACGGTATCTCGTTGCAGGGGACTAGTGGGATCAAGAGCGTAATCCATTGAAAAGGTGGGAATATCCCGAAAGCCATGTTCCTCACACGAGGATGTCAGCCCTTGTACAGTGCCAGGCGGATAGTGGCCGTTCTTGATCATCACATAGGAATGATTCTGGTCAACGGCAGTAGAGGTCATCACGCTGTGGAGATACAGACTGGGGTCATCGAAGTCCCGTGCACACAAATCAAGTCCTGAAAAACCCGTCGAGCGGAGGACCTGATCCCATTCACCCTCGTCGATCGTGGGTCCCAGCTCTCTGCCTTCATCGACACCTACAAAGCCCAAGTCTACATGTCAGATCTGAGGTGCAAAAGACATGGAAAAAAGACATCCAATACATACCGGCCCACCACCCTGGCAGCGTCCCAAAGATGATCGACCATCTTAATGGCGGATTGGTAAGTTCCAAAAGTATTAATTTGCCTCCGGGCTTCAGTAGCCGTCTCAAATTCTGCATTGTCGTTCGGATACTTGGCGTCGCGTGAATCACATCCGCCGCCACAATGGCATCGTATGAACCGGGCTCAAAGCCTTGAGCCACCACCTCTTTGCTGATGTCAAGAACTTTAAAGCTGACCTTCGAAGCCCACGGCGCGAGAGTCTGCCGAGCCTTGGCGAAGAAGCCAGGTGATATGTCGGTGAACTCGTACTGTTGCAGGGGCAGATCACTTGCATCCTTGCTCAAGGTCTGAAGGATGTGCAGCGCCGACGCCCCAGTTCCAGCTCCAACCTCGAGGATCCTCATTGCGGTATTGTTGTGACCGGTCACGATGCCTTGGATGGCTTCTGCTACTTGATTTTGACACTGCTGCATACCAAGCGCCGAGCGGTAATACCTGGCAAGGAGATCCCCGTCAAGCATCAGAGAGAGTGGCTGTATTTCACGCCGCAGGATTTGGCCAAGGCTGTCCCCAATCCTACATAGCAAGTCCCCTTCTGGGCCACAGTTCTTGGCGGCCTCCACGATCTCCTGCTTGCTTCGCCCATCGGGAGGGAGCGAATCTCGATCCCGGCCGAGTCGCAGGGCAGCGACGAGAGAGCGGTGCTGATCGCTCAAGCGGTCGAAATCATCGTCGGTCAGGGCATTTAAGGCTGTTTCTGCAAAGTGCTTGGCGGCAGCATCAAGGGAGCTGATCATTCGTCCGACGAGCTGGTCTGACTTCTCGTTCACGTCCCTCCTTCCCTCGGCCAAGCTGAAGGGCTTTCCTTCGACACTGGGTCGCAAGTTTTGTCGGCTGGTGAGTGTAGACATGAGTCACTGTCAGCGCCGACAGCTACCGGGGTCTCGATCCAGTATCGCGTGGCATGATTCCAAGGATAAGTCGGGAGGTCAACGATGAGTCGAGGAGGAGCCTGCCACGCCTGTGCCGAAATGTTCACGGCTTCGATATCGACCGCACCCCCCTTCATGGCCACGGCGGCCGCCGTGTCGAGCATACTGGAGACCCCATCGGCTTTTCGCATCATGCACGGAGTGTAGTCCACACTGTTTTGCATGTGCAAGGATTTCAGAATCTGCTTGATCGGACCGTTAAGGGTGGCGTGAGGCCCCACCTCCACCAACAGGTCCAATTCGCGCGGCGCGCCGGACCCCTGACACACAGCAGAGACAGCTTCGCAGAACCGGACCGGTTGCGTCATGTTTCGGACCCAGTACTCAGTGCCTAGCTCGGTGACCTCGACTCTGGCCCCAGCGACGGAGGAGTAAAAGTGCACATCACTACTGGTCCGGTGGTGGTGGGACTCGATGTCTGACAGCGCCTGGCGACAAGGCTCGGCCAGCTGCTGCACATGCGCAGAGTGATACGCGACGCCGACATTCAGGCGCTTGACCAGAGCTCCATGCTCGGGAAGAATCCTCTCCAGCTCGCGGATACCGGCCAAGTCCCCGGCCAGTGTCACGCTCCTCGGGCTGTTGTAGCAGGCCACGGAGACAATGCCGGTTTCCAGCCGAGACAAGTAAGGCTGGACCTGCTCGGCCGACCATCCGACCGCGAGCATTCCTCCGGCGGTCCGCGTGTGACTTCTTTCCAAGCTCGCAATGAGCTGGCCTCGATGAAAGGCCACCTTCATGGCATCGGAGAAGCTTAAGGCACCAGCCGCGTATGCCGCGGCTATCTCACCACCGGAGTGGCCCACGACCGACCGGGAACGGATCTTCCAGGACGACAGGAGATCCACCAGGCACAGCTGCGACGTCGTGGTGATGACCTGGTAGACATCGGGGTGATCGATCCTACTGCCTTCTCCGTATCGGAATGTTTCGTCTATTGGGGAACCCCCAAATATCAGTAAAACCTGCCGAGGAACCCGGGCCACACACAGTATTGTGATCTCGACTGGAAAAGCCTGGAACTCACCTGTCGCTTTCCATGTGCAGCCAAGTGCTCTTAGACATTCGTCAGCTCGGAGAAAGGATTCACGGAACACTGGATACCGCCGGAAAAGGTCATAGCCCATCTGCTCCCACTGTGCACCCATGCCCGTGAATACGAATCCGAGAGCGGGAGCTCGAGCAAGCCTGCTGGCCAACCCAGGGGTATCACGCGACATATTGAGAGACAATTCTTCAATAGAAGAGGCTGCAACCGCGAGACGAGACCGTAAACGTGACCGCCGGGCTAGAGAGTACGCCAAACTCTGCAAAAATGGATCTTGATGTGGGGGGCGAACAGAACCCAGCCAGTCGACCAGCTGCTGGATCATCATAGACCTTGACGCCTGGTCGTTCGCCGAAATCATGAAGAGTCGGCGGATGCGATTGGCCGACAGATCGTTGTCGACATTGTGCGGATCCGACGACGATCGTGGCCAGGCTACGCCAGAGATGAAACTGGAACCGAACCCACGATCGAGAACAACGTGAGCATTGGTTCCGCCAAATCCGAAGCTGTTGACGGAGGCTCTCCTGAGCCCTGTGAGAGGCCATGGCGTCAACCCGCGCGGGATCTGTCAATTCCATTTCGAACGTACCCGGGTCAGTGATCGGTGCAAGGCTTACAGTACATAGGTTGTACATACAGGGCACCAGGAGGGGACCAACCTGCATTGTCCATTTGTCAAGGGGGATGTTGCTGTTGGGTTGCGAGAAGCCGCACTGCGGAGGAATCGTGGCTCGCTCTAGACAGATAATGGCCTTGACTAGTCCGGCCAGGCCACTCGCGCCTTCGAGATGACCGATATTTCCCTTGACGGAGCCCACATGGAGCTGCGGGTTAGAGAAGATCCTGGCGATGGCTCTTGCTTCCACGGCGTCACCGGTCGGCGTCCCTGTACCGTGCGCCTCGACAAACGCCGTATCCCCCAGATGCAATCCAGCATCTTGGTAGACCCTGCGGACGAGGGACTCTTGTGCCTCTCCATTGGGGAAGGCAATTCCCGCCGTCCGGCCGTCTGAATTGACGCCCGAGGCTCGGATCACCGCGCGGATGGGGTCCCCGTCGCGGACCGCGGCGTCCAGGCGTTTCAGGATCACCGATACACATCCTTCGCCACGACCGTACCCTGACGCGCGACGGTCAAACGGAGAGGACCGCCCGCTGGAGGAGAGGACGTTGAGCTGGTGGAGGCCAACGTGAAGGTCACTCTGGCAGATCAGGTTGACGCCCCCGACGATGGCCTGCTCTATCTCCCCGCTGAGGATGGCTTGGCGGGCTTGATGCAACGCGACCAAGCTGGCCGAGCACGCGGTGTCGATGGTCATACTGGGGCCGTTGAGGTTCAGTACATAGGAGACGCGGTTGGCGAGAATGCTTCGACTTGCTCCAAGGGCACTGTGGCCACCGATCGGGGATCTGTTCTTGGCTGCCAGATTCGCATAGTCGTAGGCAAAGGTCCCGATGAAGACAGCCGTATTGCTTCCACTGATCGATTGCAGCGAAATGCCCCCTTGGGAACGGGAACAGGGTCAGTAATTCGTTTGACGGGGACTTGTTGGGGCTTGGCCTCAATCCGCACCATTCTCCAGAGCCTCATATGTCACTTCTAGGAGCAGTCGCTGCTGAGGGTCCATCGCCTGGGCCTCCTCGGGCGAAATCCTGAACATGGCCGCGTCGAAGCGGGCAATATCTCCCGTGAGGAAATATGCACCTTCCACCCCAGTCTGGCAAAATATGGCCATGGATCAGCATTCAATTCGGAAGGAGGATGGGCCGCACATCAAAGCTCGGGATCATGGCCGTACCTTTTTCCATGCTTCCAGGTCCTCTTGATCGAAGCGACCTGCTGGGGGCGGAGCCCAACCATCCGCACCACTGGCTAGCATGTCCCAAAATTGGGTACAATTGGTCACTCCGCCGGGGAGTCGGAGGCCAATGCCAATGACTGCAACATCTGTCATGATTGAAAGAGTATCGATTAGTTGACCTGGGATCTGTGGTATTCGTGCAAAGCTCTCGATGTGGGTTTTGCCCGATAGTGAGATGTTATAAGATGCTTTTGAAGTCGGTGAGAAGCCCTGCATGTAATTTTAGCAGTACGTATTGACTCACGGGGCTAAAGGCACCGGCTGTCGGATTCCGCTGCAGGCTGAACGGCGCCCGTGAGTCCATGCTGAGACATTTCAGAAGACCATTGCGGTACATTTCCTCCCCGTTGTTCGATTGACTTCCGGAATTCTCGACAGTTCGCCGCTGGGGGAATGTGTTTTTCCTCGCTTTCTGACCTCGTTCCCGGCCCGCTGCATGTCGCCGTAACAGCACTGCAGCCGATTAGCACTCCTTACATGCCCCATATATGATTTCCAAGTGGCTGCCCCGGGGGAGTCATACCCAGGTTGCGATTGGGTCGGAGCTTGGCGTTCTGAAAGTATTGTGTGTGTGGTTGTACTGTCCATACTAGTGTATAAGGATAGAGTTTGGGAAGTTGAAGCCGGTGTTCTATATCGAGTAACAAACCGCTACATACTCAGTCCTACTTCTTAGGTACTAAATACACATGCAGAAGTAGACCGTGTGCAGTAGTGTACTTTCAACGCATGGCAATGGGGACACACTACTCGGCTTTGGAAATCAGGAATCATGGAGCCAGACTATATCTTATTGCATTTCCAAGCCTAGGTCAATATTTCATAAAGCTTCAATCCATCAAAGCAGAAGAACAAAGCATCAAGAGGAAAAGCGGCGCGATAATGAGCAAGCAATGCATCCACACCACAAAGGACTAGCAAAACCGATGAATGGTATGATCAGCCTCGATATCCTGAAGTACATCCGCCCGAACCGCCTCCACCATCGGTCCAAAAAGTTCTCACAGTAGAGCCGGAACCATGGGCTCACAGTGATCTCCGAGTCCCCCAGGATGAGCTGCAGTTCCGCCGGCGTCACATATCGGTAATCCCGGATCTCCTCCGCATTGAGATCAAGGTGGACATCGACTTTGCAGAGGAATATGGATGCAACTATAAAGTCCCCGGCACCCACCGGGGGGTTAGATACCGCTGTCTCAACGGGATTCTTGGCTTACCTTCGTGCTCCCCCCACTGCGCATCACTGGGGCATCGGTAATGTATCCGCGTGGCAAAGTGCAAGGCATCGAGCGGCACGTCTTCCGGGGCGATGCCCAGCTCGTGCTGCAATTTGCGTTGCGCCGCGCGCTTCAGTCCCTGGATGCCCCCGGTTTCTCCCTCTACCGCGAGAGGATGCGAGCAGCACGTGTTGGTCCAATGGTCGGGCATGGTGAGTTTGCCGCTCGCGCGCTGGTGGATCAGGAGGCGGTTCTGCGTGTCGAACAGGAGGACGGAGAAGGCCCGGTGGAGGAGACCGCGGTCGATGTTGGCGACTTGATGGCCTTGCAATGATGAACAGATGCGTATCAGCTGTTGTAAGGGGCATTCTTCGATGTGGGCCTTACAAACTCTCTTACTAGCCATTCCTATTTCCCGGTCTTCCTCGTCGATGACGATGCACATTTCCTCCATTAATGCATCTTGGCTTTGTTGTTGTTGTTGAGATTCACCGGTTCGCACGGCATAAGCTAGCGGCTTCCTGGTTGAGACGTCTAGAGGCTGAACGTCTTTGGGGAACAGGTCAAAGGTTGTCTTCGAGGTGACTTGCGTTCTCTCGGGCATGGGCACGGAAGATGACATTTTCCAACCCTGGTTTGTGTTGGGACTGACAGTGACAGGTCCGCGATGCCATGGTTATTGACATATTTATATTTCGAGCCCTACTGCCGGGGCTCTTGGATCCGGCTGTCCTCTCATGGCTGTTGTCACCGGCTCTCACATCTAGCACAGTATAAGGTACAGAATACTAGGATTTTCATGGTTCTTCTATCTGCGATCTCCCAGTCTCATTCAATCTGCAGATCACATTGCCCTGCACAACTGCATACCTGTTGCAAAACAGTATTTACCCCAAGTCAACAACCATTCACCATGGACAGCGACAGCAAGCCAGTGCCTCTTTTGGTAGATCAACGAGAAGCAACCGACCCACAGGGAGTGATATCTCTTAGCTCTGTGGCCGCCTACATTTTTGTTGGCAAGACAGAGAGCATGGCCCGTGTTCTTGTCCCCGAGATGTGGAAAGCTGGCGCACGCACGTTCATCTTCATCACGGAGTCCACGAGCCCGAGTGCAGCTCGGAGGGACATCATCCAGGGACTGCGCGCAGGTGGGGCCACGGCGTTTCTATACGAGGACTGTCTGTCACACATTGACCGTCTGAAGACGGTGCTCGGGCTCTGGAACACAAATGGCCGTCGTATCGGAGGAGTGGTCTACGATCAGACAGACGCGGTGGTAAGTGCGTCGCAGGACCCCCGCACAGGGATATCGTCACTAACGTTCGTTCTTGGCCTAGGCTGAGGATCTTGATGACGTGCTATACCATGCCGCAGGAATGCAGAGCCTACACGAGAGCACCGCCGCACTGGAGCTGGACTTTCTTCTCACCTACTCCAGGAGGGACACGCCTGCTGCCGCGATGGCCAAGCACATGGCTCGCCATCGGTCGGCCTTCGGGCTCCCATTCGTGCCTCTGGAACTCGAAACTGGACCGGACGCGGTCGAGGCTCAGGTATTGTCGCGTTTCCGATTGGTCTTTTCAGACCCGGCGCAGTCCGCGCCCACCATCGAGAGTGTCTACTCTTCGTCCTCTGGTGAGACCGCGGCCCAGACGGGCCTCACTACTCCTGATGGCTTCGGTGCAGGCAACTGGTCGCCATCTATATCAAGGTCCTCTTCGCGGGAAGATTGCGATCAGAGAAAGGACCAGGACGTGCTGCCAGAAAGAGATTGTGGCCGACCTCCAAGCAAGTCGTACGATGGAAATTCGTCGCTTTTTGATAGTGCCGCAGAGCAGATAGCGTCTCTTCTCTCCGTGGAGGTCGATGAAGTTGACCAGGATGCCCCGATCGCAGCCCTTGGAGTGGACTCCCTTATAGCCAATGCTTTCTGCAATTGGCTTGCGACAGAAGTCAACGTCCGACTGCCCCCATTTGAGTTTCTGGAGGCGGGTTCGCTGCGTTCTTTTATCCAGCGTATTATTCATTCACGGGAAGGCTTTTAGCATGAGTGTATGTAGCAGATACCTGTATATGTCGGCATAAAGGTATTCAGCAGCGCAAGCATGGCGGTGGTTGCAAGACACCCTCTCGTGGGCGCTCCATTAACACGTTGATAAGTCGCCCCCTTTAACTGGTCCGCATTCTGTATCTAGAAGGTGACAAAGCCAGGTTCAGAGAAGTGTTTTCCTCGGTCGTATTTTTCCCGACTTCGGGTCCTTCCTCTACTCCACAACGCAGTAGTTGGGGTGAAGAAGCCCTAAGCCTGCGTGGACTTTCCCGCTCGGGCTGTGCACGCTACCACCTGAACAGGTTCTGTACTGAAGAACTGCCTTCTAGGCTTGGACCAGAGCGTCCTCCAACCCACCATCGCTTCCCACCTGTCTTCCCCGATGATGACTGTCAACGATCGCATAGTAGGCAAGGTTGCGGGCGAGATACTCGGTTGCCTCCAAAATGTCGTTCCGACGTTGGAAATCATTTTGGAGCAGCGTCAGGCCGAACGAAACAATGGACCACGCACTTGATGCTGAGCCCTGACTTTACTAGATGTTCAAGCTGGAAATCTTAGAAGATCAATAAGATAGATTACTCACCATGGCCTGTGAGATCAAACGTCACCAGTCTTGACAAGCTCCTGCGCCTGCAATGCATAAAGAATGATATTCCTAGCGGATTCACGGATGTCGATCTGCCCCCGGCGACGCTTGCGGATCTTGAACCCACCTCCTATACTCACGGTATTTCTCCTCCATTGTTCTAATCACACCTTCGACGGCATTCGTGACTGAGGAAGAGCTTTCCAGCTCTAGAGCCTTTCGGTGCTTCTTATCTAGTTGTTCACCGGCAACCCCCAGAGGTTCCTTCCGGGGGGATTATTGGTTCCTGCCTCGCTCGGGGGGTAAGGGGAGGCTTGGTTGGTCTTCGTGGCGACGCGGTCGTCGTCTTCCGTACACGGGGATGGGGCCTGGTCGTCATGCTTCGTACGCGCATATCGATCTGGCTGTGTGGATCTGATTTGAGCACGTAATCTCCCGGAATATCGCGGGTTACCCTCTGAAGTGACTGATGTTCGCCGGGGGATAAATCCATTGAAAGATACCGGAATGGCAGTCAGCCCAGCCCATATGACGGTCTCTCTGTTTTTCCGGCGTGAGTATTGAACACCTGGCATGCATACACTAGCTACCTAGTCTTGAAAATGGTGACAAATGTCATTGTCTTATTGGTCTATACATGGTTTGCTTTCTTTTCTGTCCTCTGTCTGTCCTTTTCCTTTTTCTCTTTCTTTTTACGGGTACGGCGGGCGCGCCGGAACAGTTCTCAGAGCTGAACCACACGTTAGCGCTGTGTGGGGCTTGAAGTGACTTGTTGGGTGATTTGCCGCTTTAGTGACTCTGTTTTCAGGCCTTATTATCGCAGCCTCAGGCAGCATTTCATCCACCGGGATAATCCTCACATACAGCACATGGACATTTGCTCCATGGGAGCGGATCCCATGGAATGATCTTGCGGGTATTGAACATCTGTAAATCACCACCCTCTTCCACTCCCCTTCCACTTCGGTTTCATCTCTCTGCCAAGTCCAGAGATTCCCGATTGCAGAAGGGTTAGACAGATCGGGTCGGGCCGGTGTACAGTACAGTACGTATCCCGAGTCACGGGTCGGATCCGCCACGGCTACTTCCGCTGCCACTCATTCCAATCCACTTTATGCTTGTCATACATGCGGTGAAACGTCGTGCCCTGATAGTAGTCGGAACATCCGTGATGCATTCAACCCAGAATGGTCCGCGCTACAAGCAATAGGTAGTGACGTTCACCGCTCGTCAACCTGAACACGTCTAGAATACCTATCGTCTCCGAGATGCCGGGGCTGAGCCCTGATACAGAACTGCCCGACTGGAAGAGGTGTGTCCGAAAGCAAGCACATGATTTCTTCGCCGCCTTTGTCATTCTTACCGACCGCTCCTAAGGGGAAGACAGAGCTCGGTTGTTATAGAGTTCTGTGGTATTGTGGTTTCACTGTTCTTCAGTCGTCCTTCGTTGACAATACCTGTTGGCGGCCATGCGGCCTCAGTAGGTAGCAAGGCTGCCGCTCACCGCCCACCTCGGTGGCCTCAGCTAGTGCCTCGCAGGTAGCCTCACGTGGGGAAAATTCAAGCATCTTCCACCTATCTCCCAGGTGTCATCAGATTCTGAAGCTATGATGCATGCGCAAAAACGTAGTTCTCTTATGAGGTTCTACCCCCTAACCTGTGGATTCCAACAAACTCAATAAAGCTGCAATCTTGTAAGAGTCTTGGGTCTCACAATTCAACTAACCTTAGTGGTCTTTTATCTAGTGTTCAAGTTTAGGAAAGAGGAATACTAGTTCAAGAAGTATTTACAAGGCATGACGTGACTATGCACTCGCCAGTGTCCATTGTACCTTCCGTCAGCGGTCACTTTTGTAGCAGTAATGACGCAACTGACGCAATGCCGACATTCATGACTCATTACAAAATCTTCTATCTTCAGCATCGTTACTCTCGCGCAGTGCAGAGCCCCAACCCAAACAATCCCAAACGTATCCGAGCTCCCTTACCTCGATCCAAAATGTCCGACTCACCAGACGGTCCCTCCATAAGGGAAGAAGGGCGCCCTCAATGTTCTCAGGACGAAGAAAACTCGCTGCCGTCCCATGCGTCTACCGTATTCTACACTCCGAAGATCCTGGAGCTGATCCTGCTAGACCTGGATATGCTCACATTGCTGATTTCTCGTCGCGTCTGCCACACGTGGAACGAAATGATCAAGTCCTCGCGCAGAATTCAACAGGCGTTATTCTATATCCCACTTGAGAGCAAGCCACCAGACCAGCAAGCTATGAAGAACCCGCTCGTGGTTAAAAAAGATATGGCTCGACTTTCTCAGAACAGAACTTGACTCGCGGTTCAGAGTCTTCGTTCCTCTCGCCGGGGGAAATCGCCGGATTCCCCGCATCGCGTCAGAAAAAAGGGAGAAGGCGTATATGCGTCCCGAGGCGAGTTGGAGACGGATGCTTCTCCAACAGCCTCCAACGGATGTTGTTCGTTTCTGGAACCCCAAAAGCCCCAACATTCCCATTGGGCGGTTTGCTGATATGGCCGATACCCACGCCAAATGGATGCCTGATAAAGATCACATTCGTATGGAGAACGTGACATATTGGATAGATACTGGGGCGTTCTCACCGGGACCTCTCCCATTTCTATGCTGGGATGATCCAAGTATCATGAGGAAAGCTGGAAGCCGCCGGAGATTGGCTCGAGATTCCATTCTTTCCGGACATCTACTCCGGTTTGATCTCACTATCAACACCGAATCTTACGGATCAGGAATATGGTGGGGCTCTGCAAATACTCCAGTAAAGCCTTCGACATTGAATATCTGGTGTCACAAAGAAGAGGTCCAACTGCTGCAAGGAGAGCCAGCGTAAGGTTGATCAACATAGTGGTTGACCGAAAGTTGATTGAGAAGGGCATCATTAATCTCGTGAGTTTCAGTATTGGAGGTTTGACTGGCAACGGTTATTCGGAAGACGTTGATCTCTCTTATTCTGCCGTTGGTGGGTTGGTAAGGCTGACGCTCAGGAGGCGGAGCAGAGGGTAGTTATGGATGAGTATAAGGGCGCTGTGGAAGCCGACCAGCGACTTCATCGCACAAAGGATCATGGAGGCTCAGGACGATGCGAACAGCGCCCATGGTGCCTTGAATGCTAAATACGGCACCAGCTGGACGCATGCGATCTCGGAACCGAGCTCGAGCCGGCGTTGAAGGCCCCACCAGAGATGCTCTCGGTGGCGTTCACCCGGCGACTTTTGCTGCTCGTTGTCTTGTGGCTGGGCTCACCAATGGCTTGAGCGAACAGGCAGGATGGTTCGGGGAGGATAACGCGGAAAATCATTGGAAGTATGATTGAGTGGAGATACTAGCCATCCATGCCGGTCAAAGTAGTAATAGTGGCCAATTCTTCTTGTTGTTAGCAACTTTGCTTTGTCAGTGGACAAAACTATTTTCCCACGATCTAGGTAGTCACGCCTTCTTTTAATGCTGTCTGCTGCTGGAGGCTGACTGCGAGCTGGTCAGGGTCCTTGATTAAATGGAACATTGCGCTTTCCCTAGACCTTGGCAAGGTCTCCGGCGAGTTGTGTGAAGAACCACCTCGGCTATAAAGTATATAGTTCAAGCTGACTCCTTTGGAACGTGCCTGAGCGGCAGGCGCTGTACCCATTGACCTGACTACGTATAGGTTTAAATTATCTATCTCCGTACGCTGGGACCTTTAGCTTCCGCGACGATGACCGGTACGCCTCCGGTGCAAAGGAAACAGTCATGCAAGTGCTTCTATGTATTTGAGGTATAGATGTAGGGAATTACAGGGTCCTACATCTTCGATGAAACAACATGTTCAAAAGTGCCCTGAGTCTGCCAAGAGGCTTAAATCGAAGACAGGAAAGACAGACCAGCACGTCGTCTCGGGGGCCAGGTCGGTCACGGCCGTGCTAGATTTGCCGAGGTGTTATCACGGTCTTGGATTCAACGGGTCTTCGCCTCAATTGGCTCTATGCAGCCCAGTATGTCCCTCGAGCAAGACCAAAACATTCCTCAGAGATAAATCACAGTCCATTGTGAAACCATTGGATAAAAGCCACAGTCCAAGCGTTTTACTCATAAATCACTAGCTATACTTGCGATTGCGCAAAAGCTACTGCACATGCAGCTACCTGTAACTGTCAGCCCCCTCTTTCCCAAAATTCCGGGTAAAGGTGCGCTTAAGTAGGATGATATACGTGTACGGCCCCTGTTATCCACTCAGAACAATAACGAACCTCACTCCGAGATCATCATCCCGTTGTCCGCTCAAAACAAAATACCGTCGCAAGTACAACTCGATCCCTGTGACGAATGAGTTCCACCCCTAGCGCCGGGACCTTCGGGTCAGCGACCACCCGGGCGGCGCAGCTGGTTAGTAGTTAGCGTTCTATAGATACCGTCTAGGCTGGTTGAGTATTATATTACCTAATCCACAACTAAATTAGTAATGTATTATAACTAACACCAGTCAGCCCTAGGCATGCTTTTTTAAGGAATACAAGAGTAAGAGCATCTCCCTAGAAATAACGGGTAGTGGTAAGACAGACTCCATCAGTCTATGTAGCAGATATGTATGAACTGTTTCGATAGATTGAACATCATACATGTTATTATGACTTATCCTAGTAAAAGGCTCAGTACATACGACCACAGGGTGTGGAAAATAGGGCTTCCCGTCCGCTCAGCCGTACTCAAGCCACACGCCGGGAGGTTAGTAGTTGGGTGGGTGACCACCAGCGAATCCCTTCTATTGTATGTTTTGGTTTTTTTTCGAATTTTGGATGAAAATGCACCACCTCCTAGCCTCGAACATAAAATATTCTTGCGATATGTCATTCAGACTACTTATCACGGGTAGCTTTCAAGCCTGTATGCACATGCGCAGTCTGCCGGAGTCTGATTCATCACGCTCTTGTCGATCTTCTCAGACTATATAGATATACACCGACGCTAAGAATGCATTCAGCGAATATAGTCGCATAAAGACATCCTTTTCTTCTATTCCCAGGTTATTATATGAGAAGAAAACTGTGAACTGGGCTCTACTATTTCGAGCCATAGTTTTTATATAGTCAAAGCAGTTATTTATAAATAAATTTATATATAATCAGAGTGGCTAACGGCTAGGTTAGTTTAGATTAATTAGAATTTCTATATCTGACCGCCATCTGTGATAGATTCAACAGTGCACTGGCCGAGAATGTGGACTCCGATCGTCGAAGGGTTGGTGGGTGACCACCAGCGAATCCCTTCTGTTGTATGTTTTGGTTTTTTTTCGAATTTTGGATGGAAATGCACCACCTCCTAGCCTCGAACATAAAATATTCTTGCGACATGTCATTCAGACTACTTATCACGGGTAGCTTTCAAGCCTGTATGCACATGCGCAGTCTGCCGGAGTCTGATTCATTACGCTCTTGTCGATCTTCTCAGACCATATAGATATACACCGACGCTAAGAATGCATTCAGCGAATATAGTCGTATAAAGACATCCTTTTCTTCTATCCCCAGGTTATTATATGAGAAGAAAACTGTGAACTGGGCTCTATTATTTCGAGCCATAGTTTTTATATAGTCAAAGCAGTTATTTATAAATAAATTTATATATAATCAGAGTGGCTAACGGCTAGGTTAGTTTAGATTAATTAGAATTTCTATATCTGACCGCCATCTGTGATAGATTCAACAGTGCACTGGCCGAGAATGTGGACTCCGATCGTCGAAGGGTTGGCACCATGATAATCAGATCCCCGGGGTTGAGTGTTACATTGGACGGGTGGAGAGCCAAGGGGTGTTGTGCTTCTATATAAGATAGCGATCCCACGCTCGAAAATTCTTAAAAGGAGGTCGAATGCTGGACGCGTCAGCCGGGCGTGAGAGAGTTGTCAACAACTTAAAATCAAGTACAGCCGGCAACAACCGAAATGCTTTCGATGTCAGCAGCTAGGAACAGGATGTTCTTACGGATATCGACGGCATGAGCAAACGGCTCGTTGCGTTACTTCCTCGCGCTCTATTCGATGACCACTGATAGGTTTGCAACAGAAACTTAAATGACTTGACGGCTCGACTGCAAGCACTAGAATTGCTCTTGCAAAGATTACATCTTAGATCAAACCTATGGTCCGCAGATTAGACGAGACGGGTTCTAGATGGAGTAAGCTTTCTGGTCTAGATATGTTAAAATATTCTATTCTAGCCAGGTCTCAACTGCCGTCTTTAAAGTGTCCTTGAGCCATTTAGTTTCATAGTGTATGTCATCAAATCCATGCTCTCCATCCTGCACTGTCAGCACCAGTCTCTCATTCACAGCCTGTCCCTGGGTGATCTTCCGCGCCCGAGCGATGAAATTCTCAGACTGCGATACGGGCACCACACTATCCTGTTTTCCATGAATGCATACAATTCCTCCTCGTGGAAATCCAACACCTGGTTGTAGTCGCTGCATTGGCGATAGTAATGCAGCTCGTGGATCGCCCTCTGTGCCCCGCTTGTACCATTCACCCAGACGACCATGCTCGATCGCCGAGAGCATGAATGGGAGACTCTCGGGCTCGCTCCACGATGAAATTATCTTCTTACCTCTCTCAGACGCTAGAGCTTCGTTAACGATCGACTCTGGTGTGTGATGTCCGAATGGTGGTGCCGCCGCGGGGCTATTAAAAATGGACATGTCTGCCATGGGGTAGCATGCCATAGCAGCGCGGATTTCATTTGCATGCGAGAGCGCGAAGTTAAGACTTAATAGTCCGCCCGCCGAATCTCCTACTGCCAAGACCCGGGTTAGGTCGAGCTCAGTTGGGATGCTGTGTGCCGCAAGAAGGTCTCGTGCGGCTGAAGAGTTGACCCATTTCCAGAGATCTTCAATATCTTCAAGGATATCTAGGCCGTTGGCTTGTGGCATGAGTCGGTAATTTGGACTGATGATCACGGCGCCGTGCTTGAGGGCTAGGTCGGACAACCAGGGCGACCAAAAGGCCATGAAGAGGGAATCGGCAATCATCTAGTCTAGTCAGTATGTGAAAGGGAAACACAAGGTAAGAAAAAGCGTACCAGTCCACCCCCATGGAAGCGAATGATTGTGGGCCTTCTACCTGTATGTGGTGCTTGAGGCACGAGGATGTCTGTGCGGATGCCATGGTCGCCGACCGTTTTGTATACGGCAGAGATGAGATCGAAGCCTTGCAGCTTGGGGTCTGTAAGATTTACCATGATGCCTATCGCAGTATATTCTATTTGAAAGATGGAATAGTCATGGCAAAGAGCAGGGTAGCTGTGATGGTATATACACTTTGGCCACTCGGCCTCCGGCCTTCGCCCACACGAGGAGCGCCGACCCCATTATTCATCAGCCCCCACCTCCGCACTGAACGCGGTTAGACCATTCAGCAGCTGGTTCCATATCACTCTTTGATTGGCTTTCGGCCCTGTCGGTCTCCGCCATAAGTCCGTTGACGCTGACCCTGATCACGATCCCATCGCTTGGATGTCGGCGAGGTGTGGGACGCGCGTTCTCCATGGCCAGCACGATAAAGCGCTATTCTGAAGGGTCGCCAAATAGCAGATAAAGCACCACTTCGGATCTACTACGCAGGATTAGTAAATGCACCTCGAACGGCAATAGTTCGTACAGAGTTTAAGCAAGTTTCCCTAGTTGGACGAAATAGAACTATTGCATCTGCTGACTCAGTGCGCCTTTTGTGCAACAGTGCGTGGCTCAAGTGGCTTATAGGATGGATTTCGCTTCGGAAATAATACCGGCGATGACGTGATGAGGCATCAGCTACATCAGCCTGGCCCTGGATGATTGTATGCGGCCTCCGGTTAGGGCCGGATTTTGGCTCTATGGTCATAATGTGGTTGGTCGGCTCGTTCGTTCAACCGCTGAGATCCACGAACTTCATCTTATCTCCGAGCACATAAATACCCAGGTAGGTATATAGGAAGTTATAAAAGCCCAAAGCCTAGCCGGCCTTGAACAAGGACAACAACAACAGTAATAGAAGCAGAAACAGCCCTGATTTATATCATTCGATCAACCACCTACTACATCTTTCAAATCGGACCAAAGAAAGAAATCCTCATGGCAATGTCCCGCCTCCAAGGAAAAGTCGCCCTCGTCACCGGCGCATCCCGCGGCATCGGCCGCGCAACAGCCCTAGCCCTTGCAAAAGAAGGCGCAAGCGTCGTGATAAACTACATATCTTCATCTGCAGCAGCAGAAGAAGTCGTCTCGCAGATTGGCGCCGACCGCGCAATCGCAGTGCAAGCGAACGTCTCAAGGCGCGAGGAAATCTCCCGTCTTATCAAGGCCACCGTTGATCGCTTTGGAAAAATCGATACGCTTGTCCTTAATGCCGGAATGCTCTGGCAGAAGGGGGATCTTGCTAGTATTACGGAGAGTGACTTTGACACGCTTTTCGCGGCGAATGTGAAGGGACCCTTATTTACCGTGCAGGAAGCGGCACCGTTTATACCGGATGGTGGACGCGTGATGCTTTTCTCGACTTCCTTGGCTGCGTTTAGCATGGTCACTCCGAACTATCTGTTGTACACAGCCAGCAAAGGAGCCATTGAGCAGATGACGCGCGTATTGGCGAAGGACCTCGGAAAGCGGAAGATCACAGTGAACACGATTGCGCCGGGGCCGATTGGGACGGATGCTTACTTTGTCGGCAAGACAGAGCAGATGGTCCAGATGCAGAGTAATACTGCGCCTGCTGGAAGACTGGGCACGCCGGAGGAAGTTGCAAATGTTGTTGCCTTTATTGCGAGCGATGAGAGTTCGTGGGTTAACGGGCAGACCGTGAGGATTAATGGGGGAATGACAGTTGGATAGGGCATCCTAATGGGACAATTCGGGTTTCCGAGTTTGGAGTAAAGCTGTACGCGCGAACTGATGGTCGTGAGAGGATTCGATTAGTGCCTCAATCCCAGTCGACTGGAAACCCAGACGGCGGGCAAGATAAGCCATATTATGAATAACATGCTTATCAGCCGGTGCAAGTTTTGGCTTTACTAAATACTGATTCTGTTTCTTCGGATCGGGCGGCATCTAAAAATAATGTCTTATGGCATATAGCCAGAGCTGGCAATAGTTAATTAAAATAAATTATTCTTGATACTTGTATTCATAAACTTGGTTAAATTTTTCGTCTGTAGTGTCTAAAGTCATATTAAGAATTTATAAATATTTGATAGATAGATATTTGAAGCCAACCACTCGCTCAAGGCAGTAAGCACAATTTTCCAAATACTTAAAATCTTTTTTTAAAAAAAAAGAAGAAAAATATGCGCAATTAAGATGTGAGGCCGTCGAATCTTAGTTTGTTCCAGATTTCTGTTCTTTTGCCTTGGCGGAGATTAGAGAACCCTTAACCATCTATCTATATTTAATCATTCTTTATACTGACTTTGCATCAGCGGAAGAGGTACCGGGCCCGAGTACTTTAAGTCTCTTGACTGTATTCCGATCAATATAATTCTTTGCGTCTATTTTCATCTCCAACCAGTGGAGACCAGACGAGGTGGACATGGTTTAAATACGCACAGATCTCCTGCAACAATATCAAAACTAGAGAATTCGAGATCAAGACAAGCAGCCTCCCCTCCTAGCAGAAAGATAAGGGTCTTAGAAACAAGAAATTCAGGTAGCGTACCTCCGGGCAATTGGTCGCGACTACTCTAACACCAGGTATGGGTTAATGCCGTGCGTCAACGAAGAAACATGCTGACTCGCCTGGGGAAGGAAGACACCGGTCTACCCCGCCAATCCACACGTGTCTCAGACTGTCTAACATGTCATGTCTATCCTCGGCCATACGTCCTGGTTCAGGCACATCACGCCGTGGATTTTCTTTTTTGGACCCCACGGTCCATTCGGCCGGCCTACAATTAATCTATGTACCATACTCGACTTCATCCCGTCTATTCATAGACGTGGAATTTCCAGTAATTTATCGAAAGCCTTCCCAGCCACTCATTATTGATAATCTGCTCCCAACATTGACGCTTATTCAAGAATAATTGGGCCTTCCACTTTGTTCTACTAAAATAGTTGTCGTCAAATCAACGGATGTTTCGATAAATGTATCCATTTATATATTCTCGGCTAAAATCATACTCATCAACTAGGTATTCCCTGAGCGCATCCCCAATATCTATCGTTGAAAATTTGTTAGCCTTCTTAGTATTCGACAGAAATTATTTTTCTGCCTTATACATGATACTGTACTGTAGCATCAACTTACAGTACCTTCCAGGTAGACGTCTACAGACGTCCACAACCCACCACCTGTCGGATGGAGCCAGAAAATCAGCGGCCACATGAACCCGATAACGTCCATGAAGACCTATAAGCTGGCTGGCAGGAAGGTTATAGGTATATAATCTGCTCGTCTATCTGGTAGACCATTCTCGGGTCATCCCAGCTCTAAACAATGCTTGATCGATGGCTTGGCTGGAGGCCAGTATCGGGATATAGTACTTTCTCTCTCACTGAGGGAATTGGATTATGTGTCGGCTAGACCTAAAAATAGATAATCTTGAGTCAGTATTGTGGCTTGACAAACTCAGCATACTTTCTTACACCAATTGTTATTACTTGGTAAGAAATTAAGTGGCCATTGAAGTTTTCACTGAATAAGATTGCGTGACTGTCGCGCGACCGGGGCCATCGCTTATTCTTTCTTAAAACGCATTTACTCTAGCTTACTCCCAGTCGTATAACTGTAAAGCGGCCTCACCTTCTAGCTCACCCGTACAGCATCCATCCGCCTTCTGGCCGCGTTCAAGCCGCGCGCCGGGAGGTTAATAGTTGAGTAGGTGACCACCAGCGAATCCCTTCTGTTGTATATTTTGCCTTTTTCTATCAAAAACACGCCAGCACCAGCCACGACCACCATATATTTTCGCGACAGGTCATCCTGGTTTTTTGTCACAGTGGCTTGCAAGCCCTGTGTACATGCGCACAACCTGCGGGTGCCAGATTTATCACGCTGCTTGTCGATCTTCTGTAATATTCGGATGGCGGTTAATCAAGCACTCCTTCCCAGTTACTGAATTACAAGCCAGAATGCCTGTCTTCTTTAGACCATAGAGTATACACCGACAAATATCTTGGAGATGCATTGAGCAAAGACCATCACATGACGACATCATTCTCTTGTCCTGAGGAATCATAGAGAATAAGTCAAACCGAACAGTAATCTCAGCAGTACTATGTGAGTGATTCTGAGAATGTGTTTTCGTCAACTGAAGTCAGTTTGACACTGATGAATGGGCCCTACTCTGGTCAGAGAGAGATGTTCTAGCTGGAGTGATCTAGACTTAGCTCAGGTATGGCATCGATTGCTATACCTCAGTGGTACTGTTTGCGGTGCCATCTCGGAACCGGGAACCTCTCTGTCGCTACTCTGACGCAAGTCTCTTAATCATGATCATGACCTTCATCCAGTCAATCGACCATGGCGATGATTCCAGGTGAAGAAATCCTCGCTCTACCTTGATCATGACCAAGATCGCGCAGCTAGGACTGGTTCATTACTGACGTAGGAAACCGAGCCATCAGGCCGATCGATGGATACGCCTCAAAGCGTTATCGACGTAAGAATTATCCCCCCGTCAAGTTGTTAGTATCCTCAGAATCCAGATCCGGCGACCCATGGCGTTTGATGTATTTGGTAGTGACATAATTGACTGTCGAGCTGGAACAGAGAGGATTGGAGTAATCAGGAACCATATTCCCGCCTGCAGTCGAAGCGGATGTCCGCGGACATGTTTGCGTAGAGTATACTACTCCAGCAAGCTAAAGTAGACATTCAACCAACGTCTAGCATCAGCATCATGACCTCACTTCGAACGGTCCCGAAAATCTCTCGTCTTGAACTACACGGAACTACCAAATGCAGAAGGTGCAGATGGCCGTGTTGCCCGAAAGGCCTTCAGAGGTGCCATGGATCTCCACATGACCCAACACATCGTTTCATGCTGTGACATCTGCCAGCAACCGTACCAGCGACGCTCTAGTGGACTCTAGACATCTCCATGGGGCTGTCACGGTGACTACGTAGCCTAGGCCTCGCCTCCTCGCCGGAAGCATCACTGACCGAGATAGATACAACATCGAGATTATTTCTCAAGCATCCGTTGTCAGTCTCGAGGTTCCTCATTTCCCCATCTGTGCCATCATGCTGCTACAGTGCTATTAGTTCGAGTTAGAATGACACAGTAGCATGTAGCATCGGTAATGGTATCTTCAACGTCATTGACTCCGTTCAGTGCAGCAGAGGGCACAGAGTTTCTATCGCAGATCTCTAATGCAGGATATCCACATATAAAGGGACCAGGTCAGCGTTGGTAGAACTCACCATCAGCAGAATCAGAAAGAAGCTAGGACCTTCAAGTCTAAGATCAATCGCAAATTCGGAGAAATCCTCAATCAGCCTCTTCCAAAATGCCTTCCGCCCCTCAGCAGAACGGACCTACTCCAGTCCACAGCAAGGCTGTCCACCACAAGAGAACCAAAGGCGGCGACGACCCCATCAACAAATGCGATGCCATCTTCGCGGCAGCCAAGACCGGCAACCTCGATGAGATCAAAGGCCTGCTGTCGGAGAAACCGGACCGACTCAACATTAAATGCGCCGAATGCCACGGGATCACACCCATCATGGCGGCGGCGATCGCGAACCAACAGCCGGCCGTGGAGCTGCTCTCCGCCCAGGGCGCGGACGTAACCATCCGCGACAGCGACAGCTACACGATCCTCAAGCTGACGCTGGACCAAGGCGAGACGCACTTCGGGGTGGCGAACTGGATCGTGGCGCACCACCCGGAGCTGATCGTGACGGATCCGCGCCTCCCGCAGGGCAAGGAGTGGCTGCGGGCGCAGTTCGCCATCATGTCCGACAACATCGAGGACGCGGCCAGCAAGCCGCCCCCGGAGGTCCTCGAGTACCTGGTCAAGGACTACCCGGACAAGCTGCCGGCCCACACGGGCCGCACGGTGTCCGCGGTCTACTGGGAGCATATCCTGCTACGCTACATCGGCGACATCCCGCTGGACATCACGCGCAACTACTCGGTCGACCTCAAGATGGCGTTCGTCGGCACCTTCGACCGCATCCTGTACCACCACGAGGGGATCCAGGAGTCGGCCCGCCTGCTGAACAGCGTGCTGCCCACCACCCAATACAATATCATCGGCCCCCATGTCGTCCCTAAGCAGGGGTGGGTGACGGAGCGCTGGGAGTATCATGACAAGGTCCATAACCTGCAAGTGTTGGATGGCATTGACACGTTTCTGATCGATGGGAATGCGGGCAAGATCGAGGTCATGCTCATCAACTACAATGTCTACGAGATGGAGTGGGTGGAGGATCCGGAGAAAGGCAAGCCGGGGCCAGGCAAGGTCTGTCCATCTGCGAAGGCTTGATGGGTTTTCGGCTGGCTGTATGCGCAGGTGATGGAAAAGCTATCTGGTAATTCCTCTTTTGTTATTGTTCTATGTCTCATGGTGATTTGGAATCAGGTGCGGTTGTGTCGGAGTGGTTATCTAGAAACGAAGCAAGAAAAAAAAGTAGAAAAAGAAAACCATGTTTTTTTCTGCTTGGATTGATTCTTGCAGCACATAAGAGTGTATATTCGTGCTTTTATCTTTGAGCTATGCACGTTAAGAGTAATAGCATAGAGCTTTAAATAATGGTACATGTACCGTCAGGGCCGGGACGAGGATTAGCAGCCTACTAGGGCCAGGGATAAGGTTTCACTTTGAGTAATGTTGAAGAAACTTTCTAGATATATTATATTTCAAGAGGCTCATACACAGGCCAGGCATTGAACTGTATCTTAGCGGTAGATCTGAAAAGAATCATATTCTGTCTGCTGGTCAAGGTAATCTCAAGAATCTCTGGACACTATAGATCACGCAGTTGATACTTCCACCAGAGGTCTTTAGAATGATACAATGAATAAGAGATGCTCTCGCTTGTTGCAAGAGACCACAAGAAATGCACAACGTCCCTAAATGTCGTGGATCTTTACAATAGTTCCCCTCGTCGCTACGAACGCCCAACGGCGGCCTTGATCAAATCATAATCATCCCGCCGATAGAGAATGGCTGCCGGCTAGTCAGCGAGCAATCCCGGCAGGCACAGGAGGTGTGTCTCAAAGCCACCGACGGTCGTTCATCCCATTTCGATCTCGCGGAATGCATTGCGAACATTATGCCCTCGTTTTCGTTGATTTCTCTCAAATCAGACAAATGTGGCCGATGGTCCGTTAGGGCTCACAACTGTAATCTTGATGTTCGGGAAGGCTCGGGCCCTCCCGTGATCCGTCATCCGTTCGGGGTTAGTTCCCGGTAACTTACAATACAGTACCCAGCAGCGGTTTACATAGTTCACTATTCAACAAATAGGCAAATATGTACGTAGTCCAATTACCTTGCGATGACCACCAAATTACGAGGATGTATCTGCTACTTTATCTGCCTGCCTGAGAAGTTAGGTACTTGCTCTGAAGAATAGCACACGCAAAAGTAATCTCATCCAGGACTTTATAAAGTAGATTGAAGCTGCATGTTTTTTCTAATAAATATATTAAAATATTTTATGTATTGTTGATAGAATTAACTATCTCTATAGTAAATGGTTACTGCTGCGGTAAGAATGATTAACAAAAAAAGTAGTGATATTACTGAGCGGCTGCTACTGCTCGCTAACTACTCTATGCTCGGTTGGTTGATTAACATAACCCCGCCCGTTGGATCACGTAAACTCTATACGGATTGCAAATACAGCGAGTTTCAAAAGGTTGTTCGAGCTGGGGGTGATGAGTTACTGAAATATGGACTGTGTCAAACATCCTTACTTCCATGCTTTTCAGCGCGCGAGGAGATTCTGGGCTAAGAAGTTCCTTCTGCGATGAGTCGACTATAAGAAATGAAATGAGGCCCTGTATCATCAAGCAGGAATAAAGATCTGTGACGCTCATGCATAGCTTCCCTGAAGCTACAGACTTGGTTCCTCAACCCCTTTGAAGTGTGGAGGAAATACTATTTGACTCCAGAAAAGCTGGCCCAAAATTGCACTGGCATTTGGCGCACGCCTCTTCTTCACATACAGCTAGTCTGCTCAACTCATAGCCGCCTTTCGATTCAGTTATATCGTATGAAACTTTCGGGGGGAAATTCCTTGTTCGTAAGCTGCGTCTATCTCCTCGACAGATCGACCGGCAGTTTCAGGAACCACAAACCACGACGCACCCAGCAAAAGCGCGCTGAGGCCGGCGAACACGAATCCAGTCTTGGCACCTAGGTCGCCCGCGTCAGTGTTATAAATATATGGCACAATCATATGAAACAGCCAGCTGGATACAGCCTGGACTAGGAAACCGATAGATTGGGTATGCTGGCGAAGGCGGGATGAAGCGATTTCGGGCGTCATTGTCCAGGCCATCCCAGTACAAGTGTAGATCTGCCATGGAATAAGGAGATTCCTGTATTGAAAGTCAGCGGTTGCTCAGATATAGACAGACTGATTGGATAGAAGATGGGGAACGAATCAGGAGGACGAATGTCTCACATCACAACAGCGATTGCCCAAAGACCAGCTTGATTGTTCACAAAGGCCAATCCCCCAACAGTCGCCATTCCTAAAACATTGCCACCGACGCCGATTAACCACAAGCGGCGATGGCCAATGCGGTCGGTGAAAAGCCAGGAGACAATAATCACCACACAAGCAAGGAAGAAACCCCCAACGCCGACATCATAAGCATGGGCAGAGGGGAGACCTAATGTTAAAAGAATGTAGGTGTTTTGGTTCAAAAATGCTACACCTAAGAGGCCAGTGCCAAACATCATCAAGCATACAGTTAGTGTACGCTTCAAGTTGCGGGCTCGGAAGCATTCAATGAATGATGCTTTTTGCTGGCTCTGAGTCGACGCTTCCGCCGCAAGAGTCATCTGTAGTGATTGGAGTCGAAGTTCAATCGAATTATTTTGACCATACAGTCTCACAAGTGAAGCACGAGTAGCATCCACTTTGCCCTGTGAAAGAAGCCATGTCGGGGATCTTCCGAGACGTCATATATTAGTAAAATTTTGTCAAGCCACCGCTGTTGACTGTAGGGAAAGCATACTCCGGTATCAATAGGGCTAGGAATAGCAAGACGGCCACAGGCCATTGAATGGCAAAGACAATTTTCCAGGCCACAGGCGCTTTGTTGGGAACCATCGCCCGGATGATCCCAAGAGCTGTCCCTTGCATAGCGACAGTGAAAAGGACCAGTCCTTGCAGTATAGGCCCACGCAGTTTGAGGGGTGCAATCTAAACCAACATGTCAGTCTGGCTGACCTGAGAAAAATGTCAACCCGGCAAGCATTTGAGAAAGCACGAGAAGCAAGAGGCGAAGACGGAGATCACACACATCGGCTGCATAAGTTGTTCCGCAGGCCATAATACCACCAATACAAACCCCGTTGAGAATCTTTCCAATGAGAAGAGACCATCTGGTTGTGGAAGTGAATTGTACAGCCACGCCGGCACATGAAAGTAAAGCGCATGACACGATCGCATAGCGCCGCCCAATCTGCTCTGCCAAAGGTCCAATGGAAAATGCACCGATCGCTTGTCCGAGATTTGACATGGCCGTCCACAATGCACTCCAGATTGAAGGAGCATAAAGAGAGTGTGTCACTGGATTCACGGCTCCAAAGGACATGAGAAACGCGGGCATAGCCACAGTGGCACTGCTTGCAACTGTATCATACCCGTAGGCCATTCCACAAAGAAAAGGAACGATGGCTATTGTATCCTCAATTAGCATCGAGTTGATCGTTTGCCAAAGGCTATGCGCCTAGTCTGAAAATCATGCCCTACCATAGATGAAAATGCGCTTGTAGGACTTGACTGCTTGCCAAGTGCTCATGGACTCCTCGCGAGCCCTGAACTCTTGAATCGCAGCGTCGGGTTCATCCTTAATCAGCGTACAAGCTTTTCCGTGTTCGATATGTTCCACCTTGCCAAGATCATCAATCTTTGATTCGGACATCTCGTAGCGGGTAGGGCGCACCAGGAAACTGTAAGTGATCCGTGGATAGCGGATGAAGTGACGTGAAAGATAAGAAGGGTACTTTGAGTGACAGCCGTGATGGTGTCAAGTAATGCACGTATTTATAACCACAAAAGCCGGGGTCTACCCCACGGGGAAGTAAGCTTCATCAGGCGAACATCAGCAATACCCCATATTTGACTGAGATTTTCAATAGCCGACCGCTTTCCACTAGCAGTACTCAATCTCATCTGAGTTTGGATCTCAAGCCGGACTTTCCGAGCCTCGAGGTGGGGGTAGCTGTGTTTTGGTCAGAAATAGGCGGGCAAGCCGTATCTTCTCGGCATATCCGGCTTCCATCCTGTCCCTATTCATTAGCCGATCGATGCAATTGCCGGCCACGTGAGGGGCTGATTTAATTGCAAGGCAATCGCACTATTTCGCACGAGTTTCGCCGTTGCCAACAACGAAGTTTCCTCTTGACCGTCTACGGCCTTTGGAATATTGCTCCTTCTGCACATTGAGTCCTTTCGATGCTCAAACCACGGGCAACAGCCACCCGTGAGCTTGTCTCCTTGGATGGCATCTGGAACTTTGCGCTCGGTGATGATCAAGTAGGCACATCCTGCGTTCAGCCTCTCAGTCCGGAGTTGCAGGTTCCCGTGCCAGCGAGCTACAACGACATCTTCATCGATCCGAGAATCCGCGACCATGTGGGATGGGTTTATTACCAGCGTTCTGTGAGGGTGCCCCGGGGCTGGGCAGGGGAGAAGTACTTTCTCCGGGTAGATGCAGCCACGCATCATGGCCGTGTCTTCGTGGACTCCCAACTAGTGGCTGAACACAGCGGTGGATACACTCCATTTGAGACGGATATAAGCCATCTCGTGGCTGCGGGAGCGGAGTTCTGCCTGACAATCGCCGTCAGCAATATTCTCACCAACGCTACGATTCCACCGGGGAAAGTTGAGACCCTGGCTAATGGGAAACGCAAACAGCAATACCAGCATGACTTTTACAACTATGCCGGTCTTGCTCGATCGGTATGGCTGTATTCAGTCCCACAGGTTCATATTCAGGACGTGACAATTGTCACCAGCACCTCTCAGACAAGTGGTATCGTTGATTACCAGGTCACAGCGAACAGAATGATACCCGAAAACCAATTCCACCTATCATTACTCGATGAGAATGGGCAAGTTGTAGCCCAGAGCAACGGGCCACAAGGCCGTATTCGGGTGGAATCCGCTCATCTGTGGCAACCTGGCGCCGCCTACCTGTACCAGCTTCAAGTCGAGCTCCTCCGCGGCGACGACCGTAAGGAGTTGCTTGATACATACACTATCGCCACCGGAATTCGCTCAGTGGAGGTTTCTGGCATGCAGTTCTTGATCAACGGCAAACCGTTTTACTTCACTGGATTTGGGAAACATGAAGACACTGCGATCCGTGGCAAGGGACATGATCCAGCGTATATGGTGCATGATTTTCAGCTCATGAAGTGGCTTGGAGCAAACTCTTTCCGCACGTCACATTATCCATACGCGGAAGAGGTGCTGGAATACGCCGACCGTCACGGCATCGTGGTGATCGACGAGACGGCAGCCGTGGGGTTAAACCTGGCCATTGTTGCTGGTATTCATGGAACCAAAGCCCCTCCCACATTTTCCCCTGACACGATCAACGAGCATACCCAAATGGCCCACAAAAATGCTCTCCAGGAGCTTATATCCAGGGACAAGAATCACCCTTGTGTTGTTCTATGGATGATTGCGAACGAACCAGCATCTGGCGAAGTTGGTGCCGTGGAATACTTCAAGCCCCTTGTGAAATTTACAAGAGAACTTGATCCCAGCCGACCTATTTGCTTCGCTAATATGGCTTTCAATCCTGTGAACCGAGACTTGATTACGGATATGTTCGATGTAATCTGTCTTAACCGTTACTTTGGTTGGTATAAGCACACTGGGGAATTAGACATGGCCGAAGAAGCATTGTATGAGGAGTTGTCCGGCTGGCAGGACAAATTTGGCAAACCAATGATCATCACCGAATATGGTGCGGACAGTCTGGCTGGACTACATGCTGTGAATGACGTCCCTTGGAGTGAGGAATATCAGTCCCGCTTGTTAGAGATGTACCATCGAGTCCATGATCGTCTTGATGCTGTCGTTGGAGAACACGTTTGGAATTTTGCGGACTTCCAAACAACGTCCCAGATTTTCCGCGTCAATGGAAACAAAAAGGGTATTTTTACCCGGGACCGACAACCAAAGGCCGCCGCTCGTGTCTTACGAGAACGTTGGACCAAGCCTTTCTTGACGCGCTGATGATTGGCTTTAGCGTACAATGGAGATTTTTTTACGATTGATATTCCGGGTTTTGTTCCTGTAGCGCGTGCAGATACTTCCTCAGTTGCAATGTGTCTCTGATGTCGGGGTCTCCTCCCGCTCTTCTACATTCTCTTGCTTGAATACTGATACACAACTGGAGTCATCTTGCTTCTATACATTTCTGACTTTGAGATTCTTTCCAGTAGGTCTCAGAGTGTCAAAGTGTCACTCTTCTGGTCTAGCCTACAATAGGGATGTGGTGTTTCCCCCAGACGTACATTTTTTCACCCAAATGCAAACTGTTACTGTGGTCCTCTCTATTCATGTGCCTAGTTGCCCGCCTGATCAGGCTCCAGCCTTGTTCGCTTACATGAGAAATCAATGTGAACGATGCTCATGTGGTCACTGTTAACGTTTCCCTTGATAACCTATCCCTCCTTTCTAAACAGGGATTATATAAAATCATTCGCATTTTGCTAATATTTGATACAGTATCCTAGTCTTTCAGGTTTTGAATTGTTGTAAGATCAAGCACTAGCGCCATTTCTCGGATATTTAATCTGCCCTGATACTATGAGGGCTCTAATCAGCAGATACCCCATTTTCGAGGCGATATTTAAGAGTATGTCTGCCACAGACACAAGAGCGTTTGCATGCTCAAGGCGGATGGTCTTATTCGATCATACGAAGGAAAAGCATCTACGTATCCTTACGGATGTACCTGAGCACCGAGACTGAATGCACGATCAGATGAGTAGGGGCAGATACAGAGATGAAGGATATGATCTAGGAGGAGCAGTAGTATGTGCCAGCCATTGAACTATTTTGAAAGATATCTAAGATGATCTTTGAGTTGGAATGTGCCTTTTACAATTCCCGAATATCCACGTTGCCGTAGAAGGTTAATGTGCCTTAGGGAGGAATGTCTATTTAGGAAGGCCTCAACGGCGTTAAAAATTGCTGAAACCTCAATAGCAGAGATATTTTGCTGGTGGGAGGTTAAAATCAAAGTAATAGAAATGCATTAATGCATTACATGTAAATAAGCAATTATTGAATTGAACTGTGCACCCAGAACTGGTCCGGTTCAGATTAAGGATTATTCTAATTCTAGTAAAATTAGATATATTATTATTATTTTATCTTATTTACTATACAGTAAATTAGCTTACTATATACATACCACAAAATCTACCTGTGCAGACTTGAATGGATGTAGCTAATTAATTTGAAGGATGCAGTAAAATGTAAGAAGCTTATCATCGTGTATAGCCATGCAAGGATCGTAATGGAGCTGCACATTGGGGCTCTGCAGATGGGAGGTGAACAGAACTACTCTGCGTGGAGGCTCTATGCTAGCAGACTGGATTAAAAGGTGGGAATAAGGAGATCACTAGATATGAAATGGATACTTTCGGTGGGGAGGTGGAGCATTCGCATATGCATTTGATCATAACAGAAGAAGCAACTACTTTAATGAAACAGCAACAGGAGCTACTCCCAGAACGGCACATACCATGGTGTTCTATGTTGCGACAAGGGACGCCCTCCTGCGTCAGAACCTTATTCCGACTGTCCCACTGCTGGGTCACCTGGCGCGACGAACTGATCCAGTGATAAGATCCTGTAAAGGAGCGAATGACTTCAGGTAGGATTGGTTCTGTCACCGGATGTGAGGAGCACTCCCAATGAGAACGAACACTGTGTCGTACGAGTACCGGGATTAGGGTTTGGTCCTGCTTTCACAGTCACACAATGCGAGACCCTTCTGAGGCGTCAACAGGCACACGCATCCATGATAGAGATAAGATATGCTCAGATTGCGCTGTGGTAGCCCCTCGTATAAAGAGACGTAGACATGAAGACACCCATTCAGAGACCCACAACCCTAACAAGCTCTACCAATCCTTACCTAACCTCAAACCCCTCAGAAAATGAAATCCCTCCTCGCCTTCCCCCTCCTCCTCTTCCTTCCCCTCCTCCCACAAACCACCGCCCTCGTAACCCCCTGCATCATCGGCGGCACCGAAGTCCCCATCGAAGTCCACCCCTACCAAATCGCCCTCCTCTACGGCGGCGCCCGCACCTGCGGCGGCAGCATCCTCAGCCCGCGCCACATCATCACCGCCGCCCACTGCGTCGCCAGCGCGACCCCGAGCCGCCTACGCATCCGCGCGGGCTCCGCCCTCTGCGACGCCGGCGGAATCTTGGTCAGCGTCACCGCGATAGCAATCCACCCGAACTACTCCGCCCCGACCGTCGACAACGACCTCGCCATTCTGACATTGTCCCAGAATCTGACTTTCGGCCCCAAGATCGCGCCCGTGGGGTTGCCCGCGTTCGGGGCGGATATCCTAGTCCCCGGCGCCGAGGTGGTGGTCTCGGGCTGGGGCGCGACCGGCGAGGGCGGCGCAAACTCCCCGACCCTGCGGGCTGTGACGGTGTCGGTCGTCGGGCGGGAGGAGTGTCGTGCCGGGTATCAGAGGTTCGGGCCGGTGACCGACAGCATGTTCTGCGCGGGGACGCCCACGGGCGGAAGGAATGCTTGTGGCGGGGATAGTGGGGGGCCTGCTGTTGTGGTTGCCGGCGGGAATGGGGATGGGAATGGGAGCGGGAGCGGGAGCGGGAAGGCTGCCCGTGGGGTTTTGGTGGGGGTGGTCTCGTGGGGGCATGGCTGCGGACGGAAGGGGTTTCCCGGGGTTTATGCGAGCACGTCATTTCTGAGGGGGTTTATTGGTCGGGTTACGGGGCTGTAGGATATGATATACCTTGTGCAGTAAGTTGGAATTGGATTGATGAGTTCCATGGTGGGTACAGTATTAGAAGGTACAATAGGAAGCCTTTGCATTTGCATGACGGTATGAGGAAAACCTATCTAAGGGGAAAACTCATACCAAGGCCTAGGACTACTTCGCAGTCCCCAACCCCAGAAACAATATGATAAGGCAAACCAGAGTAGCTCGGGGACTATTTCCACAGTGGAAAGTCCTAATCCTCCGATTCTTGTCCTCCGCAGGAAGTGATCAGATCATCGGACTCGGCGATAGGATCCTTATTGTTCACCGGGTTCTTCGAGGTTTCCATCGCCCAGATCCTCCACCCGTTTCTTGGCATCAATATCTGTCAGTACGCTGGTTGCGACATACACCCTAGAGAGAGGGTCGAACTCACGCGCATGGCACATCGTAACGCGGCTGAACCCGGTACCGAGATTGTTCGTGGATGTCCACCGGCTCCTCGTTGAGTTTGATGGGCTGCAGCTCGGGTTGATGCGCGTAGTGCGTGAGCCAGAAGTTCGCCTGGCGAGGTTCTCCTCTAGGCTATGTTAGTTTGTTTACTTTGCAAGTCTTATAAGAAAAAAACGCCTCGTTGATTCATATACTGCAAAAATGCATTATACGTACGGTGCCACGTCATCCCAGTTGATATCCCACACTTCCCGGGGATTGATCGTGCCGAAGGTGCCTGGGAACCTCATTTTGTGGTCCTGGTGAGGATTTATCATTCGAGAAGATATGTGTGAAATGTGGAAGGATCAAGTGTCTGCATCGGGGTGTCTGCTTGGGAACTTGCTGCGAGGCTGGGGCGATCTAGGTGGTGGGCATCATTGATTTATAACCCTGATTCTCTGGCAGTCTTTGAGTCTCTCATAGCAGCTTCCGCTCGGGGTTGTTGCACGGGCTCTGAGGATCGTAATGCAACGTGCGTAATCATCGGAGATCTCAATGTTGTGTGAGTAAGCGTCAGATGTTGCGGCTGGTGTACAGACTTGTCGAGAACCTCTGCTGCGAGTATGCTTATCTGAGGCTTGATCGTTGTCATCTCGCAGTATTCTCTCAATAGATACGCCCTAACTGGTGGGGTAAGACTCATCTACATTTGATAGTGAAGATTGAGATGGCTTGGCGGATCTCAGTAGATGAGGCCCTAGCGCTGTTGTACATTTGACGTTGAGCTATGATGTAGCTTCAAGCCAAGGATGCGCTTGTTGAAGATAAGTTCTACCCAAAGTGCCAAGTCCGAGACTGCCCGTGTACACACGGAGACTTTTTACCATAGGTTTCCGTTCGGTAGGACGATGCTTATCTCTTCGAGCGCCGTTCCATGCATAGTAGACCGGGATGCCGCACACAGCTGTGGCCACAGAGACGTTCCAATAATCCGAATTTGGCCAGGACTTTTTTCTTCTTGTTGATCTTAATCCGCTAATTCCTGACAAGATCGACGGGCTCCTTGACGAGACGAGTAGTGCACGCCTCAATGACATGTGCATATGCATATGGTTACGCTCATCCCGAGGGATGAGCGAGAGACCTTGATTCGATCTCTTCATGCTGCTCCGGCGACGATCCGCGAATCTATGATGAATTTATTGAGATCTTTGAGACGGTATCATATCTTGCTGACTGCGAGGTCCGATTGTGCGACCAGTGGGCGTGGTGGGCTCTGAAATGATAGTTAGTATCTGGCTACTGTTGGACCTGACACCACTCTATCTTGCTGGCTTCCCTTTTTCTTGTTTTCTCTATCCTTTAGTTGTTTCGATAAACTTACGGGGAAGCCAATGCATATGGGCTGCATTGGAATCATATCCTCGCGTATATCTGCGGTGAGTGATAGAAGCCTTGGCCGTAATCCTCAGTGGTTTCTACCCCACACGCGATCAGTTGATGGGCTGCACATCTTGTGTCACGTTCCTGCAGTGGGCTTACTTGACCTGTGCATGCATAAGCTGGAGGCGCAGTTGCGATAAACATCCGAAGAATAATAGCGTAGTGGCTAAGCAATGCGAAGACTGTTCGTGGCAGTGCAACAGCCGCCAAATGAACTGCCCTCTGCCTACCTAAGCATCTCCTGCTGCCGTCGCTACCCAGGTAAAGTACTACCAACTAAATTACCCGATTGGGAAGTATGCGGCGTCGATAGCCTCTGTTGATTCAGAATCTGACGTGGTGCCGCCTGATTTGTGGACGCGCTCTTTGTCGATGCGTTTGCCTGCGTCAGGTGTTGAGCGCGTAGAGCAGGCGGCACAGAGGACATTTGATGCGCTCCTTGCCCTTGCCCTTTTTTTTCGTCTGCCTTCCTTCTTCCTTCTCATTCTCGTATGGATTACTGAGGTATCTTCTGATCGATATTTGACTGGAAGCACTACTTTCAAGAGTTGACGCAGCTGAAGTGAGATATCGGTGTTGCTTATTCTTCGTTCGCCGGGATGACTTTGCGGGAGTCAGCTCTATGTCTCTATCGCGTCGAGAGCGATCAGTCGAGGGGTCAAAAGGTTAGGGGCTGCGGTATTGAGTCTGAGGGATGCCACTGAATTGCATTTCGATCTCGAAGCAGGAGGCAAGGGGTGGATTTGAAGGATGAACTGTGGGCGCACCTGATTTGGAGGAACCGAGAGCCGACACCATTTGTTTCGGCTTCGCAGATCCCAGACTGGGTGTTCAACGAGCCGAGAGACGTGTGCGTAACGGAGAGACGAATGTCAGGGTGTACGAGATTGCGGTTCCCCGTCTGGGAGTGTATCCATCTCTATCCGAGGGCTGGGTGACCGTCATGAAATTGGATGCATGGCTCGATGTGGCCAACTCCAATCTTCCTGATTATGCTGACTTCTCGTCCTCGGGAAATGAATATCTGTTCCTTCATCATATTCCAGAGGATTTTATCGTTGACACTTGGTTGTTTTGATGTTCTGGTGGTTGGAGATGAGGATGAGGAATGGTGCCGAGCGGAATGCAGTTTGTTGGTTGATATTAGTAGCAAGTTGAGTTTGTTTCTAGTCGTTGCTGTTCGGTGGAAATTGGGCAAGGGCAGGTAGATCTCATTCATTTTATTTTCTTTGTGCGACTGATGTCAGCTGTACCTTCGTTTGACTTTCGGGACACGTACATTGGGTGCTAGGGTGATTGTGGGCGTTGATGGAGCCTTCAGAAACTTCGCCTCGGCCTCAAGCTGGAGGTGACTCCTAGCATTCATACACACCTTCATCGTTATCAGCGGTGGAATCATCGACGTACCTATAGCGATGCTGAAACATATATTCATGTTCAGACAGCAGCCGCGTAAGAGCCCTCTAACTCCCGGGTGATGATGGGTCGAATCCCAAGGAATATCTCAATTTGTCATACTCGGTTATAGCATAAAGTATGGAGTCTGGCGTAATAACCATTCCAATTGAGATGAAACTACACAACAACTGTGGATAGAGCCATGGATGCGTGAACGCTAGCTAAATTTTAAACGAAAGTCATAATGTGAAAAAGCTTTAATATATCATCAGTAAGACAATATGGCCGAGCGGTCTAAGGCGATAGACTAGAAATCTATTCTCTTCGGAGGCGTCGGTTCAAATCCGACTGTTGTCGTTTTTTGCCTTTTGTTTTTCCTTGCCGCTGACCCCGAAGTAACAATAAGCTGGTACGGCTCAATGCCGGCCATCCACGGGCTGAGCAGAAAAATATCTTTTGTTCAGAACTCAACCCGATAGCCGTGTCCCTTGGGATCGAATAGGTGTTGGATGCTGTTGGCGCTGTCCACCCTTCGGATGAAGCAGCCAACACCGAATCCAATGTGTATAGCCAAAAAATAAGACAGCCGAGATCCCACCCTCTTTGTCTCCGATCATAACAGTCCCCCGGGTAATGCTCGACTCAACCACATCCATTGTCATAGAAACACTTATCTCGGTCATCTCCTACAATCTTATTGCCGCAACCCGCTTGGACTGGCCTCTTCAGAGAATCTCCAGCTACGAGCCCGTTCGTCCCACGCCCAGCATGAAACACACATCGCAGTTGGAATATAAAAGCACCCGTCTCACCAAATCCAGAGATAGCTCCACACAACCCACCCAACCCTGAGACAGTTGACCAACGGCTAGTAAGTATTCCCTTCTACAGCAAAAAGAACAATGCCTTCATCAAGGAGAGAAAGCCACGATCTCTGGGCCCTCGACTTCTGGGTTGAACGCAAGCGGACCTCTCGCTCTCGGGCCTGTTGGTACTTCTACAAGACCAGATCGGGGAGCGCCTTCACAAGGAGATCTTCACTCCGCCGGAAATCGCCCCAAGCCTGCATTATGTCATGATCCGGGTCATCACACGCGACGGTGAGTGCCTCGAAGCAGCCCACAAGGACCTTGACTCGAAGCTCTGTCGACTGATGGCTAACGAGGACTGGGAACACGAGGAGCAGACCGAGCTGAATTGGTCCACCAAGATGCTGCGTCGTGTACGGAAGGACGGTCAGAAGGATGGCTATAATCTACAGTTCTGGAAGATCCAGGAATTCCCCCGCGACAGTATCGAACCCGTGAATTTCTCTACCGCTGAGGTAGGCCTTCGGGTGCTCGAGCTTATGAATGAGTGGCAATGAGAGCATTGCGGAGCATGGATTTGGGGTTGGTGGCTTTTCAATTGGGGGTCACACCTCTCTGATTTGAAGATGTTAAGTATGAATATGGATATTTCCGATGATTGTCTTTTCCGTTCTAATGATATGCAGCATTATGGAGTTGGGTTGTATGACCGTAAGTGGCAAGTGGCAAGTCTAGGCCTGCAATTCACTTCTGCTTGCATCTCTGGTCTTCGAGCTATCGCGCGCTAAGGCTTCTAGATTGCATCGTGCCCCACCCGCTGTCAATCTTTCTATGGCTGCATTTACTTTTCTGAATATTTTCCCCTAATTGATCGGCTGCATTCTAAGCTGTCAGCCTCCTGTTTGTATTCATTGGTAGTGAGAATCCTTGTCAGCCGCAAGTTTGCTGTGTTTGTGGCTACTTAGTTTTCTGTTTACTTCCCCTCATAGTCTCTCATAACTACCCCACCTTTGCTCTTCCTTCTCCTTCCTCATCCCCTTTGGCAAACAACCTGAACACACCATCTGACGCCTCATCCTCTTTCTTCTGCCTTTCAACACCCATGATCTTGACTATCAAGCAATAGTGATTATTCTATCATGGCCGTCAAAGGTCTGCTGTTCATTCGTTGCCGGGGTAGGTACTTTGCGTACTCTAACCGGTGGGACAGTTATCCGGAAGGTCTGGGCATAGAGATGGTCGACACTATCCCTGAAGATCCTGTCCAGTACCAAGGCATGTCACCCGTACAGAATACACCCACCTTTCTACAAGCAAGTCTTTCTAACCTCTCAGTCAGCATGGCTCGAAGCTCTTCGCTCCACTTTTTCGCGTCTCGTCCACCAATTCGAAACACAATGCCTCCCGGTCGCCATCCAATCCATCGACGAGGACTCGAACGCCTCCCTCACTGAGCGCTACGAGATGAGCTACTTGGCCCTCGACGACCGGCTTAAATCGCCGCCTTTACAGCTAATGCCCCCGGAATGGCGGAGCGGAGATCATGAATGGGTTTACACCCTCGACTTGGACAAGGAGATCTTCAGCATCGACAATGCCGTTCATCTCCGGCTCTCCAGCATCGCCAGCGACCGGAATTGGACCATGTACCTCGGTAAGGATGCTCGTCGCCGCCGCGCGCCTGCCAAGTGGACACCCTCACATGTGCTTGCCGATCCCACCTTCAAGCTTCAAGTGAACGAGACCCTGATTGACATGTTCAACCGGCTCAAGGTTAAAGTGGTTGCGCCAGAGTCCTTCTATCTCCCTCAAGATATCCCCTTCCTTCGGGAATCCTTCCTGGGCTCAGCATTTTCAAGATTGCAGGAGCACTATCGCGATCTACTGGACGGGAGCTATCTTGAATGGAGCCCCACAGACTTTCCCTTCAGAGAAATAGCATATGCTATCGTGTCTCTGGCCACGGGTGCTGTATCGTTTGCAAGTATCAGCTCCTTGGATGCCAACCACAAGAAGGAAGGGTATTACCTTGTTCATGGTGAAAAATCTTCATGCTCTGGGTTTCCGAGCCTCCGACCAACCCTGCTGCCCCGATTTTTGCACGAGTCACACTATCCCGGGGTGCGGGCCGGGTCAGCTCCCCGGCAAACAACGTATTGGTTGGATAGTGTCTTGGTCCACTTGGTCTCGGGCCTAGATCGCGTCGACATAGAAGAAGCCGCGATTGCCGAAGCCGTGGAAGCCGGACTCGAAGAGGGGCGAAAATCATTCTATGCAATCGTCTTCTCGATTTTGGATGTAATCCTGCTGCGTGTCCAGAGGAAATCATGCCTGACCGTTCTTGTGGAGAGAAGTCCACTTATGACATTGTTCAAATTTGATGACACCAATTCTTCATTCGCAAGAGGGCCTCGGAACAGATCGCCTCGCAACTTTGGGAACGTCAAGGAATCTAAAGATGGCACCAGATCTCATAGGAATCTTGGGGCCGATGACCTTACCCAACCCAACAGTCATGACCGTCAACTGGACGATGACGCTAACAAGTCACTGACAATGCGCCTTGCCGGGAAGATGAAGTATTCCATTGTCTTTGTGACACTATTACGTTTCTTCGACGCAGCCACGTATCATGATCTGGAAGGTGCCGTGTCCCATGTATTGCCGAACGAGACCCTGGCGACTGTGATGCAGTTCACCGATACTCAAACGTATCGCACGCTCAGCAAACTGTCAGCTTATTGCCGCAAGACCAGTCTGTCCGAGTTTCGGCTGAATGACCATTGTATCATCGTTGACTTTGATCTCCACAGTACCTCCTACACCATGGTGGACAAGCGCACGGGAACGCAGAGCACTACTCGACTCTGTCGTGGGAGTCCCACGCGAGGATGCAAGGAATTAGTACTGTCCCCGATCATCGGAATCGAGAACCCCTCAAGGCGCAGTATCATCGATTCTGTGCAGTGGCACTTTGTGAACGTCCCTAGCAGGGAAGCACCTTACAAAAAAACCATTGCAATGCCGCACAGGTAGGAGTGTGCCTCCCCAGTCATATCATGGGCAGTGGGGTTGGACAACATCTGATCTCTCATCACAGAGCGGCGTATGACCGATTGGCGTACCCAGGCTTCGCTCCCTCCACCAACTTCGACATGCTCTTCCATCTTCCCGACCATCTATATGTTGGGTCCGTCGAGGAGGGCTGGGACCGATACCTCAAGAAGTTAATTCGAAGATATCAGGATGAGGAGGACAGCCCCGGCTCCAGTTTTGATACGGGGCTGTTCGACTGTGTCCGCCCACCCGGATACCGTGAGATCACTATGGACGCCCTCCGCTGTAGTGGCTTCCACTGTTTCCTGCGCCGCGCCCGGGACGAGAGTGTCGACGAATGGATGGCCACCACGCAGTTCGCCCTGCGTCGTCTGCATATCCGCGAAGGCTGGGGCGGCGGATATGATGCTGCGGAGAGATTCCCCCTTCCCGGGCGGCCCGTCGTGGTCGCCTTCTCCGCCCGTGTCGGGCTCTTCTATTATGTGCATCATCGCCACGAGAAGCCCAAAGTACCGCCGGGGATAGGGTATCATAGCCTCGAGATAGCGGAGAGATGCACCGATCCTGACCTGCAGCGCCGCCTTGTTCCGCTGATTCCCGGGGTGATCGACTTGAGAAATTACTCGTCCCGTGTCGAGTTTGAGAGCTGGTTTGAGCGGTTCTGCCATGGCGTCGGGGAGAAAACGGTGTATGATCCGTTCACTGACCAACAGCAATTTTTGACTCGTGTGCCGGAGCCGCAACCTCATCTAAGTAAACAGCCTATGACCAGTACGGAGCCTGTTGGGAGCGATGTGGTATATGATTTGCCTTCTATGTATAGGTCTTTAGGGTAGCTGGGGAGGCTACTGCTGTTGCTGTTGGGATACGTAAGGGGGTTCGGGCGATTTAGTGCTGACTGGACAGAGGATGAACTAGTAGCACGCTGAGTCATTGGCTTCGTAGACTGAACAGGGCTATCAGACATATAGGGAAGCGAGTATTGACATGAGCTGAGAGATATAGTAACTAGATTCTCTCTGAACCACGATCAGAATTCTCGTTACCTTCAAAAGCTTCTTCTGTCATTTCCGTGCCAGCTCCCGGTGAGAAGCCGGGTGATATCCGACATAATCCCATCAGCAGCTTTACTCATGTCTCAAGAGGAACCGTTCACAATTGTTATTATCCAGCACAATGAACATCTAGGCGGGCTTCAAACGAGTGCCCTGAACCACAAGCCCATCTCTTTGTCTCTTCTGCAATTGGGGGTTCTGAAGCACGACAAAGCTCATTCACGAAGGACATGGCCTTTGTCCGACGAAGTCCAGTTGTTCTTTGTCTGTTAAATGATATTATATCTCAGGCCGGAAGGGAAATTGATAAATACAACTTATGTGAACTATACCAACTCGATTGCTGATTTTACTTCTCAAGATCCTCGCAGCCCACGATAGTCACCAAGATACGACAAACGAAAAGTACCCCGACTTTCATCCTACTATCAACATACAATCCAACAACCCCAGAGAGAGTATACCATCAAACATGTCTTCCGACCCTCCCCGAGCCCCCAAGCCCAAACGAAGCCGAAGGCAATCTCTGAACCGAGCCCGTTACGAAAAGACTCGCCATCTCACTCCATATGCTCTACTCGAACTCGACCTCCGACAAGAGGGAGGCATCGCGCACCCTGCCCGGTATGCCTGCCATCTTCTGCCTTCCCATCTGGTCATCGATGATACTGACATCCAGGATCCAGAGCCCGCACCTTCGCCCCGGAAGTGTACAGCCACCTCTCCGAAGCGCAACGAGCCCACCTCCGACAGCTGGCCGAAGACGGTGGACCCGATCTCTCAGATCTGCGGGGTGTACGTCCCCTCATCCCCATCCTTGATTCCCTTCCCTGCCCATCATCGACCCTGGAAACCAACCGATACTGATACTCAATTGATGGATGGGGGAAATAGTACCCAAGAACACAGCGTGTCAAATCCCCCGGCCCCACGGCCCCCGCCTCCGCCTCCCCTCCGCTCTCCCACCAGCCCTCAACCCTACCCCCAACAAGCACTTACACTCCCAGCATCGAAGAACCATACCCGGCCTCCTTTTTACCCCTCAAACACCCCCCTTCGCCAACCTCCCTACTCTCTCCCAACACGACCTCATTCCCAGAATCCCCCTCCGTAGCCTCCCCTCGCAACCCCACAAAACCAACCCCTTACCTCTACGGCCCCTCCACAACCTTCATCACCCACGCCCCGGACCACTCCCCTCTCCGCCCCCATCACCATCACCATCACCATCACCATCACCACCACCGCTCGAACTCAGACGACCCCCGCCACCGCCGCCGCCACCGTCGCCCCCGCCCCCGCCGGACCGGCAGCGTCCTCCGCCGCCGTGTACTCCTCCAGGAAGCCCGCCGCGGCAGCGTCGCGCGGTACGGGCTGGGGGCGGCGGGGTTCTGGCATAGACGGCGGCGGCCCGACGGGCGGCTGGAGAGCCAGGCGGAGGCGGATGCGCGGCGCGCGCGGGCCCGGCAGGCGTGGAGCCAGGAGGATTACAGGGCGGTGTTTGAGGCGCTTGCTTCGGTGAAGTCTGCTGTGGTTGAGAGGGGGGAGGGGGAGGGGGGGCATCGGGGAGCTCGGGGTAGGAATGGGGGCAGGGGGAGGAGGAGCGGGAGGGGAAGGGGTGGGAATCGGAGTGGGAGTCAGAGTGGGAGTCGGAGGAGGTCTGGGTCGGGGTCTGGGTCGGGGTCCAGGTCTAGGTCTGGGGAAAGGGGGGAATAGGGCTAGCGGCTAGAGCTTTATCTTGGGGATGGGGGGTTTGTAGATTGGTGTATGGTTCTTTACTTAGGGTTGAGGTGTGGGGGTTGTTTTGTTTTGAGGGTTGTTTTCGTTAATGGGGCTGGGTTTGGGGAAAGGCTCTTATGTCTAGCTAGGGCTTGGTTCGGGGGTTGATTGTTTATTTGGTGAAGATACAGTACAAATACAGTTTAACAACTGTAGTATTACGAATTTCTGATTACCATTATTAGTCGGAGGTTTTTGTGTATTGGTTCTGTTTTGGTGGGATTGAGATTTATGCCAATTTTTTATACTTGCACTTTTTCATCGTCATGGTTGCCTTAATCAAGAATGGAGTGTCGCATCTTTGAATCATGTTTGTTATACTCATGTTCAAACTGTAGTATCGATAGTATCAATTCAAACCTCATAATCATATACATAATAGGTATCAAACAGTCCAGACCGAAAACTCCCTGTCGCAAATCTACAAGAAAAACACCCGAAACACCTTTGGCCCTCAGCCTAGTAGCCTTCTCCCCTCAACCTAGCTATGCTGGTACTTGACCAGCGCATCCCGCACCAGGGCAATCACCTCCTGCAGCACCTCCGCCTGGCCCGCGTGCACGTCCACGATCAGCGCGTCCCACTCGTCCCCGACCACCGGCTCCTCCAGGTCCATCAGCTGCGACTGCACCATGCTGCTCTTCATGTAGTGGGCCTGCCGCTGCGTCACGCGCTGCAGCAGCGCCGTCGGGTCGACCTTGAGGTAGATGAAGTGGATCTGCACCGAGGGCGACCCGTACGCGGCCACGCGCATCACGTCCCGGTACTTCTTCTTCAGCGCCGAGCAGGCCACCACCACCCCCGTCGGCGGCCGGTAGCCGTTCGCCTCCGACGGCGACAGCGCCGAGATCGCCGCCTGCCGCAGCGAGATCAGCCAGTCCCATCGGTCCGCGTCCGTCAGCGGCACCCCGTTGCTCATCTTCGTCTTGTTGGAGGCCGGGTGGAACTACACCGGACCGAAATTAGTATTCACGGGCGATGCGAAGGGGTCGACTCGAGATAGTTGGTGTTTTGGGGTAGGGATAAACGTACATCATCGCCTTCTAAGAACGGTACCCCCAGTTCTTCCTGCAGGCCGCGCCCGACGGTGCTCTTCCCACACCCGGCGGGCCCCGTCACCACCCAGATGTGTTGGATCTGCTGCCGCGGTTGAGCCGGAGGCTGCGGCTGGGTTTGGTCCGCCCACATGGGGTTGGTGGTGGTGTGGTTGATGTTGAGGGGGGTGTCGACCACCGCGCCCTTGTTCTTCATGGCGGGCTGCGGGCGTTCGCCGGCGGAGAGCATGGTGGTTTTTAGTTGGGGGTTATTGGTTTTTGAGTGCTGTGGGGGTTCTGGGTTTCAAGGAACGGTGCGCTGGAATAATTGGGTGTATGACGTGCTCGAAATTTTTGTGAAATTTGGTTGGAACCACAGTTGGGATTGTTGGAGTTGCAGCTTGTGTAGGCAACGGTAGAGTGTAAAGGGTGTGGTGTTGTAGTGGATGTAGTAAGTAGGGGCGGGTAAAGTTGGCTTGAGTTCTCCCTGACGCAACAACCGGGGGAAAGATTGAGCTTAAGAAGGACAAGGACAAGGACAAGAATAAGATCGGGGAAGGACTACGGCTATAAAGCCAAAGGGAAAAGACGGGAAATCAGAATGATGAAAGGGTTTCCAGGACGGGCAACAATACTAATAATAATCCCATGGGCTGTGTGGGTCAGTCAGTCCGGGGGGGCGTTATCGGCTTCAGAATGACACTGTTTCGTCCGGTCTGGTTTTCCTTGAATTTGCGACTTGAATGAATGTGATTGATCGTTTCTCCTACTCAGTATCCCCTTTCCAGGATCCACCCCGGCTTCTGGCATCGGGTGTTGAGACAGCGCGCAGCATGGGCCGGATTTAAGGTATCAGAAGTAGAGGGAAGACTTCCCACTCGTCATTTCATCACCACTGCATTTGGAGTGGGGGGGTAAAGGTAACGGACAAGCACCAGCAAAAAAAGGGTGGGGGAAAAAAGAAACGAAGAAGCGTCTTTTTCTTCCCTGAGACTCCGGCGGTCTGGTTGTTAGCGGGAGATCCGATCGGGCGCTGTATCACAGACGTATGGCTTACACCTCTCTGTAATCACACCATAGATAACTACAAGTAGAAAGCCACAGTAAGAGGTGTCCACGCAGTGACGCAGCACCTGTATCACATTCTCCGCTGTTGCCATTGATCCAGATGAGACAAAAATCCCTCCCATTACTCCAATCACTGTCTCGAACCAAAGGTGTTTCGGAGGAGTATCGGGCGAGATAACCTGCCTATGCCATGATGTCACTGGAGCTGGTATGTGTAACCGGTGTTTCGGAACAGTCGGTAAATTTCCCCCTCCGTAATCTATTTTCCGACCAGCAAAAATTGGGGGTTGTTCCCCCCACACTATTCCCTCTATGGCACTAGCCTGCTGTTCCTTTTTCTATGCACCTTCTTCGATGCTTCCAGAGGCTTTCCTCTCTCGAAAGGCTCGCTCCAGTTCTACCGTGGACCCGTTTTAGACCCTCACAGTTGCATCCATGATGGACAGAAACAACCACAAAGTCGGATGGGATTACTGCTCATTCCGTTGGTCTGTTTGCAGCAGCCCAATCGACAAGCCAACTGGCAACAGTGTCACGAGGTCTCATCATCCTTCCCCCTCGATCCATCCACTGACTGGCGGTGAATTTATCGAGACAGCAAGAGACAAACAAAAAGTCCGGCCTGGGCCGTACCTTTTCCTTTTCCCCGGTGCCAGCCATTGCGACAGGTCGGATTTAAGCTTGACGGGGGTCATTTCCCTCTTTTCACAGCAGAACTCCATTCCCGTAGGTACACGTCGTTTGGTGTCACCTTTGGCTCAACCAGAGCCAGAGCTTTCTTCATCTTCCCCCTCTTGTGAAACCATTTGGCTCTGATCATGCGTCCCTCCCTTCACTCACCGCCGCTAAAAGACGTGAATGAGAAACTCGCCGGGGAACACAATGATCAAATTACCTTGCATTGGCTGCAAGCAACTTTTCCAAGGTTGATATTCCCTGGCGGCTCTGTGCATGATCCGGCTGGAGTGCAAGGGTTCATTACCGGATTTCTGCCCAACGACCTCCTCCCTGAAGAGGCGAGAGAAATAACCTTAAGCGCCCTAAGCTGACGGATTATTCCTATCGGAACTGGTGACTGTGTCTCCTCAAAAAAACCCCTCATTTTTATAGAAAGGTCATCCAGTTAGAGTATCGATCCCTGACAGTGTGGAGGGGACGGATGACTTCCCCAGACTTCTGGAGCCTGTTTCTGCAGCGCAAAAGAAGCAATATTCCCCGCTCCAGCGACTTTAGAATGCGGTTATGCCCCGTCGATCTTGCCGCATGTCATTAGGACAGGACCAAGTATACGAAGTTTACCTTCGATACATCACGAGCTATCGACAGAACTCGAGTAGTAAGTCGCACATGACGTGCAGAGTACTGCAGTATAAGATAAAGACGTTCCAGACAGCGAGTGCTTCTTTGGAGAGCAGCATGACGAAGGCGGTGAGTACGTAATCGGTGATAGTGCCAGCGCGTCCACCGCCGCCAGGCAGTCGAGATGCCGCCGAGGGAGCTGGCCATCTCAAGGCCATTCCTGCCCGCTAATTATTATTCAATTTGACTCTACACTCAGGTACACGGCTTGACTTGACGAGCCTAGAACTTGCTAGCAGCTGCCAATTAAATTTGTTCCATTGCTTCCCACTTCCTGCAGCACGCCAGCTCCTTGACTCCTTTCCCCCTCCCCACGATGACCTCCCTCTTCTTCTCCACCCCGGTGGACATCGACGTGGTTCTCGAAGATAGCGATGAGCGCCAAACGGTGGACGTCAAGTTGGACAAGGGCCGTCGCGAGAGGGTCCCTCTCTACATGGACGGCGAGTCCGTCAAGGGAGCCGTGACCGTCAGACCCAAGGATGGAAAGCGGTTGGAACACACTGGCATCAAGGTGCAGTTTATCGGTACTATTGGTATGCGACCTAGGCCTTCATCCCGCGCGCGGGCATATCCATCTTATCACACTGCCACAGCTCAACACTAGGGTGCACTAAATCAGGCTGACCAGCTCCTTCACAGAAATGTTCTACGACCGCGGCAATCACTACGAATTCCTCTCCCTGGTACAGGAGCTGGCGGCGCCCGGCGAGCTGCAGCACCCGCAGACCTTCCCCTTCAACTTCAAGAACATCGAGAAGCAGTACGAGTCCTACCACGGCATCAACGTCAAGCTGCGCTACTTCGTCCGGGTGACGGTCTCCCGGCGCATGGCGGACGTGATCCGCGAGAAGGACCTCTGGGTATACTCGTACCGCATGCCCCCGGAGACCAACAGCCCCATCAAGATGGACGTCGGCATCGAGGACTGCCTGCACATCGAGTTCGAGTACTCCAAGTCGAAATACCACCTGAAGGACGTCATCGTCGGCCGCATCTACTTCCTCCTGGTGCGGCTCAAGATCAAGCACATGGAGCTGTCGATCATCCGGCGCGAGACCACGGGGTCGCCGCCCAATCAGTACAACGAGAGTGAGACGTTGGTGCGGTTCGAGGTGAGTGCAGCTGGAACAAGATTAGGGGAATGAGGATAGTGCTGGGGAATGCTAACGGCGCACATTGCAGATCATGGATGGGTCGCCCTCTCGAGGTGAGTGAGAATCGGGCCCTTGAAAGGGAGCCAGCCAAACAAATTCGACGAGTCCAGCTAATGCTGACGATACCTCACCCAGGTGAAACTATTCCCATTCGTCTCTTCCTCGGCGGATTCGACCTGACACCCACCTTCCGCGATGTCAACAAGAAGTACTCGACGCGATACTACCTCAGCCTGGTGCTTATTGACGAGGGTAAGTCGGTTACGCTGTCTCTTTCTCTCTCTTTCATAACCCATCCTTGCCTCGTTTTTGCATGTCGTTCTGCATTGTCACAGAACATCGGGCAGAAATGTGTGTCCACTTGCCGGAGACGGGTCGGCGGGAACCAGCCCCCCTTCCAAACCAACCGCCGGCGCACACCACACTAAACATCCCACGGCATCCCACTGTTCCCCCCGTTCCCCGTCTCAATAGCCGGTCGGCTATCGGTGAAAGCCTCCCCTCCCCTCACGCTGATCGGGCCACACACACCGCCCGCCACATAAAGCCCATCAATTCACTACCCCCACACTAAACCCCAAGCGATGGATGGGCTTTTCCCCCGTCTTTGCCTAGAGGTTTTCCTCACGTGGAGGCCCCAATTTTTCCAATCGCGTTCCTTTCCCCAATTTCCTTCCCCCACTCCATCCGACTGCCTGTCTTACCCCAAAACAAACCAACAACACCGCCTTTCTTCCCAGGTGCCCCTATCAACAACAACAACAACCTCATCATCATCATCAGCCACCACCACCACCACCACCATAACAAAATACACACAGTCCACTAACCCCATAATCCATCAAACACAGACGCCCGCCGCTACTTCAAACAATCCGAAATCGTCCTCTACCGCCAAGCGCCAGAGATCGCCCCCACCCCGCAAATCGCCCAGCAGCAGCAGATCCAGCAGCAGCAGTTGCTCCAACAGCAACAGCAACAGCTGCCCGTCGGCTCGGCCACCCCGGGTCCCGGTCGTAGTGAAGCCCATCAGCAGAACCATTTCGCGCAGCAGCAGCAGCAGCAGCAGCAGGCGGCTCAATCTGTTCCTGCTTCTGCGGCTTAGCTCTCTGCTTGTTTTGTTATAATCATTCGAGCTAAAGGATGCGTGAGACGTTTTGCCCGATTGAGATGGTGGTTGTTCTTGCTTTGATTGGTAGGGTAAGGGCGGGCTGGGGCTGGGGCTGAGCTGGAGCTGAGATGATTTGTACTTGTACTTTATTTCATATATACCCTTGCTTTTTGTCCTTTTTACTTTTTTCTTTCTTCTGTGGGTTGAGATGTATGTGTATGTGGGCGATGTAGTCGGGGGGTCATGTGGTGTATTGTGTAGGCTGGGGGGGTGGGGGTTGGAATAGGTTTGTGTGGACGAGGTTCTACGGATTTAACCACTCACTAATGCTGGAGATGTAGGTGGACTTAATAGGTAGGGGTAGTAGTATTGCTGATACGGTGTACTCCAGTTCCTTTTGGGAAAAGGGGTACTTCTACGATAACTATGACCTGATATACAGATCTCAAGCTGCTGCCTATACGTCCGTTTAATGGGGATATCCATTAAGAAGACTAGAGAACAAAACTAAGAATACATCTTTACCTGCATCTGACGGAACAGATGCCTCCAAGGGGCCCGAATCACGCCGACAGAACCTGGCCCAGGGCACGCAGAACCTCCCCGTCGTCGTGCTGCTTTCCGGCTACCTGCACGGCTCGTACGACGAGCGGGTAGATCCACGCCAGGTGCTTCTTATGATCCAGGTCGCCTGGACTATTGATCGACACGCCGTTGACCGTGCCCGGGAGCGCGGGGACCGTCGACGGGTCGCTCTGCAGAGCCACCATACCCCGGAGGAGGTGCAGGAGGGATTTCCGGGCCGGGGTGGGCTGCGGCATCAGGCCCCGCAGGGGCTGGTCGGCGATGTAGCCTTTGAGGGACACGGAGGCCCGGAGGATCAAGTAAGGGGAGATGGACCGGGCGAGGGTGAGACGGGCGGCAGAGGCTGATTGCTCGACAGGTGATGACCCATGCCCTGACGGGGTTTGTGCCTCGTCAGATAAAGGAAGTGATGGCGCCGCGGCGAGTTCGAACAGTGTATCGATTACGGTGTACGCCATCTTGGTGCGAGGCGTCGGTGATGGGTCGAAAGTTCTGCCCGGACGGACATTGTACAACCCGTGCAGCGGGTCTTCTTCGAGGGGTTGGCGAGGGAGGTCTAGTCGCTGTGGGGCGTAGATGAACGATGACCGCAACAGGGCACAGGCGAAGTCCCGGCGGGTGGAGTCGGGAATCGTAGATGCACCTAGCGATGGAATGATGAGCGTCTTCAGTCGGTTAAACGCAGCGACGTCGAGGGATTCGTCGCTCAGGATCTTGGTGTGAGGAACGGAACCGGTTTGAAAACCACGGGCCGAGACGATGCCATTTGCCAGGTCAACCACACAGTTCCAAAAACGGCTGATTTGCTCCTGCTGGGCTGTGGCATATTGCTTCTCCACGTATGGGATTCCCACCTGAAGGATGTTCAAGGAAGCAGTGGTGGATTTCTGCGAAAGACTCGGCTCGCGGTCCTTTCCGGGCCATTCATATCTCAAAGCAATGGGGTTCACCAAATGGCCCAGTGCGGTCGCCAGAGACCCGTCGAGGAATATGTCTTTCTTGATGCCGTGCTCGGAAATATACCAGTCTAGAAGCTCTATCACGCTCTTTGAGAAAGCGACGAAAGTGGGCTTCTTGGAATCACTCTCTGGCGACCACTTAGATAGAGGTGAATCTGCCAGTTCTGCCAGACATACAACGATGCTCGACTGTGAATTGCCATCCGAGCACAAGAGCTTCAGACATTCCATGAGCAGCGTCTGTACCTTGGAGGGGCGGTCGATATCCGGAGAGTAAGGCGGGGATATCGAGTTCCAGGCAAGCATTTGAAAATGTCCAAGGATCTTCTTAACACTTTCATCTTCAAAATCATCCTTGTATAGACGATATATCTGTTGGAATGCTTGAAGATAGGCCATTGCAGCATCTTGGTTCGGTCTATCCAGATTGAGCATATCTTCCCGATCGGCCGGGTGACCGTTCAGCCACAAGAGCCAGGTTGAGCGTAGAGACTGCTTACTGAATTCGCCAGGACCCTGTATCCGAAGGAGGGTGCTCGTCAGACTGGAGTAGGCAGCTTCACTGAACTCAAGAAGCCGCAAAGTAAGCAGCTTCTCATAGTATCCCAGCAGACGCTCCCATGACTGATCGAACAATTCGTCCTGGACTATCGTCCCAAAAAAATTCGTGATGAGATCAGATGCTCCTTTGACCATAACAACTGTTGTCTCAACCCAGGCCTTCGTGCTATCAGAGTGATCGGACTTATTCTTCTCCAGCGTCAGGCAGAGCTCATCTTCTATCTCCTCCACCATACGGAACAGAACTCTGTTAAGACACAAACACCATGCCTTGGGAGACAACTGTTGCCCGTAAGCATCGAAGATTCTCAATAGAGTCTGGATAGCACAGTTTCGGACCTCCGATCGACTATCTGTTGTCAGATCTACTATCCTCAGAAGGAGCAGTAGCCACAATGCATTCCGGGATATCGAGGGGTCATCGCCCTTGGCGAGGTTCGCAAGCGCATCCTCGCTCACGGAGGCATCAATGTGAGATTCAATGCAGAATTGCTCGATTTGTCCCTGGAGAAAGTCTGAGACGTTCCAGAAAGACGATGTAGTGGTTAAAGAAATGTTGAAATCTTGCTGCTGCTGAGCAAACTTGGAAAATGATTCCACCAGGTCCAATCGACAGGGTAGTGGAAGCAATGCAACGAAGTCGGAGGCTATCAGTTGTAACGATTGATAAGCAACCCGCACAAGTCGAACGGAATCTGCCACCCATCTGGCCTGGCTTCTTGCGTTCGAGGTCCCGGATTTTTCATTCTCAACCCTCTCACCAAATACAGTTGTAATGAGGTCGAAAGCAAGAGCCCATCCCTCCACGAATGTCTCGCCATATTGTTCAAGGATGCTCTTGAGGGTTTCCAGGCTTTGTTCATGAATCTCAACAACTGGAGCAGTGGGGAAGCCGATCGAGCAGCCGCTCGCTTCATAGAGCAACCTAATCTGCATCTTGAGCACTTTGAGATTCCTGAGTTGTCGTTCATTCTGCTTCGCAGGATCATCGCCAGCTCTTTGCGCCATGGTCAGTGCCACAATGCTGTTCAGTACCTCATTCGCCCTGAGCCGAAACTTCTGGCTGATCGCTCTGTCTGCCGCAGTTGACATCAGCCTGGTAGTGAGAAGATTCCAAGCGCCCAGGTCAGACTCAATCAATGAAGACAGTCGATCAACGTTCGCCAGTGCTATCTCGTTAGCTTTCTCGAGCACAAACCTCACTAATTCATCTTGTGTCCTAGACTTCCCCACCGAAAGCGACACGCGATGGGTGTTTTTGCGCATGAGACTGGTGCGAGGAGAAAGAAGCTCTCCGGTAGGAGACAGCGGTGCGGTCTGAGAGGCATCCTCAGCGGGCCCATAGAGGTCCAAAAGTGCAGTCAAGAGATCCTGGAATGACTCAATGGGATAGTCGCCGCTACTCTCGAACATCTTTGCGGACGCTGTTTGCACGGCTATGATCTCGACGCCGAGATTGGCTTTTGGCACGTCCATTGATGCAGTCGAGGCTTCCGCGGAGCTTGTCATAGCCTGGGGATTTGTGGTCAAGCCAATCAAAATATCAGTATCTTGAAGGGTGCCGAGTACAATGGACCAGGCCGGCTGATCTAAAGTTGGCCCAAGCGCGATTCCTAAATTAAGCAAAGCGCGTAAGCACAGGAGGTTCCTGGTGCTCAAAGACACGAAAGTACTCTCTGGAGGAATACTGCTGACTTCGGCAGATATCGTCGGGCCACCGAGAGATACATGCGAGTCCTTCGTTTTGTCATCTGTCATTGGTTTGGATTGCAAAGCCGTTGTAGCAGACGCCGGCGTATTCGTAGGCTTGACACTGCCGGTATCGGCTGGCATAACTGCTTTCCCAAGTGTCGTTAAGAAGGCATCCCGGGGTGTCGACAATCTCAGTAGACCAGCCACATGCGCCAATTTCTGAAAAGACCTAACAAGGTTGTGGTAGAAGTCGTCATCAAGGGCTGCGTACAAGAACGTGGAGCATGCTGCAAGAATGGCTGGCCAGCAGTTATCGATGATGCCAGCACAACTTTTGATGGCTGCGAGCTGGGGATGAGACTCCAAATGAAGAGGGTTGATGGGTACGGGCGACTTCCTGCTGTGAGGCTGTCTCGGGGTATCAGTCCCTTGTTCGGGACCAGTCACACGACTTCGCCGCTTCTGTTTCAGGTCGGGAACTGTTAATGGTAGAATAAACTTTGCAAGCCCCTCAGCGAAGTTGCTAATGCAGTTCAGTACAAGACTGTAGATATATGTCTCAGGTGGTGATTGCGGCTCAGTCTTATCGAGCAATTCCATATAAGGTGTTCGAACCACGCTCCATTGGCTGCTGATTCCCGGCGCATCGGAATCGGTGATAGGAACGGATGCTCCGATGACGCCAGCAACACCCCCTGCTTCGAGAGTAATCTGCTCTTCGGTGACAGCTCGTGTATGCTCGGTTCGTAAAGGTACAGTGGACCGGGCGCTGACTCCAATCAGAGAAGGCTTTTCAGAGGCAAGACGAACCAGAGCGGCCATGTGGTCTTTCAAGATGTTCTTCCTTCTCTCCTCCCCGTCGTACAAAGAATATATGAGCCTAACCAGACCTGGCTCAGCATACAATCCTCGAAAAAGTTCCATGCAGAGGACTCGCTTCCACGGTGATGTCCCGTCTGGTTCAAGTAAATGCGTCACAAGCCCGAGAGCCATTTCGCACTCGGCAGGTAGAAGAGACATGTGGCGCTTGAGTAGCACTGAGAGGATGCGAATGGCACGAACAGTCTGGGAGAAAGTATGTCTCTCAGAGAGGATTCGCACCAGCACTGGCATGAGCTTAGCCCGCAAGACCTGAGTCAACTCGGCATGGGTAACGAAAAGCCTGCCACTATTGAGTAGAATGCTTTCGATGAGCTCCAGAGTGAACGGCGTGGACAGAGATTTGATGCGAAGGAAATAAAGCGGTTCACCGTCTACGAGACGGCATAGGTCATCCAGAACCTGATACCTCCGTTAGTTGTTCGGTCAGAGAGCTGCAGGTAGGGAGCGCAAGCCTACACGTAGAGCGTCATACGCAAAATGTCCCACGTTGATGGAATTCCCGTCCACCTTGACAGTAACCGTGGGAGTCGTTTTGTCGAAGTTCTCTACAATATGGTCAGAATCGGCTGTTCCGAGTTTCATCAACATTCCGAAAATCTTACTGTCTTCAATGGTGACTAGCTCGAATGTGGATACCACAAGCTGTTGGAGCGTTGCTGCGGCTGTGCTTGAGACAGCAGGCATCTTGTTCATCTGCAGGGCTGCACAAATCTCCAGCGTGCTCACGAGAAGATCTCCGCCCAGATCACTCGCATAATGTTGAAGCAAGGACGGTAAAGTTTGCAATATCTTCAGTTGAATATCCAAGCCTTTCATAGCGTAAGCGAAGCACCGATTGACGGGTTTGATAGAATGACTTACTCATGTTTGCCGTCTCCTTCAGGCCAGAGAGTACATCTCTAAGGCGCTCTGGTGGCAATGACCGGGATGCCACCAGCCTTTGCAGGCAGATGACTCCGATGCTTGCGAGCTTGGCATGGCGACTATGGCAAGCGATAATGAAGGGATTTACAAACTTGGGTTTGCGCAGAAGGTCTCACGCAATCTTAGCATTCATGCCGTTTGAATGTGATCGTAATCATGGACCAATGAGACACTCACCGGCAGATATCTGAGCCTCTGAGGTTGAAGGTAGTGCTTTCAAGTCATTGAGCGACTCTTCGGCGGCCTGTATTATCGTTAGTCAGCATCAATGTTCGAGAATCCCTTTTTAGACGGTGGAAGCTTACAGTGCGAAGTTCCGAATTTCTTCTCTTAGACTCTTGGATAAGATTCAAGAGTTCCGCCTGTAAAAACTGGGAGGACATTTCAAACAGGGTGCTGAATCATATCATGGCCGGCGCCAGTCGAGTCGGATAGTACAGTACAGTAAGGTAGCACTAGGCAGATGTGGCTTCATGTGGTTGGATCGCTGATTGGGTCGGTAGAGGAAGAGAAGAGAGGTTGGTGAAAGAGCACATGGATTGACGCAATATACGTCTTATTAAGGGCGAAAGCACATCAATACAAGTACATAATTGCCATTACCAGCAGATTCGAATGGGCAATCGAACAATCAAGCACCGGACGCATCATCCGGAGTGGCAGCTCTCAGGAGCGCCAAGGCAGCGACGGAGATAAGTTCGAGGCCATCACGTGGCATCGGCTGGTTCTTTATCATCACATGACCTATTCTTCAGGAACCCGGCGGGACAAGATACGCAATAGCCACTGGTCCATTGCAGTGCCCATTGTCATTGCCGGCAAGTGGGATAAAGTCGTGGGTGCCCCTCCTCCGCCTTCGGTACTGATCTCTTTCACCTCTCATCAACAACCACCTTCATTTCTCCACAGTTACAATACACAGAACCCTTTCTCTAAGTTCACATACCGCATAATGTCGGCCAAGGTTCCCAGAAACTTCAGGTTGCTGGAAGAGCTTGAGAAGGGCGAGAAGGGCTTGGGCGCAGGTGAGCATACCTTCACAAACAAGGTGGCACATGACACACAGTCCACTAACGCACTTTCATTTCCATCCCTTAGAGGCTTGCTCGTACGGTCTTGATGATGGCGAAGATATGATGATGAGCAACTGGAATGGCACTATCCTGGGCCCTCCTCATGTCCGCCCCCTCCGCATACTTATTCCCGCCACGATACCCCAGCAGTACTGACTCGACAATGAATGAACACAGAGCGTGCATGAGAACAGAATATACAGTGTCAAGATTCACTGCGGTCCCGACTACCCTGATAATCCCCCTACTCTGCAATTCGTCTCCCGGATCAATCTGCCATGCGTTGATCCCCAAACCGGCAAGGTACGCATAGAGCTACGCTGCGTCATAAACAGGGCCAGGAGTATACTGACTTCTCTATAGGTTGATCCCACCAAGCTCCCTTGCCTAGCTCAATGGAAGCGCGAATTTACCATGGAGACTATTCTGCTCGAACTTCGGCGGTACGCCGTGCCTTGACTCCCTATTCCTCCTCTTTTACATGCAGGTTCTGACTGTGTCACAGGTATATGGCTCTGCCCCAGCACAAGAAGCTTCCCCAGCCCCCGGAGGGCTCTAACTTCTGAGCGACGTGATGCTGTGAGATGACTCGGGAACCGAATGAGGAGTATTCTGGTGGGTTTTGTGCGTGCGGTTTCGTTCGCGTCTTCTTTCGTTTTACTTCTTAGAGCGTGTACAGTCTTTGCATAACGGCGGGCATGGCGTGGTGTCAATCGAAGCCTAGTCGCAATTCATCGATTCTAGAAATCTTTGTCGGTGTGGACTTTCCTGTCATCCTTGCTACTTAGACTATCCTTTCTATGACATTCATCATTAGCTTTGGGGGTATTCATAGATATTGATCGAGTAGGGTCAGGCACAGTCACGGTGAGCGAGATATCAAATCGGCAGGGCACATGGGCGTCCATTGAGAGCACATATGCCGATGCCAATGAGTCGATTGGCGAGTAGGCCGGCGCTACTACATAGATGAGTGGCTTCAGTATAGCTGACCAGCAAAAAGTATCGAGACAGGTCGTGCCCGGGATCGAACCGGGATTACAGGAATCAGAATCCTGGGTGCTAACCATTACACTACACAACCGTGGAAATGAGTCAAGACGAGGTCGTGCCCGGGATCGAACCGGGATTACAGGAATCAGAATCCTGGGTGCTAACCATTACACTACACAACCAAGGTGGTGAGTTCCGCCTCCATAGCTGACTTTATGAAGGTAACTATGATCCCACAGTATTCACGCAACCTAGTCTAACCTCATATTGTTCATCAACTCCAGCAATGATTAGTTGCAGATTAGGGACCATGGTCTGGATTGAAAATTTGCCTTAATATCTGTAAATCTTGGTTTCTTGCCCATACACATATGTCACATTCGCCTTATATCATACGTTGACACGTGATCGCGATTGATATCTTCTCAGTCACATGCTTCCCAGAATATATTTGACATCGACATTGACCGCGTTATCTATTTCACCATGCACAGGTTGGTGGTGCCCAATAAATCCTCAATACACCGATTCACAAGTGCGTACCTCAACAGACAGACCAAGAATGCTCTCCAGGATGAGACTAATGCCCGATTGTCGCGACAGCCCTAGCGCTCTATCGCGCGCTTCTCCGACAATGCGCCAAATTACCTGAAAATCTACCGGAGCGCAATGCATCCAAGCAGCACATACAACTACGGTTCCACAGATACAAGACCCTCGAAAGTCCTTCCAGGGTAGCACATGCCCTGAAAGCGGGATATCATGTACACATAGCCCTCCTTGCTCCATATTCCATCCAGTGCTGACGACCGATTGATTGACCGGCGAATCTACAGGCACTCGACCTGCTCCATGCCGTATCACAAAACAAACGCACCGAAACCAAGCGTCTCAAGACCCTCCTATCCCAGACTGCCGAAGCACAGGAACGTCGGTCCGCGATGCAAAGAGAGCTGAGGCGGCTGAAGCCGGTCAAACCCATGAGCGCCATGGAGCTGAAGAAGGAGGCCAACCGGGAGGCCGCGAGGAGGACCATGTCGCGACACCCCGATGCCATACCGGTTCTTTCGCGTCCACGGCCGGCCGTCAACGGAATACGTCGCATTCCGAAACTCGTGAATGCGCGCGGCGTCCCCTTCCTGCGGATCATGAAACCCCAACCCGCCATCCTCGGGCACATTATCCGGGGCAAACTTCGCAAACGAGAGAGGACACTTCGCGTGCGCAAGAAGTTACAGGAAGAGAGGATCTGGGCCCAGGATGAGGACGAGTGGGATCGATTGACCGGCCAACAAGAACGCGAGCCAACGGCCAGGTGGCGTCATCCCGTTGAAGTATGCGTTATGGACCTCAAACGACGAGTCTCTGAGATGGAACGCAAGGATCAAGCGCTTGCGACAGCCATGTGGAAGGTCGTCCTCGCGGAGCGTGCGTTGGCCGCTAAAGAAGCCGAGGAACGGGCCGCCAAGATGGCGGCTGCGCCAAAAGAGACTACAGAAGGGGGAGAAACGGAGCAGGACTTGAAGTAAGTCGGCCAGCTAGAGCGCGCTATACTACCCAAACGACCTACTTGATTGGGGTTACGTGCGTAGACCACCGAAGGGGATGTCAGGATTGGAGCAGTAACCTTGGCCCAACGAAGAAAGCCCAGGCATAGCTCAAGTAGGCGAGTCCTCTATGCGTTTCTCAGGCAATATACCCCATTCTATCAGGTCATGTTCATAGCATCGAACCATAGCCATATGCCTTTGGAACCCGCCCGGTGTTCTTGATCAATACCCGCTCTATGTATGACACATCTGTCAGACTGGACACTTTCATCTCTTTGGGATAAAGGCTCATCTGGGCGCGACCTGTATGTATACTTGTAAATTGTGACAAAGAGCACATCACGCTTCTATGCGGCGATCTTCATCTTCTCTACAGCAGCGGGCATAGCATCCTCCTCGTCCTCATCAAAGTCTGCTCTGCCAGCCAAACCGCGCTCCCACAGTTGCTTGCCCGTGAGCTTCTTCTCCTCCTTCCCGGGCGCCTTCTTCTGCGCCTTCTTGTCCTCGGCTTCCTTCTCCTCGCGCAGCCTCTTCTCCTCGTCCTCCATCTCCTTCATGAACTTGTCCCGCCACGCCAGGAACGTCTCCCGGTTGACCGCCGTGCCCTGAAACTTCCGGTTCTCCTCCTCCTCGCGCTTGGCCGCCTCCATTTCGCGCTCCGCGTGGATGGCATTGACCCGCTCCGCCATAAGCAGCTCGGCGCTCTCCTTCAGCGCGCTCACCAACGTGAACACCATCGCCATCCCCATGTTCTCTTCGATGGTCGGCTGCAGCGCCTCGAGCAGCCGGTCCTTGTCCTCCGAGACATCGAGTCGGGGGTGTTTCGGTGCATTGGGGGCCGCGGTGATGTCAAGTTCCGGGGCAACGTCCGGATAGTCTTCCGGGTATGACACGTGCAGATTCAGGACTGGCGGCTCGAGCTCTTCGACGTCATTGTCGGGGGGGTCCAGGACGATCGATATCCGATAGGAAGTGTCAGAAATATCTGTAGTTGCAGGTTCTTTCGTCAGCGTCGAGATTCCAGAATTACCGCCCAAACCAGAAAGAAAAAAAAAAAAAAGAACAAGAGTCCTCGGAGCGACTGGGCTAGTTTGCATACCTGTGATCTCCTCGGGGAAAATGGAGTCGAGCACTTCGCGCTCTTCGATCTGATCTTCGCGACCCATCTTTGCTTCCAATGCGCCGCCGGCGGGGGTGGTGGTGGAGGGGTATTCGGTTTCGTGGGGTGAGTGAAAACTCGTTGCTGAGAGATCGTAGCTCTCGGATTTGATGGTTGACAAGCACTAATAGCAATAGAACATGTAGTACATGAGAAGAAGCACCAAGACCGCTTCGCGTTTTCCTGATTCGATAATCCTGAGCTAAAGCATAGACTGATCGGTCCCTCTTCAATCCGGCATGGAGTAGAATGTTGCGGTCGACGTGCAAACAGCACAAACAGATAAGGCAGGGCCCGGCCGTCCCAAATTTATCCCGCCCGAAAAGGGAATTTCTATGCTCCGCCTTGGAAAAAAAGATCCAACAAGATCCAATTGCTATACTTTTCTTCCTCTTCCCTGAGGTTTCTTCTTTCTGCAATCATATTCTTTACATCTTATGACCTATCAATCGACGAGCACACACCCATTTTAGACCTCTCACATTAACATGGGCAAGTCCAGGCCTCAGAAACAGAAGAAATCCTCCAAATCTCGCGAGAAGTCCCTCCTCGGCGTCGGTGGTTCGGTGAAGCAGTCGCAGAACAAGATGAACGAAGACCCCACCCAGCTCCTGGACCAGGCGACGATACTCATCCAGACCGGCCAGGCCGATGCCGCTCTACAATTAGCGCAGCAAGCGCTCGACAGCTCGCCCGCGGGATCCCCCTCATACCTGTCAGCCTTGATCGCCGTCGCAGAGATCTACGTCGAACTTGGAGATATCGACACCGCCAGAGCCCATTTCCTGCGCGCAGTCGAAGCCGATCCCAACGGGACGATACCGGAGTCTCAGGGCGGAGGCGCGGAGAAGTTCTTGTGGCTGGCCCAGTTGAGCGAGGAAGGCGGAAAGGATAGTGTCCAGTGGTTCGAGAAGGGTGTCTCCTCGCTCCGACATGCGATCCAGCAACTAGAACAGAACCCCGGCCCTCAGGAGGCGGCCGAGTTACTGGAGAAGAAGCGCAAGATGGCCAATGCCCTATGCGCCGTGGCGGAGATCTACATGACCGATCTTTCGTAAGTTGAACATTCCCCCCCCCCTTCCCGGCTTCTTCCCATCCCGCGGCGGCTGCGAGGAGGAATTTCTTGTACTGACGTATTGTAGCTGGGAGGAAGATGCAGAGAACCGTTGCGAGACGCTCATCACGGAGGCTCTCCTCGTTGAACCCAATGGACCCGAGGTCCTCCAAACCCTGGCTTCCATTCGAATCTCGCAGCTACGGACAGACGACGCCAAAGCAGCACTGAGAAGGAGTCTCGAGATCTGGAAGGACCTGCCCCCGGAGGACCCTAGTATCCCAGACTTTGCTACCAGAATCAGTCTTTCTCGTCTCTTGATGGAGGTTGCGCTGGAGTTTGAGGCGTTGGAGGTCTTGGAGCGGTTGATCCTGGAAGATGATCAGAGTATCGAGGCTTGGTATCTAGGCGGATGGTGCTTATATCTCCTGGCTGGGAAGCAACAAGCCCCTGCGGATGACGAGGAGGAAGCCGATACCCCAGAGGCCAAGCGCCTTGCATCGCTCGTTGCCAGTCGCGAATGGCTCAAGCAGGGTCTGGCTCTCTATGAGATCCAGCAGTACGAGGATGAGAGGCTCAAGGAGCATGCGCTCGAACTGGTTCAGGAGATGAACCAGGAACTGGGCGAGGAGATAGAGGACGAAGAGGCTGAGGGCCAGGAAGGTGAGGAAGGTTGGGAGGACGAGGAGATCGAGGTGGACTCAGACAGTGACCACGAAATGGCTGACTCCTGAATACAACAAACGCTGCATGTCCATGTTACGAACCCCCCCCCCATTTCCCTGTCATGATACCACCTCAAAAGTCATGTTATTCTTGCTCAAAATACCAACGAATCTAATAATAACTTGGATGAGCACCTCATGTTGAAGCGAATTCACTAAAACCTCTTGGTTCATTGTCCATTCCATTATCGTACGGACCCGGATAAAGTAGTACCCGAGCGCGCTTCCCTTCCCTCCCCCCCGGAGATAATCAAAGCCAATTTTGTCCCGGCCAAGCACCTTCGGGGTGGCAAAACTGAGCTCAATGTGAGTTGGGGAAAGAAAGGGTTGTTTTAGCGGTCGCTGGAAAGTGCCCCTCCCTTGTCTTCCGTCAAAGGATGGACCTGGAATCAGCGCCCAGCGGGAAAAGCTCGTCGTCGTTACAGACCCCAGTCGCCGCCGTCGCCGTTGAGATGACTTCCGCGGATGTAATCGACAAGCCAGCCACGGCGAACGAGGACCCCACCGCCACTGCCACCAAAGGCGAGATGTCTCAAGTCGAGTTCGAGACCGACAGTGACGCTTCGGGCGAGGAGTGGGAAACCCAGTCTCTCTACGGGGACGCCATTGAAGTACTGCGAGACGAGCAACTTCGCGATGGAGGTAAAGTCAAATCCAACTATACAAATGCCTTCCCAGGCGCCCTCTCGCTGTGTGCAGCCCAAGGCCCACCCGCTAACTGCGCCGCGCTTGAGTATCTATAGTCCCCGATGCCTGTACTTTGGAGGAGGCTATCGCGTACCGAAAGCGCCTCCATGAAATCGGCAAGGCTGCGTTCGTCGAAGAGACCATCGCAAAGGAGACGGTCACTGCGAAGAAGCTGTGCACGGCGTTCGGCATCCAGCCCCCGGGGTTCCTCGAAGGTGCCCCCGACGAGGCCTACCACCCTCTCCTCGCGATCGCGATCTCGCGCGAGTTCTCGAGACGTCCGAAGCTCCCACAGTATAATACCATCGATGATGCGGTGAGGTTGCTGAAGGAGTCCAAAAACATCGTCGTGCTGACCGGCGCTGGCGTGAGTCATCCCTCGCCCCCCTCCCCCTGGGGTGCACCCCTGCTTTTGTCGCGCAAGAGTCTGCGATATACTGATGCGAATCTTGTAGATTTCCACCAGTCTTGGGATCCCCGACTTCCGCTCCAAGGATACCGGGTTATATTCACAGCTCGCGCATCTGGGCCTGAGCGATCCGCAGGAGGTGTTCGACATTCATGTGTTTCGCGAAGACCCCAGCATCTTCTTCTCGGTTGCCAAGGACATCCTCCCCACGGAAAAGAAGTTCTCGCCGACGCACGCGTTCATTCGCCTGCTGCAGGACAAGGAGAAATTGTTGACCAATTACACCCAGAATATCGACAACATCGAGGCCAATGCCGGTGTTGCCGCGGAGAATATTGTCCAGTGTCACGGCTCGTTCGCCACCGCGACATGTGTCAAGTGCAAGTTCCAGGTGTCCGGTGACGAGATTTTCGACGAGATCAAGAAGGGTGCCATCCCCCAGTGTGCCGCGTGCCGTGACCGAATCGCAGAGGAGACGGGAGCGAAACGCAAGCGCAGCACTACCGGTGTGCACCGAAATCGCAAGGACGACTGCGGCGACAGCTCGGATGATGAATACGAAATTCCGTCCCCCGGTGTTATGAAAGTGGGTTTGCGCGCTCTCTTTTTTCTTTCTTGCAAATTCTCTTCACCCGGCGTCTTGCTGACAGGCAATTAGCCCGATATCACGTTCTTTGGCGAGGATCTTCCGGATGAATTCGGTCGTCGCCTGCTTCACCACGACCGCGAGCGGGTGGACTTGGTCATTGTCATCGGAACGTCTTTGAAAGTGGCGCCTGTCGCAGAGGCCCCCGGCGTGTTGCCTCGTCACGTGCCTCAAATCTACATCTCTCGGACTGTAAGTCCTACTTCCTTGAATCTAAAACCACCCCCAGGCTGACGGATCTGATAGCCCGTGACGCATACGGAGTTCGATATTGATTTGCTGGGTGACTGCGACGTGGTGGTCTCCGAGCTCTGCCGCCGGGCCGGGTGGGAGCTCAAACACGAGATGATTCCGGAGGATGAGAAGGTGGAAATTTCGCAGGTTGAAGGTTACGAGTCACGACATGTGTTTCGGGTTGTCGGCGCATAGCGGCGGTGTTTTGTGTGTTGCTAGCCATCCCATCTCTGGCTCTCAGCTGGTTTCGAGAAACGGCGTACATGGGGTTTGGTTTTGCATTGTGGGTTTTGATATCACCAAAAGGGAAGGACAGGCTGAGAAGGACAGGCTGTAAAGATTGATGGACGAAGACATACACTTACTGTTATCATCAAGCATGTTTTATTATCTTTCTGCGACTTAGAATGTATCTATTCTTGTTTCCGGCTCCGACTCCGGCTCCATAGGAGACCTGTTTGTTACAATTGTTACAATGATAAAATATCATTACAAGTGCTTGCATAGATTCTTACCTCGTACACAAAACAAACGTCCAGTCTCATTCGAATTTGTAGAAGAGCATTGTGGTTCCTCCACCGTTGAGCAGGGCTGGACAGTTGGAAGGTGTCGACGACAAACGGGATCCCCAAATCCAGCGGATCATGAGAAAAAAAATTGATTCCGCATCTCTCACTGACCAGACAAGCGCATCAACGCTCCCTATCAGAGAATTGACCAGATTGCAAGTCTTTCCTCTCTGTGATCTTTCTCAGCAGTTGCAGTACTGCAGTCATTGAAATAGTTCGACCAGACAGCTGTGGCGCGAGGCCCAGCGCAAGCCCTCCGAAGATTACGATGGAATACCTGATCCGCTTCGCCCAGGTCCACGAGTCTTTCCGACAGCCTGAGATCCAGGCGCTGGCCGACTTGGCCGGCATTGATCTCGAGTTCGTCTACTACGATAAATATGTATGTTTCATTCTGATGAAGATGAACCTGTCCTACACTCCTCTTCCATATCACCTACAGATTACCGCCAACATAATTTTCTCTATCTTCCCCCGCATCAACAAAAAAGCTTAAAGCAGCCAAAATGAACTAATGAATCCATCCTCAGTCCCCATTCTGCGTCATCAGAGTCCCCGATGAAGCCGCGGCGCGCACGCTCATCGCCCGCAGTATCCTAGCAAAGGACATCTTCGAGCTCTGGGGCTATGGCACCAGCCTGGACGAGGTGCACGCGGATGTCCGCAGGCGGACCACCGAAGCCCGCTGGGCCGACTTCCAGACGGACTCGTTCCGCTTCACGGTCGACAGCTTCGCGGGCAAACGCAGCAACGACAAGAAGCGCGAAATCATCCAGTCGTTCTCCTTCCTCGGCTTCCAGGGTCCCATCCGCATGAAGAACCCGGACCAGGACTTTTGGGTTCTGGAGGACTACGGCTGGGATGTAGCTGCCACTGACGCTGCCACTGCAACTCCCGAGGGACGCAGCAGCAGCAGCACCCCCATCTTACGCCCCGTTCCAGAAGGCCAGGAACCCAAGCGGATCTGGTTTGGTCGCTGGCTGGCCAACAGTAGCCGCGACGTGATCAACAAGTACGACCTCAAGAAGCGGCGGTACATCAGCACGACGTCCATGGACGCGGAGCTGACGCTGATCACGGCGAACATGGCCCACGCGGCGCCGGGCAAGCTGTTCTACGACCCGTTCGTCGGGACGGGTAGCTTCCTCGTGGCGATGGGCCACTTCGGGGCCCTGAACTTTGGGTCCGACATCGACGGCCGCAGCTTCCGCGGCAAGGAGATGATCGAGCGCGGCGGCACCATGGGCGTTCTCGCCAACTTCCAGCAATATGAGATCGTCGGCCAGTTCCTGGATGTCTTCTCCTCCGATCTGACGAATACGCCGCTGCGCGCGCAGCCGTTCCTCGACGGGATCGTCTGCGATCCGCCGTACGGGGTGCGCGAGGGGTTGAGGGTGTTGGGGAGGCGGGAGGGGCTCCGGAACGAGGAGGTGATTATCGATGGGGTGCCGGCTCATCTGTATGTTTTTCTTTCTTTTTTTTTTGGTTCTTTTGCTTGAGTGGTGGTGACTCTACGGGAGAAGAGCCCCGTTTCGCTGATCGTGTGTATACAGTCGACCCGGTTACATTGCTCCGAAGAAGCCCTACGGCTTCGAGGCCATGCAGAACGATATCCTCAACTTCGCCTCTCGGACTCTCGTTATCGGTGGGCGCATGTGCATGTGGATGCCTACCGCCAATGACGAAGATCTCGAGCTAGACACGCCCATGCACCCGAACCTGGAGGTTCTGAGTGTGTCCGTTCAGCCCTTCTACAACTGTGAGTGGAACCTTCTGCCTTCTTCCAACATCATTCCAGGGGTCAAGGACAACAGCACTAACAGCATCTCAGGGTCCCGTCGACTCATCACCTACCGTAGACTCCCCAAAGGACAAGTATCGGATGTGTCCAAGGGACGCAGCAGACTCGACTCAGAGGGCGTCTATGCCGATCAATTGAATTCCTTCAGAAAAAAGGTACGTTGCCTTTTATCACCTCCCCCGGATTATCCATATAGGATCCACGTATACTGACTTAAGAAATAGTACTTCACCAAAAACCCGCAGTACGACAACAAAGAACCCAGATCAGGCAGCGCAACGCCGGCCCCATGATACCAGAATAGGCTCTAGTTTGCATTTATCTCAAAAACCCATTATGTTATGCTCATCATACTCACACCAAGAACCTGGAATGGATGCATAAATAAATACCATATAAACCTGGCGATAAAACCCCAAACCCATGTCTATTCTATATACGGCACTGTACTATACCTCTATACCAATAAAACCTAAAGCCTCCCCCTGGCCCCAACCCCAAACCCCACCTCCAAATCCACCCCCTCCACCTTCTTAACATTAACAACCTCCCTCGCCAACTCCTCCCTCAACCCGCGCGCCAACGCCTCCCCCTCCTCCTCATCCAGCTCCTCCCTCTGCCCCCGCCCAAACATCACGAAACTCGGCCGCGCAGCAGCAGCACTACCACCACCCGACGCACTGCCCAAATCCGGTCGCGGAATCACATGAAAATGCACATGCGGAACCTGCTGCGCTGCTCGGACGCCTACAAGCCCCCAACCCACCCCCAGTGTCCGGGTTAGCTTTAGCTCTGCTGTGCTTACGATGTGGCTCTGTCCCTCTCCACCATCGAATAAACCGAAGAAAGGAAAAGCAAACAAAACGCACCGTTATTCTGCACCACATTCCAATGCCAGTCGGCTGCTGCTGCGTCCGCCCCGAAAAGCGTACGCATCACTACCCGCGAGAGGATGGGGAGCCATTGGCCGATCTTTTACTCGGTCAGCTTTAGCTTTATACAGTACACTACCAACCCGAACATAGCGGGACTAGTTCAATGGGGTCTGCTTTGATGATGGGGGTAGGTAGGCAAAGGACTGACCTCCCGACTAACCCCAACCCCCACATCGCCCAGCTTCTCATAATGCTCCCGCGTGATAAGGAGGAGATGGCCCCTCGTTAGGGGCATGATGTCTAGGAAGGCGAGGAGGGACGGGGTCGAGAGGATGAGGTGGGTCGTACTCGTACTCGTATCGAGATCTGAATGTGGGGGGATCGACACGGTCGCTGGGTTGGGGACATTCTTGGGATTTGTGTCTAGGTGGTGTTGGCGGAGGAACGTTGTCGGGGGGAGAGGCGGGTATGTGTGGGCGATGGTGCAGAAGGGGCATGGGGATGAGGAGCTGGAGGACGGAGTGGAGTCCATGGGGGCTGTGATTGTTGCTTGCTTGGGTCTAATTCCAATTCCAAGTTGATGGGATTGAGTTGACTTGGTATAGTTGTTGTATGATGAGTGGATGTTGGGTGCCACCGACGGGTGTGGCCACGATCTAAACATATATATATAGTTCGTGCCGTGCTGCTTGGGAGCTGCAGCTGTTGCTGCTGGGATTGAGAGTAAGGTGCCAGGAAAGCTTATCCGATTGCTTCTGCGACACCGCCAAGAATTAGCAGGGGTTCCAGATTACTCACGGAAGGCTCTAGTCATGAAGGAGGTGGTTTGCATGCTGGTGAAGAATGGAAAGTAGAAACAACAAATGAATGTGGTGGCTGGCGGGGGTGCCGAATCCCTCGCTGCCTCGGAACCTCGGTTCTACAAACGGCATGGCGGCTGCTATCGCCAGACCCAGTAAAGACCTTGTCTATCAACGCCAGTACGATTTCTACCAACAGGAAACCAACCAACCCAAGTATACTCTTCAATAAACTCATCCCGAATAGTCATTCCATAGTTACCATTAAGCAAGCTGCTCTGATTTTCTACCCGTACACGTAGGAACTTCAAGAAGAAGCCTCGGTGCTTACCCGGTCATTATTCAGGACATGTGCAATTCATGATCAACACGCAGTGACCAATTATCCGTCCAGGTCTTGAGCATACATATCTCCACAGCAGAGAGACCTAGCACGCACTGTGGGAAAAGAAAGATGCAAGACAAGGAGATTTAGCAGTCGCTGTAAGCAAAAGTAGAACCAAAAATGGAACAGAGAGTTGAAATAACACTGGGAGTAGAACCTTCGACCTTGATGTGTCCGATGCACATAGCACCCAGGGTCAAGAAGGAGAATATTTAAAGTTAGGTATCAGCAAGTACAACCCAGGACACGACCAAGAAAACAAGCCGAAGGAACTAGAGAAGAACTCGAACACAAGGCAGAGGAGAAAAGCGCCAGACACCCTTGAAGCGAACAATGCAAACATCCGCAAGCGAAAACAGGAAAATGCCGTCGTAAACATATGCAAGAGGTGCCCTTATACCATCAGAAATAAAATACCATCATATGGATCAACCAACTCCTATTGTGGGTCGTTTTGTCGGATGCCGGTTTAGTATCGTCACGAGGAGACGCTCTTCTTACTCCTTTTCTTGAATGAAGTGGTAGGGTTCTGACATAGAGCTGGTAATGTAAAGTTGGTGGTACTTCTTCGCCCATTGCCGGGTAAGGATGGATGCTGGAAGGAATGTCAGTAATCGTAGGATGGCTCAACTGGGACAGTGTGCTCACCCTTCAAGAACTTCTTGCTAGCGTATTTCTTGAAGAACGCATCGTGGGATACGGGTCTGTGAAGGTAATCGATCATCAACCGGAAGACGGGGTCGATTTCCTCTTCCGTGTATCCAGCATAGTGAGCCAAGGTGGCGTCCTACCATGCGTTAGTGTGCGGAGTAGATAGCTGATGATAGCGAAACTTACCCAAGGCCCCCGAGCGAGGATAAGGCGAGCCAGGTACATTGCAGCGGCCGCAACATGGCTCTGGCGGTACTCCATAAATCGGTGATCCAAAAGGCTAATTTCCATGAGGTACTTTCCAAGAGTACGGGTTTGAATGTCGTAGTTATCTGCTTTGGAAATGCGGCGGAGGAAGTTCATCGGGTTGGGATAGCTCATGTTGTATTCCAGCGTGGCGAGAATGTGACGTTCAGCGTCCAAGATCTCCTTGTCCGAAAAGGTCTCATCGGCGATGTGGCTGAAGTTCGCGACGTGGGGTGAGAGGACTTCCTCGTACTTGGATGCGATAAACATAGCAGCGACACCAACCAATTGAAGACGGTCCAGGGCGACCACTTCCTCAGACAAGAAACGGTCGATGATGTTCACAGCAAGGAACAGGGTTTCGGGGAGTAGGCGGAAACGAGTGTGAACTTCGATGAGCCAGTCGACAAGGATACCACGCATTTTCCATTCCAAGTCAGGCTGATGGTCGATGTAGTCAGGATTGGGCAAGGTCTCCTCCTCAAGCACTGCAAGATAGTCGAAGATCTCAACAACGTATTCGGCGGCCATCAACGGGTCGTCGAGGTCTTCAGCGTCCAGATCATCCACAAGATCTTCGGTGGGCTTCTCCAGAACCTTAGGATCAATAGGTGCCTGGGCGTTCTCATCCCGAACCTGTTCCGTTACTGGCTTCTTTTCCTTCTTTTCGACATTGGCCTTCTTCAATGGTGGTTCCTCTGGCACTGCCTCTTTCTGCTGCAAGTTGCGGGTCGTGGTCCGTCTCGGCTGGTTTCCACCAATTCCAGATCCGCTACCAGGACGTTTCGGTTCTGCGGGCTGCTTCTTCGCGGTGTCACTCTTGACTCCAGGGTTGGTGCGTGCCGGGTTCGTTTTGGTGGGTTTCTGAACGCCTCCGGTCGGCAGGTTGTTCTTGGGTGCCAAGGGAGCTTTAGTCGCAGCCGGTTTTTTCGCCTCCTTTACTTCGCCATTCTCTGTCTTGCCAACATTGCTCACATCTCCCAGAGCCGCACGTCGTCTCGTAGTTCCGGTAGTGGTGGCGGTGGCAGCCTTCTTGGTCTGTAGGGTTGGTTTCTTGGTGGCGGCGGCAGTGGTGTGGGCGTCACCGGACGACAGGGCAGCAGCCTTGGCCCGGGTCAGGCGTGTCGACGGCCCGTTCTCATCGTTCTCGTTCATGGCACCTCTCGTGCGGAGGCTTCTGGCCTGCAAGGACATTAGCATAAGAAACTCCGTACACGCGAGGCAGAACGCCAGGGTGCAGTTTCCGCACGGTTGGTAAACAGTCGACACAACAGACGCGTCACTTGGTCAGAGGATCCTTACCGGAGGCATATTGTGAGAAAGGAAAAGGGTGAGAGGAAAGACTGAAGAAGAACAAAACAAGTTATGAGGTGCCTATAGCAACTGCGAGCTCCCAGTTAGCTAGTGTCTAGTCAGCATTCCCGAGACGATGACCCCGGTGGAGCTCAAATACCTGGAAGACTGGGAGACGGGAATCGTACGTGCCACGCGTGATTATTTGCCCAACCGCAATATATTAGGCTCAATGCAAGGCTCTGCAAGCTACCAAGCCAGATATTTGAGAGTTATCCGGGTAATGCAAGTTCCAGATAGTCGCATATAAGACCTTGTTGACGTTATTGACAAGGTCTGGAGGGTTGAGTTGAGTTGGTCACGTAATTTTCGCGCTGAATTCGAGGCGTACGGTCGGTCGGGCGCGAGAAGATGGATGTCGACGTGTAGATTATCGACAATGACACGAGAAACAGGCGAGATTTGGCGGCTTCAATGGGTGGTGTCGAGCCCCCTTGGAGGAGATGATGTTGATAGAGAAGTGTAGTCTAGGGAAAAGGTGGTCGAGAGGTGACAGGGCAAAGGCTATGTTTGGCCCTACTCTTAGCGTGGAAAAGCCCGGCCAAGATGGGAAAAGATGCCCCACTCCCGTAACAGCACAACCCAGTTGGCAATGGGTAGTAGCAGATGATGCCGGAGCTGTACCACGCACGTATGTATTGTTGATGCAAAGTGAAAAGGGTTTGCTTAGCGTCTGCAAAGTGAATCGATGGGATAGATGGGTGGACAGGTAGTCGATATTTATGTTTATGTTTATGTTGATGTTTATGTACGAGGGGAGGTGAGGGGAGGGAGAAGTGAGTGAGTGGTTTAAGGTAGGAGTGGAGAAGAGATGGAGGACCAGGTTTTGGGGGGAGGGAGGAAGGAAAGAGAGGCTTACGGGATAGTCTACAAAAGCAAACAGAAAGGGGGGTGGAAGAGGGGAGGAGCAAAGGAAGGGCGGCTCAAGATCGATATATGTATGTATGTTATGTATGTAAGTGTCAAGTGGATGTATGACCGACGTAATTGCTCTGCAAAAAGGCCTGTGCGAAGGTGCGGTAAGGAATGGTATTGATACGGTCAGGGAGAAGAGAGAGTGCATAAATTGCTGTACTACGAGTAGTGATGGTGGTGGAGAGAGAAGAGCGGAGAGAGCGTCATCCATCGATCTCAGTTTCCATGGTTGATGCCTGAGTTAATCCAAGGCAGGAAAGACACCTGAACCTGCTGGCCTCCAAGACGCCCGTCGCGACCTCGACCGTGATGCTGCGCGGCCACGACCGCCAAAAACACTAGTGCATCACTACGGCAACCAACCTCTACCGGTCTGTCGTGTCGCGATCTCATCACGTGCCGGTGCTGTGCCACGATTAGTCATCTTTCACAGGCTCCCTGTTCCTGTGGCGGTGGGAAGGACATCAGGTGACATATAGCCCAGCCACACCGTTCAAACCATGTTCGACATTTTTGTTCCGGGTGGACAAGGAAGTGCTGCAATCATCCCCGGGTTCTCACAACACTTGCAATTGAGCGGGGTGTTGTCTCGGTGGTGTCACTCGACGTGGTCTTCATCTTCCACTTGCTCTGTGCCGGGTTTCTTTTGATTTTTCTCTGAACGAGAATGCCCAGTCACTAATCTTCTACCTCGACCTTCCGCTATATTCAAGATAGCCATTGCGGCATTAGCCTGAACACCCGACTGCGATCCATTGACCTTCCAGTCTGTCCTCAAACTCCATATCGCAGTCTTCTTCTCATCATGCTACAACCTCGCATGGCCTTGACGGGCTTGCGCCTGCCCTTCAGATGCCTGTCCTCCGCTATTGCACCCCGAGCATACTCCACCGCCCGCGAAACCGGAACTCCTTCCGCTGGCGAGACTCCCACTTCAGCCTTCGATCCCAACATCACCTTTGCTCCTCCGCCCGTGCGTGAACAGTCCGGTATCCAGGTCCGCAGGTACAAACCCCGCACACCCGGTCTTAGACATTTGCGAAGGCCGATCAATGATCACCTCTGGAAAGGACGTCCCGTGCATAGATTGACTTTCCCCAAACGAGGTCAAGCCAAGGGTGGTCGTAACAACACGGGTCAAGTCACGGTCAGACATCGTGGTGGTGGTCACAAGCGCCGTATTCGTATGGTCGACTTTGCGCGCGCCGCACCAGGCCCGCACGAGGTGGAGCGCATCGAACATGACCCCGGTCGGTCCGCTCACATTGCTCTCGTCCGGAGCAAGTTGACCAGGAAGCTCACTTATATTCTTGCCGCCGATGGGATGAGAGCTGGTGATGTGGTCGAGAGCTACATGGCCGGAATTCCGGAAGAACTCTGGAAGAGCATGGGAGGAGTGGTGGATCCTGGTGTGTTGGCCGCTAGAACCGCTTGGAGAGGAAACTGCCTGCCTCTGCACATGATTCCAATTGGTACATTGATCTTCAACGTCGGTCTCCGTCCCGGCAAGGGCGGCCAGCTGTGCCGTAGCGCTGGTACCTTCGCCACGGTCATCGCCAAGGGTAGTGATGAACAGGCCCGGTACGAGGAGAACCTGAAGAAAGATCAGGAGGGTGAAACTGAAGTCAAGCGCATGACTCAAAAAGAAAAGCAAAAGCGGGAGCGCATTGCTTCCCACATCACGATTCGCTTACAAAGTGGTGAAGTTCGCCTGATTCACAAGGATTGTTGTGCTACGATCGGTGTTGCCAGCAATCCCAACTACCAGTACAGACAGCTTGGAAAGGCTGGTCGTTCTCGTTGGCTGAACATTCGTCCTACCGTCCGTGGTCTCGCCATGAACGCCGCTGAGCACCCTCACGGTGGTGGACGTGGTAAGTCCAAGGGTAACGTGGATCCCAAGAGTCCTTGGGGTATGCCGGTATGTATTCCTCAATCAATATACCCGGGATGTTTTCACTCGGTCAGTTGGCTAACATTCTTTTCGTACAGGCGAAATCCGGTTACAAGACTCGTCCCAAGTGGAAGATCAACAAGGCCGTCGTCGTGCCCAGAGTTCGCAACCAGGGCAAGCGTCGCCGTGGATACAGCTAGACGCTCTATCATGTACATTCTGTTTTACCTTTCCCTCGATTTTCCCTCATGCGGCAGGCATTATGTTCGAAGTGTGACTCTACTTCTCCGTGGGAAAGGTGCTGGGGTGGGCACAGTCAGATTGCTCTGATTCACTTGCCCAAGGCCCCTTCTCATTTGCATTCGGTTGTATGTACTTTATTTCGTCTCCGGCATGGCTTTTCCTCGAGGGTTTTAGATATCTACTTTGGTTACACTGCTTTCCGTCCGGGTCTTATGGAAATGTCCATCTTCATATTCTCTGGCGTTGTTTTTGTATACTACTGCTGCTGCTGCTGCTACATGGTTAAGAAATCCAAGATTCAACTTTTATTCCAAGCTACGTCCTGATGATTTAGTACCAGGTTGATGTAGAATCAGCATGGCGTTGCCCAATGAGAGAAGGTGGTCCTTGCTCATCTTAATAATGGTCGCCGTTATTGTTCCGCGAGTCGTGAGCGAAGAACAATCGATCCCTGGTGAACGGCATTCATTGGATTGAAACTCATGAAACTTGCCAGTGGGACCCTAATTTGTATTTCTCTAAAAGAATCAGTAGCCTTCAGTTCCAGCAAAGAATTTCTCCAGATCAGATCAAAGGCCAGAAGTCATCGACTCCCAGCCTTCCAAACGCCCTGTGGTGGCCAAAGGTTACTAACCAGGAACGACTTCGAATCGACGATGTGCCTAGAAGCCTCCTGCTGACTTAGCGATAGTTTCACACTGACAGCGACATTTGACCTCTATCGTTAACCAGAAGTCAATGCCGTACCAACTTTACTACATTCCCTAGTTGTTTGTCCTGCGAATCGAGAGCCAGTCTCCGCCGACCGGTTCCGCTGTGTTCCTCTTTCTGCGTCATTCCTTTCCTTGCTTGTTCCTTACACGCGCCTTCGGCCATGACAGATTCGAACCGCCCCCCACATAATCTCTCCAATCCTCACCCTTCGTCATCCTCGCAGGACTTGCAGATCCCTTCTACGACGCACGAGACCGGACACAGCGATGCAGACAGCCACTATGTACCGCGTCCGAAGCGCATTGCCTGCGTACTTTGTCGGAGGCGAAAGCTGAGATGCGACGGGAAGCGACCCAGCTGCGGCACTTGCTCCCGTCTCGGCCATGAATGCGTTTTCGACGAAGTTCGCAAGAAAAGCGGGCCCAAACGAGGTTATGTGAAACAGTTGGAAGCGCGATTGGGTACGTTGACTTCGGAGGACACAACCCTTCTGGCGCCTGGCTGGCGTACAGATTCTGAGCTGCCCCTCTCATACTGACATTCCACTTCCCACGTGCAGCGCAAGTCGAGAACCTGTTGAAGAATCAGAAGACAAATCCACCACTAGACCAAGGGAGTGGCTTCCCCGGCGCAGTCACAAACCACTCAACCGATATCTCCGAGATCCTTTCTATCATTAATGAATCGAGCGAGTTTCAGCAACACCATGATCGAGTCTCCGACCCGTTCCCCGCTCAGGCGTTCCAGCAAGCTGGCCCGACCAACTCCCCGGACTATGGCATGGAGATGATAAGTCTTGGCCTGGAGGAGCCTCTTCCGAGTCAAGAGATTATTGATGAGCTGTATGTCTGCAGTGTATCGCCTTTTGCTTCCGTGTTCACTCTCTCACTCTTTCCAACAGAAATGAGATATACTTCGAGAAAATCCATCCTGGGATTCCCATACTACATCGTCCTAGGCTACTGGCGGCCATGAGCCTTGGCCCCAGCACACGACCTCCGTTGTGCTTGCAATATATTATTTGGAGTCACGCGGCATCCATCAGCGACAAATACTCCAGCTTGCATTCGGTATTCTACGAGCGAGCCCGCAAATACGCCGAGGCGGACGAACTGAAAGGGCTGGGTGAACATGCGGTGTCTTTAGGTCACTGTCAGGCTTGGGTGCTCATCTGTACCTACGAGTTCAAGATGATGTTCTTCCCTCGAGCGTGGTTGAGTTCTGGGAAAGCCGCAAGGCTGGCTATCATGATTGGGTTGAATCGGGTCGATGGGGAAGGTATCGATGTGAAGCAAACATTGACTGCTGCAAAAGACTGGAATGAAAAAGAGGAGCGACGGCGGGTATTTTGGATGGCGTATTGTGCCGACCGGTTTGCGAGCATTGGCACTGGGTGGCCTGTCGTTTTCGACGACAGAGATGTGAGTTGCGACCTAGTGTATGTGTGCTGAAAGAGTACGTCCAACTGACATGACCCCACAGGTTTTGACTAACTTACCAGCCTCTGAAGAGGCTTTTCTCAAGAATCAGCCCCAAGACACAGTTTCTCTAGAAGCTGCGCACGCGGGAGAGGGCATGCCTACCCTGTCTGCTTTCGGGGGCGTGGCCTTCATGGCCAGCATCTTTGGCAAGAACCTTGCCCACCTTCATCGGCCTAATCCACACGATGACGATCACGACCTCAATGGAGTCTATTGGCAGCGACACAGGTCCCATGACAACATTTTGCTCCATTTCTCTCTCACCATGCCTTCTCATCTGCGATTATCCGTTGGGACAACCGACCCTAACGTCATCTTCTGTAACATGGCCATCCACACGGCCACCATCTGTCTCCACCAGGCGGCCATCTTCAAAGCGGAAAAGAACAAGATGCCAGGGCCCATTGCCACCGAAAGCAAGAGAAGATGTATCTTGGCTGCGGAGCAGATCTCGAACATCTTGAGGTTGAGCAGCCATGTCGATCCCAGCAAGGTGAGTTTGAGTTCGAATTCAAACTTATTTGGCATTAACACATCTTCAGATGAATGTCCTCACACCCTTTTGCGTTTACGTTGCGGCACGCGTCTTTGTACAATACCTGAAATTCCGGCCCGACGACTCGGCCGCCCGTTCATCCTTACAATTCGTCTTCTCCGCACTTCACCTACTGAAGACCAAGAACCCGCTTGCGGAATCGTTTATCTTTCAGCTGGATCTCGATACCGCAGGTACGGTGTTGTCCGACTTCAATCAGTCGAAGAAAGCATGCTTCATGAGAGCGGGTCTGCAGCGAGACGCCGTAAGCTCCGTCCCTTTCTTTGAAATCTCATAGGATCATTGGGCGCTAATCGGCCTCCTTCCCCCAGGCTTTCACCGAGAGACGCTACTCCAGCGACTCATCTCTACTGAACGTCAGCCAAACACGAGTCCAGCCTGACCCAGACCCCTTCGACGCATCGCAAGGAAGCTGCGGCTCCAGCTCCCGGTCCTCTTCAGTCGCGCAGCAGATCCGCCTCGAAGTCCGCCAAGCCAACCCCTCGCTGAGTGACGCAGCAGCAGCAGCCCACCGGCACAAAAGACATCGCACCCAACAACAGCCCCCAACGTTCGGAGACGAGATCCACACCCCTGACCGAGACCTGAGCCATCCCGTGGTGGTTGACTACAGCGGCGGCAGCAGCAGTGTAGATCTGCGCACTGACTCGCTCTCCCCAGATGTGCACTCATCCTCCGCCACCTCATCGTATACGCGCCTGAGCCCCCAGCAGCCGCCTGGGCTCGCCAACAACAGCTTCATTGCCACCCCAGCCAGCTCCCTCGATTCGGCTGCGGCAGCCTGCAACACCAACTCAACCGCAGCAAACCTCATGTTCGCCAATCCGGCGATCCCACTGGACGCTGGCGCTGGGTATCCCGATGTCTTCGCCGGGGTCCCGCGCTGGAACGTGAATGCCCTCGCGTTTTCTGGGCTCGATGGATCCACCCTGGACAACAGCATGTCCGGCGGTCTGGACGGTCTCAGCGAGGCCCAGTGGGCGCAGCTTCTGACCACGAACTGGGATGCCTACCCGGATCCGAATATTCTGCCTTGAGAGAGTGCCAGCCCATTTGCATATGCGAATTTGAAACAGAAAAGAATGATGATCAATCACTATAGAGCCGCTGGGCGGGAACTATCACGAGACTCACGAATTGTACATTCATTGATATGTGGGAGGGTGGGGGGATATTGAGTTGAGTTAGCATTTGGACATACCATACCCCATGAGATAATCCATATCAAGAATCAATATAGCCAATGCGTCCTACAGTTTCGTAAAACGTTGTACTAGGTTTTCGTAATTCCTTTGTACTTTTTACAGAATAAGACTTGTGGCATTCGTCCCATATTTAGCAACTGCGTAAGGAAGAAAAAGTGCAAACTGACAGTAATCATCCAAGAACCATATGCGACCAGAACCAGCAAGACTTGCCTCAACAACGCCATACAAACGCCTGAAAATGGATGACCACCAGGGTTGCACACGATAACCCTCTACGGTGGAGGGGGCATCATGCATTGTCTCTCGACAAACACAACATCATAAGTTTCATCTTTTGCTGGGGGAGCAGCAGCAACAACAACAACAACAACACCTTGCAATTACAAATTCCCCCCAGCTGCCCCCACGATCCTCAATCCACCATGACCACTGCCATCGGCGGTGGTGGAATACGCCAGCCAGTACCGCGAGGGATGCCAGGCGACGGCGGGGATGCCGGAGTTGGCATTGCCGCCGACGGGGACGGTGTAGACGGACTCGCCGGTCTCGGCGTGGAAGACCTCGAGCCCGTTGCCGCCGCAGCCGACCTCGTCGCAGGCGCCGACGAGGAAGCGGCCGTCGAAGCTCCAGCTGACGCCGCGCACGGCGCCGCCGTTGCTGCTTGAGACGGTGCGGCGGCAGATCCAGTCGGTGGTGTCCCACAGCGAGATCAGGGCGTCGCTGCCGCCGACGGCCAGGTAGCGGCCCGTCGGCGCCAGGGCGATGGACAGGCAGGCCGACGTGTGCGCGTGCAGGGTGTGCAGCAGGGAGAAGCTCGGGTACGAGAGGATCTTGACGGTCCCCTCGCCCGTCGTCGCGAAGAGGTGCAGGTCCGGGGCGGCGGCCGTGGCGATGTGGTGCGAGAAGGTCGTTGCGTTGGTTTGGACGGGTTGCTGGTGGGGTTCGAGGGCTCGGTAGATGCTTGTGGGAGGGGTAGCCGTGGTTGCTGTGGGGGGTTTGTCGGTGAGGAGGGTGGTGGTGGGCGTCGGCGTGGAGAGGGATTCAATGGAGATGGGGATGAGGGTGTCGTCCTAAAAATCGATGCACTCGTCAGCAAATCGGGGTGGCTGTTGCTGCTGCTGCTGCTGCTGCTGCTGCTGCTGCAGGCCTATACCAACCTTTCTTCCCACGATAAGGGTGCTCCCATCCGCAGACCAGGACAGCGTGAACGCCTCCGTGCCCACATCCAACCGGCTCACACATGTCTTAGACCGCACATCCCAGAACCGCACCGTACCGTCTGTCGAGCAACTGGCCAGTTCCGAGTCCCGCGTGGGGTTGAAGACGACCTTCTCGATGCCGGCTGTGTGGCCGCGCAGTTCGGTGGAGTATTTGACTTGCGAGCGTTCGGGGTTCCAGATTCGGAGGGTGCGGTCGGCGGACCCAGTTGCAACTAGCTGGCCTGTGGGGTTCCAGGCAATTGTTCGGATACTGTGTATGTTCAACCGCAGTCGGCTCGTATCAGTAGTAATCCTGGATCCATGATGCTTTCATTGCTTCATGTCGTCGTCGCCGGGGGAGAGCGGAGCGGAACACGCACGTATGAGATCCCGGTCCCCGCGCAACAGGATCATGGTAATTCTGAGTCTTTAGACTCCCAAAGTTGAAGGCAAATCGGTCTTTGGGGAGTAGGTTCCGGCGAGGAGGAGGGGGCGCCATTGCGCGATTGACGGTGCTGCGGTGCTGCTGTGGTTGCTGCTGCGGTGCGGGCACTGGCAGATTTGCGATTGCGGCGGGCTGCCAATCCGATGGAAAGCCCCGAGGGGCTGTTTGTTGTTGGTGAGGTTGAAGTGATATTCACACACAGAAAAGCGGAGCGATCAGTCAACGGGCTGCGGGCTTCAGTTGAATTAGAGTAGTTGGAATTGAGAGAGTGGGACGTTTGGCAGCAGAAGATGGAAAGCTGGAAAGTGAGCTTTCAAGTGCCGCGACGCGGAGTTCCAGTTCCTACTATCATTGCCCGCACCTCGGTGATTGGTCGGATCCCGGAGCTGTCTCATTGTATGCGCACGTAGTAGTTATACAGTACATATGTTCTTGGGACTGCAACTTATGCTCTTGATTATTGATCTAATCGCAGGAAGCCCCATTAATTCTAGTTCATCTCAGGCTACTACTGACTATCGATAAGCTCCTACCTGTCAAGTCGATCCCAAGCAACCCCATCCGTATATACTGGATAATCCACAGCGGAATCCGGTCAGGTGACCGGCAAGGCCATTGAATCCCTTCTCCATGAAATATACTTGGATCCTCAACCAATAGTACAGAAAAGCCACGGTACAATCCTTTCAGGTTGATTTCACTGCTGGTGGTAAAATTAATCGGTGCTGTATAGAAGTATAGCAGTTTATTTCCGTGATCTTGTGTACCAGCGAAACTGAAGCGACCGATAAAACTCTCCGGGCTGGATCGCATCCGAACTTTTTTCAGTCGTGCTTAAGGAAGAACGTATTGAACAATTCCAAGGCCAAACAACAAGAATCGCTCTCAACTCGTCTCTATTAAGCTCCCTCGTCATGCTAGAATTCAACGATGATGCGTCCAGACGCGAAAAGTGCTTCACCAGTCTAGGACAACTGCCGCCATTCATCGATCCTAAACAGCCACCAACAAGAAAAGTCCCGTTCTCGGCCATTCTGGGCCACCCTTTCGTCCATACTGTATGTTGGCCCACAATACAATAGAGCCTTACTAACAATACCACCAGGTCGAAGTCACATTACCCAAGGAGGCATACACCACCATCCAAGCATCCTTGGACAGTAAATTACAGAAGCTCCGCTATGCGCGGGTGTTCATGTCCTTGTCGTCTCTACTGGAGACGGAGTTCTTCAACACCTACATCAAGAAAGGTGAACCTCATTTGCTTCAAAGATCACTTAGTGGTGCCCTGATGATGCTGATCGCCTCGCAGGAAACATTCTCATGATATCTGAGGGCCGATCAGGCTCAGACAGCGTCTTCACGCTCCGAGATGGTGCCTCCGCCCCCCAACTCTAGTCCAACGTATGAACAAAGTTCACTAACTAGATCCCCAGGCATCTTGAAACTCGAGCTCAGCAGAGAGATCTTCGAGCGAACCGGTCTAACCGGCAAGCCCATCCGCAGCGGCGGCAGGAAACACGCAAAAGAGCGATACAGTACCGCCCCCCCCTCCTTCCATTGCCTACCAACCATCAACTTGAGAAGCTAACCCTCGAACCAGTCATCGAACTCAACCTCCGCTTACCATCGATGCTCCACGGCAAGAAGGGCTTCAAGCGAATCGAATGGGCCTTCCAAAACGTCCTTACTCAATCCGTAGCCTGGCTCTTCTTCGATCTTTCATCCGAGACTAACGGCATCGCCGACGGTAAATCAACACCCACCCTTTTCCCAAAACCAAAACCTATCCTCGACGTCTACTACGTTTCCCCAAAGCTAAAATACGAGCACCAGACGACCTATCCCTCAAAGGCAACCACCCGCAAATCCTCCCCTGCTCGCCCGCCATCACCGAACACCCGCAAATCCTCGTCCCGCCTCTCGACACCCTCAAACTTCAGGACTCCTCCACCGCAGCAGCAGCCGCTACCCACCAAGCGGAATTGCAGAACCAATGCACCGAGGTCTCCGAATGGCTGGCGATGGTCTCCCTCGGCTCGCCGCGCGTCACCGCCGCCGACGACGTGGATCCGTACCTGAGCCGCTACAGCGTGCCGGACGCGGACGAGGCCCAACCCAGCGACCTCGTGTCGCTACGGTGGCGCGGCCTGATCCCTTCCAAATGGATCGTGGGGTTGCTGGTTCATCTACTGTGCGTCTTCTCTGGATCACCCCACTCCCAACTCACTCTAAAGAAACGACTACTGACACCACGGTGGTAGGCGGGAGACGGCTGCCGGTGGCTCCGCGGCATCATCCGCTTGGTTCGCCATCTCAGCGAATGCGCTGGGCCGGGAGGCGATCGAGGCACGGGATGGGTATTCGCTTTTGGTGCTTCCGGCGTTGATGATGGCTGCTGCTGCGCCTTCGGGGCCCGAGGATGAGGAGAAGGTTGGCAAGGATGCAATTGCGGCTGCTCGGCGCTCGGGGCGGCACTTTGTCAGTTGGGAGTTTGTGGGAGCGTCGGTCCTACAGTAACGTAACGGGGTTGGTTTTCTGAATACCTGTTGGAAACGTGTAGTTGATTATACTACCCTGGGTTGGAGAATTGTACTGTACACTCACACAACAAGGTTTATTCTGCATGTATAGAGATGAATGGACACTACGATATCTGACACATGCCGATGATGAGGAGGTGATAGCACATCATACCCAAAAAGATTTTCAAAGGAAAATGACACCAGTACTTCCCAATACAATGCCTGAACCCCCCATTCCATAAATCATACCCAACACAAACCCCAACGCTCAGATGATATCTCTCGTTAAACCAATGCATATTACAAAACCACAAACCAATCACCCGACAAGGTCATGGACCACATCTTGCAGAACCGGTCGGTTTCCAAGGACCTTATTCCCGCTCATCAATTTCGCCCCCTTCTTGGCCGGCTTCCTCAGACCCTGGGGCGTGAGTCGTGCCTGCACGGGACTTAGCGGTTTGCGGACGCCGGAATTCCTGCCACCAGCACCAGCACCAGCACCAGCACCAGCACCAGCACCAGCAGAAACAGGGAAGTTCTTTTTGGTCGGACTCGGCGTTGTTGCTGCTCTTCCAGGTACCGACGAAGCCTGTGTTGAGCCTATATAGTTGTCGGATTCGAAGAGGTGATTTTCGAGGGCATTCTTCGGCAGGTCGTAGATCCACCCGCGGTCTTGGACCAGCTTCACGTACTTGCCGAGGAGCTCGTTGCCGTTGCGCAGTGTGCTCTTGCTGCCGACCACGAGCAGCTTGGTGCGTGCGCGGGTCAGGGCGACGTTGACGCGGCGCCAGTCGCGGAGGAGGTCGCCGACGTGGTTGTCGGCGTTGCTCCGGACGCAGCTCAGGATCACGATCTCTTTGTCCCGGCCCTGGAACTTGTCGGCGGTGTGCATCTCGAGGTCCGGGAGGTAGCGGCTGAGGTTGAGCTTGAGGAGGGACAGTTGGCTGCGGTAGAATGTGATGACACCGATGCTCCGCGCGGGGATGCCGCAGGATATGAATGCCTCCACGAGCTGGGTGCAGAGCTTGGCCTCGGTCGGATTCACTATCCGGGAGCCGTTGGTTTCGTCCAGCGCAGGCGCGGCAAGTGTGTCTGTGTTGACCAGGCGGGTTTTGGCGGACGGATCGACGAGATCACGCAGCCAGCAGCGGCCTTGGCTTGTACCCAGGCAGATCTGTTTCGGATTTGGAGACCGGGGGATCTGGTTATGATGATGCTGCTTGATCCCATCGATATTAGGGATTTCCAGAGAGCGTACTGCAACCTCCGGGGTACCGCACTTGAGGTGACCTGAGTATATGAGGTTGTTGGAAAGAAGCATGATGTCTTCGCACATGCGGTATTGATGCTCAAGGTTGACGACCGACTCTGGATGGGCGTCGGAAAGTAACTTGAAAAGACTGACATCAAGACCACCTTCTTGAGCTTCTTTGTTCTGCACTAACGGCGGCAGCTGATAGTGATCACCGACAAGGATGAAAGTCCTTGCCATTCGGATCGGGCCCAGACACACAGGAAGTGTGATCTGCGATGCTTCATCCACAATACAATAGTCGAAGATTCTCTGGCTGAAGATGCTGTGGCTGACCCCGAGGCAGGTCGTTGCCACCACCTGGGATTCTTCGTACGACACCTTGAGCTCTTCAATAGTTTTCTTCGGGATGGCTGCGAGGTCAGCAAATTGCTGCACATCTGGATGCACCTTCGTAGGAGCCCCGACCCGCAGAATGCGGAAGTTGTCATCCCGGATCTTCAGCAGGATATTGTCAACAGCAGTATGGGTGTAAGAGGTGAGCAGAACACTTTTCCCTTGCGCGACTAATGCGCGAATTATGTGGGCAATGGTCGTCGTCTTCCCCGTTCCAGGCATTCCAAGTACCAACGCATAGTCTCGGGCACTCATGACTTTGTCGATCGCTTGTTTCTGGTCGATGTTCAAGTTCGCCTTGTCAACACCAGGGAGTGTATAGCCTGACTCCATGGGTTTGAAGGAGGGGGCTTCACCCTCGATAATCAGTCTTCGTAATTGCTTGGCTTGGAAAAGGTCCTTTTCCATCATGGAAACAAGGTTTGTGCGGACAATTGCCATGCCGTTACTAAACTCGTCCTTGTCTAGGCGATAAACAGTTTCTTCGTCCAATTCGACTGGCGGGGAAGAGACACCTTCTTCGAGTATCTCCATGATGCCTTTGAATGACTGGTTGTGTTCGGCATCGAAGCCCTTCATCCGCGTCCTGCCGTGAAGCTTTCGATCAACCGTGACGGTGATGCGTTTCGCGCTGACCTGCACGACATAACCATTTGCAAGGGCAAAGTGGCCTCTCTCATCGGAAACCACAATGGGTTCGCCTATGCTCAGCTGGGATTCAGTGAAGGAGAAACCCGGAGGTGCTTGCTTCTTGCGGAACGTGTATCGGAACCGGTTGATCTTGGGTCCATCCTTATCTTCATAGGTATGATCAGGATCGATCACAACATTGCCGAAGCAGCGGCCGAGAGCTTCGCGCTCACTACTCAAGAGTGTCCAGAGCTCGCGTTTGAACCTGATCATGCTTTGTTCCTCTTTTGTCAACAATTCATCCCATTTCTTGAAGAACTCCTGGTGTTGTGGATTCAAATGTTGGGTAGCTTTAACGAAATCGTCACCAAGACCACTCGTTTCTCCATCACCGTTATCAGCAAGCTTGTGGTAGATGAAGCAAGCTGTTTTCGAGTAGCACTTGTTACAAAAGGCGGCCTTCTTGACCATTGGAGGCAGCTGGGTTCTTTGGCGCATGTACCCGACCACACGGTTTCGTTGTTGAATCATTTGAAGAAGCTCATGTCGGATGCCACGAATACGGAAAATCTTCGATGTTTCAAGATAGTACAATAAGCCGAATGTGCAATCGACGTCTAGCAAAAGGATAGTGAGCGGTCAGATTCAAGATCAGGATACATCAGAAGTCTATAGGTGTTCCAGCCTACCATAGCGATCCGAGAGAAGCAGTGTGTAAAGTGCGGTTTGAGCCCGATGGGCTTGGTTTGTGTCTCTATTGCCCGTCTTCAGTTCGAGAGGTACAAGCAATGTCTTGTCCTGCCCTTGCTCTGAGCAGGCAACCTGAACCGTGGCATCGATATTGCCTTTGAGTCCGTACATCGGAGACCAAATATGCTCTTCAACTTCGAGAAGCTTATTTATACTCAAGCTAAGCTTGGAGTTATGTCGATCCTCGACGATCGATTCCCCCTATGTTCAACTGTCAGTATTGCGCCTCGGTTGGAGGGAGACTGCACTCACGCTTGGCTTCGGCTGGAGAAAGCGTTCCGCCCAATCCTGCACGCCTGGAACTCTGCTCATAACATACTCGATGGCTTCCGCAACAGTCATGCGAATCAGATATAGATCCTCGATCCGCTTAACAATCACATCCTCCACCAGTAGCCTTAACGAAGCCGTATCCCATCGGTTAACCTTGATAGCTTCTTGGAACAGCTCGTGGAATATGTTGCCAAAGACCTGTGCTTTTCCCACATCGGTTGTGTTTTTAATGCGTTCCTGAAGAGCAGCACGACGCTGGCAAGTGATCGAGTCGGCCACGATAGTCGCCGATACTAGATGATCCGGATGAAGTATCACCATGTTAGCAGTATCGTCAACTACGCATTGACCCATGGCGTCAAATTCTCCGATCAGGTGAATATAGGATTCCTTCGTACACGGGCTATCGAACCATGACTCCCGAAGAATAACCACTTTCTTGTCTTCCTTGGCCCGCTCATCTTGTACGAGTAGCACCTGTATATAGTGTCAATAATGGGGGCTTTAGGGGCGTGCAGTGGGCTGACCTGTTCGGATTGGACACGTCCTCTGGGGTTGGAATACGCTGACTCCGCAATCTCAACAATCAAATAGCGCTTGATAGCTTGTCGACTTCTAAGGTTCTAGAGTAGGCATACTTAGCATATTTATAACGAGCATTGATTCACTAGGAGAGACAAACATGATCCGTTCCATCTACTCCTGATTGCCTCATAGAATGTTCGATAGCATCCATGTCTAAGCTACCATCGTCAAACTCATCACCAGAGGAAATGTCAGGGTCTTTTTTCGTCTCATTAAGGGTTCCAACTGCCGATGCAAAATAGCGCTGAGGTCCAGTGCCGGACAGTGGCTGTTCCGGCACATTTGGCCCTTTGGGTATGGGCCTTGCAAGTTTCACGCTTGGCGCCTTATCACACTCGGCAAGAAGATCTTCTATATTGTCGGAAAAATCATCAAAGTCATCATCGAATTCATCAGCGTTAAGTTCGAACTCGTTGTCATTTGTCATGGTCGCATCCACTTTTGAAGTGGCTGTGCTGGTAGCAGCAAAAGTCACCCTCTTCTGGAGGAGGGGAGCCCCTCCATTCGGCGGCATTGATGTCGACGTAGCAGGCTGAATATCCTCTGCAACATCGCGCGACGGGTTGGGATCCACGAAAGGATCCATTGAAGCTTTTGCAAGTTCAAGAAAGTCATCATCGAAGTCATCATCTCCGTAGTCCGAAGACAAGTCGTCCACAAGTTCTGTAGTCTGCGGCGCGGTCTCAGCCCCAATGGGAACAATCGCGTGCTTGGTCTTCTTAGGAGAGAAGCTAGGGCTTCTGCCTTCTGTTGGGGACGCCAGATGACTTTTGGATGTGTTACCGCGCTTTGGGACTGGAGAAGAGTCCGGCGCAAATGATCTTTCAGGAACTTTTTGCAGTGTCTTCTCCATCTGCTTGACGAGAGTGCTGAGGTTGGAGGCCTGATTATTGCCCGAATCGACGACATTGCTCCTTGTCCTAGTGAAGATGCTGCGACCCGTACCGAACCTTTCGTTATCGACTCTTCTCCGCTTCGCCTTGGAAGTAGGCCATTCGGCATTGCAGCTATTCGACCGTCTCAGCCCGGAAGAGCCTCGGCCTGTTCGGGAAGACACAGGTGTCTGTGGGGAAGATGAAAGCAAATGCGCAAATCGTGGTTGAGCA